AGTGTACTTCCAAGTTTCAAAGAGATATGTAGTGTCCCTATTTTAAACTAACTATGCAAATTTACCCCTGCCTAGAGCAATATTGCATTTAGGTACGGAGTATGGAACGCTCGATACACCGAGGAAGGCACATCATAGATTCAATATGGTCGATCAGTGGATCGGTGGATCAGTGGGTTCGATAATAATCGAGGATCACTGGCACTGATGAGGCTCTACAGAAATCTGCTCAGACTATTAACCCAGGAAGATTGAATACGCTACGCAATTTGTTAAATCATAACAGAGGCAAGTCGCTGAATGCAAAGTATATAGCATGCTCCCCTAACAACCGGACTTAGGAAGTACTGAGAGAGAGAGAGAGAGAGAGAGAGAGAGAGAGAGAGAGAGAAATATATATATATATATATAGGATAATCAAGCGCCTGATGTTTCTATTGAAGAGGACTAAAGCGAGAAAACCAATAGCACAGGAGTTATGCATATATGTGTCGATAGATCTATGTATGACGCCCTATAGAGTCCTTGAGTTATGGGGCCGAAAGTTCGCCAAGGTCCAAGCCGGGATGCCGAATTAGCCTCTAAAAATTCCCGCCAATGGAAGACTGGGTGCTTATCTGTTGATTTACTCCATAGACCCCCTAGACCGCGTGGCAAAGAGTTTAGTTTTCCCGCCCCATGCGTTCTACATATTCGTGTGGAACCGGGTGCGACATGGAGAATGGGGGAATATGCCAGGGCCAGAACTGCCCAGGTGCGGAGTATAGATGTCTTGAATAATCATGTAGGGGTACATGTAGATTCCGAGGTAAATGATTGCGCACTATTACATTATAACAATCCGTTCTATGAGTGATATGAATGATCCATGGCCTCTCCAACATTGCGTTGCCAGAAGTGAGAGTCGGGTGAAGTGAGAGTCGGGTTCTTGGATAGAGGGAGTTTAAAAAAAAAGTCGAACAGAAATAACCCCTCGCATGGTCCAATCTAACTATGTACTCCGTATAGGATGTTGAATATGAGATAAGGGAAATTAAATTGCGATTGGTTGGCGCAACACGAGATTCGATAAGAGATCCAACGTCCTTCTTGGTCAATCACTTCATGTTTTGATACATATTCCTAGTTTCTTATGGAGACTACTATGTAAAGACACCGAGAAATGTTCCATTAAGAATGTATTGAATTGGAAGTATATAGAGGCAAAAAAACAAGAACAGAGAAATTTTGTCCGAAAATGATAAGCAAATGCTTGTGATTGGCTGCCTTCCAACTTCATATCTACAGCCAGTCGCTGTTCAATTTCAATAATTATTTTCCTATTATTCTCTTCTGTCACTGAAATGACCCAATCTGTCTATCACTTTATATAGTAAGCTGGACTTACATTTCCCCTGCTTATCAGGGGTCAATGCATCCTTGAAATACAAACGTCTCATTAGATGGTTAAGGGAACCTAGGAAAACAGATGTACAGACAACAGCTACACTGCATTTTGAACATGAAACTAAAAGGACATACCTATAAAAGATCCAAATATGGCCGCAAATGCAAGGACCCGTAATTCCCCGATCTGGGTCTATGGAGTATAACCCCATCCGCCATGAACCCGAAAATGGCTGAAATGGTGGGCTTGGCAACCTGCTATCGCTCAGATCAGATGAATCATATCAAAAATCAGAATGACCAGCTGCCACTATCGGAGCTAAGAGCGATGGTCGGGTATCCTTCTCGCGTCTGATGGTGGAGCATTGTTAATTGTCTGGGACTGTGTCAGTTATTTAATTATCAGGGTTTGTCCCTGCAGACTAGACATATCACTTCTTTCCTCTTTCATAGCCCGGTGCTTGAAAGTATTTTACTTCTTTCTCTTCATCTCCTGTATCGATCTATTGCGGCTGCATCTCAGCTGTCTACATTTGCAATACCATTGGTCTACCATACCTGCCACCATGGCCGAATACCCGGTTGAGTATAATGGCACCATCGCGACTGGTGGTGACTCGCTCACTGAAGATTTGAACATCTTCTACAGTGTATGCTGCGCACTTTAACAGGAGTTAATTGAGGAGCTTCCTAACTAACAGTGTCAATAGTCTGGTGATATCTCATTTGTCATTATTTCCACAGCCCTAGTGTTACTTATGATTCCTGGAGTTGGGTATGACTTGACCAAACTCTTTAACACCTCAGGACTCTTAACTCATTACTTGATTATAGATTCTTCTACTCCGGTCTAGCTCGTCGAAAGTCAGCACTCTCCTTGATATGGCTCTCCATCATGTCGGTCGGTGTAGTTTCATTCCAGTGGTTCTTCTGGGGATATTCGCTGGCCTTCTCCCACACAGCCGGTAGCTACATCGGTAACCTCGATAACTTCGGCTTCAAGGGGGTTCTGGGTGCGCCATCTGTGGGAAGCACTAAGGTTCCCGATCTCCTATTCGCTATCTTCCAGGGAATGTTCGCCGCCATTACGTGAGTTATGATCACTATAAATCCATCATATCGGTGGAGATCCTCTAGAAACACCGATTGACATTTTTACCGCAATTAGTGTCGCTCTCGCCGTTGGTGCAGTTGCCGAGCGTGGTCGCATGCTCCCCTGCATTGTCTTCATGTTCATCTGGTCCACAATCATCTACGACCCCATTGCCTGCTGGACATGGAACGCATCTGGCTGGGTTTTCAAGCTTGGAGGTCTCGACTTTGCGGGTGGTACTCCCGTCCACATTGCTTCTGGATCTGCCGCCCTCGCCTACTCCCTGATGCTGGGCAAGCGTCGCGGCCATGGCACTCACGAGCTTAACTACCGCCCTCACAATGTAACCCACGTTGTCATCGGCACAGTCTTCCTATGGGTTGGCTGGTTCGGATTCAACGCTGGCTCTGCTCTAGCTGCCAATCTTCGTGCTGTCATGGCTGCCGTTGTCACCAACCTTGCCGCCTCCGTCGGAGGTGTGACCTGGTGTTTGATGGACTACAGACTGGAGCGCAAGTGGTCTACCGTTGGCTTCTGCTCTGGTGTTATTGCTGGTCTCGTTGCCATTACCCCCGGTTCTGGATTCGTCACTCCCTGGGCTGCATTCATCTTTGGTGTTGTTGGTGCTGTTGCATGCAACTATGCTACTAAACTTAAGTTCCTTCTTGGCGTTGATGATGCTCTCGACATCTTTGCCGTCCACGGTGTCGGTGGTGTGGTTGGAAACCTTCTGACTGGCATTTTCGCTGCGTGAGTGAAACTCGTTCCTGATAATATTGCCTGATCATAAAATAACTTGCATTGATAGTGACTACATCGCAGCCCTGGACGGTTTCACTGCTATCGATGGTGGCTGGATTAACAGGAACTTTGTCCAGCTGGGATACCAGCTTGCCGATTCGGTCACTGGAATGGCATACTCCTTCTTTGGAACATGCCTCATCCTCTTCCTTATGAACCTGATTCCTGGTCTCAGCTTGCGCGCACCAGAGGAAGATGAGATCATGGGTATTGACGACGCCGAGATTGGCGAGTTTGCTGTAAGTACTATTGGTTCTCAATATGCCCAAGGGACCCTTTCTAACATTTTATTTTCTAGTATGATTACGTTGAGATTACCCGTGATGTTGTCAACGGCGTGGAAGGCTCAGAGACTGCCTCTAAGCGCACTGCCACACCCGTCAACGAGGTTGTTGACACCAAGGCTTAAATCAGACTTGATCTGACAGCGGCTCTTTAATATTTAATATTAGGCAAATGCCTTCCTTCTTTTCACTTTCTTTTGTGCTTGGCGATGACAGAGTGTCCTGAGTATCATTCTAGGTACTTGGGATGCTCTCTGAGAATCCAATTTTTATTTTGATACCATGCTTTCAGATACCCAAATATCAAACTTTATGAAACTAATTCCGGGAGAAGAATAAGTCGATAGAGGGAAAAACAGTAACAGTCTACATCGGCAAGAATTGCCCCTTCTAAAGTATATTTGCTTACAGCATAAGCGCTAAAGAATATGACATATTAAGGGGCTCGATCGTTAAAGAGTGTGCTTTGAGGGGCCAAAACTCATTGGTAAAGACCACAGTTTAACCCGCCGTTCAGTTACCTGGGGTATTATATGTGAGCATGTCTAAGAAGTTACTACCTTTTATAAATGTGATAATTGTCGGGGATGCTGGTGTTGGAAAAACAGCGCTAGCTGACCAGGTTTGTCATCCATCTCCACGCTCTCTGGCTCGTTTTAACCAAAGAAGTTTCTAGTTTTGTCCAAAGGATGATTATGATCCAACACTTGAGGACTCCCAGAGGAAAAGAATTGATGTTGATTCCTCGCCTTGTATCCTTGATATTACTATGGTTAGCTGGCAAGAAGAATACACCGCGCTGCGTGACGAGATGATCCGCTCCGGAGATGCCTTCATTCTTGCGTACAGCGTGACTTCACGAACGTCATTTTATAATATACGGACGTACGACAATGAGATCAAAGAAAAAAGGGAGAAGATGAGGGTTGCTGGGACTATAAAACTGTCTCCTTCACATTGTCCGTCCAATCCGCTCGTCATTTTGGTCGGTACCAAGAATGATTTAGAAGCCCAGCGTGAAGTATCAGTTGAAGAAGGTCAAATTCTTGCAAAGTCACTGAACTGTCCTTTCATCGAAACATCTGCAAAGCTCAATACAGATGTAGAGAAGATGTTCTATGAGGTTGTGAGATGTTATCGAAAGCAAAATCCTCCTACTCCTAGTGAACCAGAAAGGCCAATCCCTTCACGATCAAGGAAAGGTCTGGGGCGATTGTTGGGACCAAGGCAACGAAATGATGGTAATGGACCACGATGCATTGTTATGTAATTGAATAGTTTGCGCGATATATAATCGGGTATTGGCCTGGCTTTGACAGGCCAGTTGAATCTACGGGTTAGCAACTATGATCATGAAGCAATACAGTTGTGTATTGGAGGCTGTTGAACTATGGAAGAACGGTTATACTGCGACATATGCACTGGATTTTAGGCCACTAGGGATGTAACTTGCAGCCGACGCAAGGAGCAGGCGGCTCCTCACTATGGTATATATCAGGTCTTGGTTCCCCAGTCACATTCAAATATCCCACAGCACCTTTCTCAAGGCGAAATAAGGCATGGTCTACGAGTGTATACGTCCCAGGAACCAGCATCTTCATGTAGACGACTGTGGAACCACCTGGAGGAACACTAACAGTCTGCACAAACTGTCCAGGAGGACTTACGACGTCGCCATCGCGGTAGACCTTCTCAAAATTACTCCCAATAACGTGAAATGAGCTTGTAAGGTTTGGCCCTGCGTTCCCAAAAAATATTCGAACCCTCTCACCCACGGAAGCTTTGAGGGGCTTATCCCTCGTCGATGCGGCCTCGTGTCCATTGAATACAACGACACTTGGCTCCTCCCGGAGCGCATTCGGATATGAAAACTCCACTGTTGACGACGGTTTTCCATTATCCTCAATCTCGGGAGGTTCATGGTAGAACTCGCTCTGCATCACATAGTACTCGCGATCCACTGGAGGAAGGTCTCCTGTGGCTGGTTGCACATACATGAGGCCATACATCCCATTTGCAATATGCACTTGGACAGGTGCTGCAGCACAATGGTATATAAAAAGACCAGGGCAATGGAGTCGAAATCTCGCTGTCTTGGTCTGGCTTTCTTCTGCTGTTGTCAGCGCAGAACCCCCTCCCGGCCCTAGAATCGCATGGGAGTCGATGTTATGCGGATTACCGCTTTTGTCACGGTTCGTCAATGATATCTCCACAACATCCCCGACGCGAGCTCGGATGAACGGGCCAGGAACAGTGCCATTGAAATTCCATTGCTCGTACTTGTGTTGGGCTGTGAGTTGTTTTGTCTTAGTTCCTGTTATCAACGGCACTTGGAGGAGAACGGCGTGACGGCGAGTTATTGGTGGAGGTACACTTGGTGCTGACGTGAAGACAGCCTGCTCTATCGGGAGTTTGGAACCGTCAATGAAGTCTTCCTCCGGGGTAACGTCGGCCTGCGAATGTGACTGCGCTGGTTCCTTCCCCTGAGGCACCAGGGTCCGGTCTGGCGCGCTTGCCTTTTTGCCTGTGGTTGTGTCCATTCGGAGGGGGCTCTGGTGTCGAAGCCATACTATCACACTGAATGCAATTGATGCAGATAGAGCAAGAGAATATCTCCATGGTATGCTGTCGACTTTTGCGCGGGGACTGGGTTCGCCGGTCGAAACAAGTCTAGCCTTTGTGTTTCCAGCATGCGAAAGTAGTGATGACGGGGGTGTACGCAAAGGCGGAAGGAAAGCTCTTCTAGTTTTTAGAGCCGGACACTGTCTGGCTCCTGCCATCAGAGTTGAGGAGTCCAATATCGTACGTGGACAGTTGATTCCTCTTTGCATGATTCACTGACAAAGAGCGACTGGCTTTTCCTTCAGCTAGGTACTATGAAGACTTTTAATGGATAATGAATTATTACAATCCGTCATCATTACAAAGACATAAAATCCATGGATGCGGCTAATTCTACAGCCTCTTACGATATATAATTCCCCGCAGAGACCTCGGGAAGGCTCTGGGATATCTACCATGTTGGAGGGATATGATAATCCTCCCAACAATCCGACTCAGCATCTTTGAAAGTATCAATAGTACCTTCTACCCCTTTCGGCCCAACAGACCAGACACCGTCTTCAACCAGCTTACGCCAACAATCCAACAAACACTCCAGCCGCTGAGGGCGGTAGTAGTCCCCACCAAAAGGCTTGAATCCATGCTGAAAGAGGTCTGAAAAGCTTCCCCTATCAGTAAGCTCCCCATCACTTCTTCGTGCGCCTACGCTCCTGCCTCAACCCTCATTGAGGGTGAACGGAAGCAGAAGCCGAAATCCGTCCTCGGCCGTGTCAAGACCGTTTCTCTCCACCGCCGCGGTATACAGGCCTGCAGATACGTGAGACGGTGTGAGCGTATCGGTGGACATTGAATAGTAATCTAACAATAAAAATAGCGTTGTTGTTCTCGTGAGCTGGATAGGACGCTGGTCTCCGGCTTCGGCGGGGAAAAGGCACACTGGCGGTGCGGTGTGCTGAGAGCGAGGTAAGACGGAAAATGGCTGTGCTGCCACAAACCCAGACGAGTCGGCTAGAGGCAAGAGAAGGCCCGGAGCAATGTAGTGGAACCGGGGGCGTTTCGCGCGCGTGAGAAACGAACGCGCAAAGGAAGGATCAGGCACCGAAGCGGCATCTAGGACGGTTGATGCGACCAGTGGCTCTAGATTGTCTGCATCAATCCCGGAAATAGGGCCGATCAGCGATGGTGGGTTTGGTAGCTGTAAGATACGCGCCTCAATGGCCCGACACAGCCGATCCCACGAGCCGACACACGTAGTAACCTGGGATTCGCTGTAAGGGCGCCACTCCCAGGGCCCGATCTTCTGGAAGTCGAACAGGGCTGGCTCTTCATGAGGCGAAGCCACAACTTTTCCAAGCTGAATAAGGTCGATCCAGTGGGAGAGTACTGTCTCTAGTGGGTTCCAAATGTGTGGATGATCCCCGACTGGGAACCCGTAGCCATAGGAATCAAGATGCATGAAGACCGCGACGCGATGGAAGCGTTGGTGGTAGATAACACCGCCACCGCTGCCCTCGCCCGATAAGCCCACATGGCTCAAGCGCACCAAGCTATCAACCGGCTGGTCTTGAAGATCAGCTACAAATTCCTCAATAAAGCTGTCTGGCGTAGGGAGCCCCCATGCAAAAATAGAGAGCGGCGGGGGATAGTGGTCAGGGCTATCACTAGGAGGTATCATAGCGGTGTCAAGGAAAGCCACCAGTGACGGATGAAGCCTTGGGCGAAGAGCTTCAGCTTCAGCACCGAAGGCCGTGAAAAAGTTGGTGCTATTTTCATTCAGGGTTGCCAGTGGACGACCTTCAGCGAGCCAGGAATATTGGACCAGATAGTTGTATAGAGCTGCACATCGTGGGTAATCCATCCCTTCGACATCATTTCGTGGAGGGTTATCTGGCCTGACAAGCAAGCCAGTGATGTCAGGAAGTTGAGAAATATCCATTGAGATGAAAATGGAGTGTGTGGCTGAGGACAAGGTGCCCAGGCGAGAACCCTCGGTAATCAATAACGGACAATGCCCCGGGGCCCTTCGACCCGGCTAATACAATCGTTTGCGGTAGCGCTTAAACTTAAATGGCCTACATTCGTATTGTAAGTTCGCCATTAATTTCACTAAGGCTGATAGAATTTAATACACACACTTTTATTTCTTTAAATGTTGTCCGAACAAATGATGTACTTCGCTGGCCCCGTGACCCTGAAATAGGTATAGAAATGGCACGAGCAAAGGTCCCATCCATTTTAAGAAGGTACGTGAGACTATAAAAGGATTCCTCCCACCTTTCTTCCTCTTCTCTTCTTCCTCTCCCCAATCCTCCTGTCTCACCGTAGCCCACCGAGCCAGCGCAGAGGGTGGTCCTCGAAAGACATCAACACCAAGTTGTTGAGGCCTTCGAAGGTCCGAATACAAATCAAACTGCCAGTTCTCGTGCGAGTCCTGATAAGTTGGTGACTGGACTCCAAGAGTTCAGTAGTCACTGACAGATCCCACGGAATACATGGATAGGGGGTGTTTTCACCACTATCAATCTTGTACACTAGTCACTTGTAGGTAGTTGTCTGGATATTGAATTGTCGAATACATCTACATTTAGAGGGGATGAATTCCAAGGTATCTCCAGCATCCTTGCTATCATACTCCCAGCTCAGGGTAACACCCAAATACAAAATACGTAAGGGGATCTTTAGACTGTTATTCAATTACATTTGGACATGTCACTTGTATTACTTTTAAATCCTAGCAATATGCGAGCCTTGATCCAAACACTGTGGTTTGGTGAGATATACAAAGGAACTAGGCTCGATCCATTCAGGTAGGAGATAATAACCTTGGAAAATTGAAGTGATAATGAGATTGGGCTTCATGGCTTGAACGATCGCTGATAAGCATTGTCGTTACTGTCATTACTGAAGCCATCTGTCCGTGAAATATCCTGTCACAAATGCGAAAACTGCCTTATGGAGAATATCAATGACCTGCTCACCAACTGGCCATGTCCTGCAGCCTGTCAGTGCCAGTTCCGAAGAAATTACGCAGTAGAGATAACTCACCACGGAAGCGCCCCAACCCCAGTTATATTCTCTAGGGTCTGATCAATCAAAAGTCGCATGGAGATGAACATGAAATCGGAGAACGGCCCGCGAACCCCATTAGCGCTCATAAGAGCTCTGATAATCCCCGCAGCTGCTCCCTGTCCATAATGCATGGCCATGTTTAGCCCGAAGCGCTCTGAATCAGGTCGAGCGGGGAGCGACAGGAGGCGCTCAAGTGTATGTCCAGGGACGTACGAGCTTGGCCTACCGGTGAAGCATTGTTCTATCTTTTCTCCGATCGTCATCCTGCCTGAGTTAATGATTTTTGCTTGAAAAGCGTTGAGTATAACCTACGCAGCGACGCCAAGCAGTCCTGCTCCGCAGCCGTAGATGATGCAGCTTCCCAACGGGACGGGCCGAGATGGCCGTTCAGGGACGGTAGTGCGACGAGACATGATCTGTTTCCGTTCTACTTGATGTGAATGTAGAATTTCGCGACGATAACCTGGGGAAGCAGGCTAACAATAGCGAGATACTAAGGTGTTATCCATGGATGTCATAGCTATGACGTATTCGAGTACTGAATATCAAGTTTGTTGGAGTCGAACTCGGCTTTACGTGGCCGTTCATGGAGTGAAGTAGTTAGGGTGCATCGTAACGTCTGCTACCTCTATCTTACCTCTGATCAAGCGTGAGTTGCTTGCCAGAGTGGTTATTGGTTGCTTCTAGAATGGAACGAAGACAAGTAATGGGTGTTCATGTAGGTTCAAGAATTGGCATAAATAATCAAATAAGAGCACTCTAGGACACCATCAATGGCCACACTGGCAACAATTAGTTATAGTAGGTCGGCCAGATATTCATGACTCTCATATTTTAGTGATTAATACAAGGGACGAAGAGACGGAAAGAGTTCCGTGGTTTTCGCGCTTATGTATAGTAGCCGGGTATGCACGGATCTAGTGAAATCGCATTGTCTTCAGGATCAGCGGGATTTCAGAACAGGTCAGACTGAAATTCAGCAAGCAATTAACCTATAGAGCAAATGGCTTGAGGTTGGAGGTCGGAAAAAATATTGATAGACTGCTTTCAATGATGTCACCAGTTTATAGAACCTTAAATTTTTTTAATTAGCCCAAATTAAACCTCTTTGAATCAATATTTTCTGTAGCATTCCCAATATGTCTGCACGATTTGTTTTCCGGCGACCAGTGCTCCAGTCGTTAGTCCCAAGGGCTCATGCCTCGGTGCCACGACGGGGACTCACAGCACAACAAAAACAGATTGTGAAATCTACCGTTCCCGCCCTTCAAGAGTATGGAGTCACAATCACCACACTCTTCTATAAGCGCTTGCTAGAGAAACATCCGGAGCTCAAGAATATCTTTAACACCGCTCACCAAAAGACTGGCGAGCAACCAGCAGCTTTGGCACATGCTGTGTGGGCATATGCGGTTAACATTGACCATCCCGAAGCCCTAAGCACAGCCGTTTCTCGCATTGGACATAAACATGCCAGCTTAGGGGTCATGCCTGCCCACTACCCTATTGTCGGCGAACACTTGCTCGCTGCAATCAAAGATGTCCTAGGACCCGCCGCTAACGAGAAAGTGCTCGATGCGTGGAAGGCAGCCTACCAGCAACTCGCAGATATCTTTATCAACTTTGAAAAAGGTCTCTATGAGCAAGGTGCCAAGACACCTGGCGGGTGGAAAGGATGGCGGAAGTTTTACATCTCGAAGAAAGTCCATGAGAGTGACGAAATCATCTCCTTCTATCTCACTCCGGTGGACAAGGGTCCTCTGCCATTGTACCAGCCTGGACAGTTTGTCAGTGTGCGCTGCTACGTACCAGAGCTAGGCTCCTACCAGCCTCGTCAGTACAGTTTATCTGATGTGCCGAACAAAGGTTACTTCCGAATTTCCGTGAAACGAGAGTTCGCAAAGGACTCAAGGCCGGCTGGCCAAATCTCGAACGTGCTTCACGAATCGCTGCCGGAGGGTGCGGAATTGGACTTGAGCATGCCTTTCGGTGACTTCGTTCTCGACATTAACACCACTACCCCTGCTGTCCTAATCAGTGGAGGCGTGGGGCTCACACCCATGATGTCCATGTTGAAATCCATCATCAACCAGCAGGGTCAAGCACGGCCAGTCGTCTTCATCCATGCGGCACGCAATGGCCGTGTCCATGCCATGAAGAATGATCTGATTGAGATCGTCGCCGAAAACCCGTCGGTTAGTCGCATGGTGTTTTATGAAAACGCCGCCAAGAACGATGTGCAGGGTGTCGACTATGATCACGTAGGCCGGGTGGATTTGACTAAAATCAAAGACAAGGTTATTCTCCCAGATGCAGATTATTATATCTGTGGACCTCAGCCTTTCATGAAGGCCCAAAGCAAGGATCTGGAGTCTTTGGGTGTGGACCCTAAACGTATTCATATGGAGGTATTTGGATCCCCGCGTGATTAATAGGCGAATGGACCTAGAGGACTGGTGTCTTACTATCTTGTTGTCTCACGGGGATATTAGTGGAATATGTATGCCAGGTTCGGTGTATTTTACTTAATGTGGTGTTTGGGCATAGTTAAGAAGGAGTAAATTCCTGTTGTTTTCCAATGTTGACTGGTGTGAGATTCATCTGCAGCAGCCCGTATTGGCGTGGGAAATAGCTCTCAAAGGCGTTTGGTGCATCATGTTTCTGATCGTCTACACCCCTATCTTCTGTAATATGGAAATAATTTGAGGTATAATGACTGGCCCCGAACTCCTGGTAGAAATATAACATTTCCTTCCGATCTACACGATCCTGTTCGCCCAAAGACCTGAAAAACAATGGTATCAACATTCAGAAATGCAACTCCAGTTGATAGTGTCCACCGCCTGTGTATAATCATTTATACTAGGGAATTTCAGTGGACTTGCTGCACATGATTGTAATGTGCGGTAAATTTTCTGACTGCCCTTCTTGCTTGTTTCTGCGATTGCATAAGACTCTTCTTCTGTGACGTGGATCTCTAGGAGCAGGTCGAGCTTCTTGTACATGTTAATATACCCAGCAACCGCGCAGGCACGAGCATGAAATAGCATTTGCGGGTAACATTGTACCAGAGCTCGCAGGGTACCCTAGTCCGGGACGTCTGGATGCCAAATGCAGTAAGGGACTTCGTCGGGCTCAGATATGGTTGGGATAATACCGCTCACAATAACCCGGGCATCCAAGGGGCCCACTGCACACACACATTGAATAGAGATGATTAGTTTTGTTAAATTCAAATTTGTCCCTCATTAAGCGGCGACACCACAATGGGGTAAGTTGCGCGACATATGTAGTACAGCTCGCCCTTAAATGCGAACAGAGGTAAATTGAGGACAATCCAAAACTAGGAGCCGAAATGCCTTCCGTAGCAAGTTCATTACCTATACGAGGTAAGAATTGAATCTTGAAGCTCTCCAGAAGTGGCGGGACCCACCCGTGAGCACCTTCCGAAACGCCGCGCGCCGAGAGATCTGTTCGCGCGCGGCTTCCTATCGCAAACCGTTGACAAGATTCACGGTCTTCCGGTCTTCCGATCTTCACATCTCTCCGGACATAGCGTCTGTTTATCAAATTCATCTCATCTGTCTTTCAGCGAGCTTCCTGACTTGTTTTGTCATCATGGATTTCCCGACCGACGTGGCGGAGTTCGATAAGGACCCGCGCATCTCATTCTCCAAGCTGGACAATGGCTACTTGCTCGAGACAAGTGATGGTCGCGAATTCCTGTTCAATACCATTCTGAAGAGATGGGTCGAATCGGTACGTGATACGTATTGGCATGTTGGCGCTTTGCGACGGGCTGTCCACATGCCGGCCAACAATCCCTGGTGCTAACATAGCTTGCAACTTTAGATCGACGAGGCGCTCATCCGCAAGCAGCAAGGATACGGATCGGACGACGGCGAGACTGAGATTGTTCATCCGCGCGATCGTAAGAAGCGAAAGAACTCGCATGACGAGGTAAGTGTACCAGTGGTCCTTTGTGGCAGCTTGATGGCTTTGATAACTGACTGCCTTCTCTTCTTTCGCCCTCTAGATCAAGGAGCCCAAGCCCAAGAAGCCTCGTGTCAACACCGCTGTGTGGGTTACCGGGATCCCCGTCGACGCTGAGCTATCGGAAATCCGAGAGTTATTTGTGAAATATGGAATCCTCGCGGAGGAGCTTGATACCGGAAAGCCGCGAATCAAGATGTACAGTGATGAGAACGGTAACTTCAAGGGCGAGGCTTTGGTCGTGTACTACCGGCCGGAGTCAGTCGACCTCGCGATTCAGTGTCTCGACGAGACAGAGTTCCGATTGGGTTCCAACAACCCATCTGGACCGATGCGTGTTCAGGTAGCTGACTTTTCCTACAAGCGTGAGAAGGATGTGGAGCCGAAGGCTACCATGACCGCGCAGGAGAAGAAGAAACTCAAGGAGCGAGCCGAGCGATTGAATAAGTACGTTTGTTGATCACGGCGGAGTGTTTCATACTAACTCGACTGCGATAGAAAACTTTCCGACTGGGGCGACGACGAAGCTGAAGAGACCCTGAAGGCGATGCAGGCTGCCCAGGAGGCAAGCCGCCATGTGGTTATGAAGCATATGTTTACCCTGGAGGAAGTGGAGGTTTGATACCCCCTAACTTTTTCAAAGTTTCCTTGCAATATAGACACATGGCTGACGTGTACTTATAGATCAATCCGGAGGTGCCTATGGATATCCATGATGATGTCCGCCGCGAATGCTCAAAGATTGGCCATGTGACCAAAGTGGTGGTTTGGGAGGGTGAGAGTCAAGGTGTTGTTACTGTCCGATTTCTGTCATCCGCCGATGCACGTCGCTGTGTTCAGGTAAGCATCTTGGTTTGAATTCGTGTGATTGCAGCTACTAATGAAATTTTAGATCATGAACGGCCGCTTCTTTGGAGGAAGAGTTGTTATTGCGTACATCTGGGATGGTGAGGAGAAATTCAAGAAGTATCATGCCGGTCGAGACGCCGCGGGTAAGATGGCGGACCCCCTTGATCTGGATTACGAAGAGAACGAGCGCCTTGAACGGTTCGGAGACTGGCTCGAAAGCGCCGACAACCAGCCCGATAAGATCGAGACTGGTAATCTCAAGGATGACGAAGTCAAGACCAGCGAGAATAACGTCGGCAATGATAACACCAAGAAAGATGAGACCGATAACGAGGATGACGAAGTCAAGACCAACAGCGACAATGACGCTGGCAAGAACTAGTCCAACGAACCGAAAACGCCGAGATTCCATGTGACCGTGTCGAAAACGGCGAAAGGAACCCACGCAAAGAAACTGAAACGGTGGGAACTATGTACCAACTGAACGAATCCCAAACGGCGAGAGCTAAGGGCAAGTGAGTACTACCATGTGAAAGGAAAGCGACACCCAATTCAACGAATACCCAACATGTACGATTATTATTTTTCTGAACTGAAAGGATTGAAACATTTGAAACATTCAATACATTCTATTAACTATAGGTAGTATATAGTAGATGTAGTATGTAGTCCACTATGTAGTTTGTATAGTAATCCAATATCACGCGCCAAGGAAACGCAAAATGTGGTTCGCACCTCCCCGAGTCCCGTGATGCGGCTATACCCAATTGGGCCTCTCCCCCTGAAGTTCAACTGTTGACTTGTTGATCCCACACACACCGCTCAACTGGCCTTGTCTTTCTCTTCTTCCCCATCCCTCCTAACTTGTCACCGGTTCTCCTTTTTTCTCTTCATCTATTTTCTAATACCTTCAAAATGCGCGAGATTGTATGTTATCCCCCTCCAGACGCGTCTTTTGTTTTCATACGGCCCCTGAACCATGACCCCACTCTAAACAGAGATCTTTTGCTAACTTGCTCTAGGTTCACCTCCAAACCGGCCAGTGTGTAAGTTCGACCCGGAACATTCTTGGATACCTCGATTCGTGAGACTAAATTGGAATTGGGTTATAGGGTAACCAAATTGGTGCCGCTTTCTGGTACGTGCCTAGCTTTTTTTTTCCCGCGTTGGGTATCAATTGACAAGTTACTAACTGGATTACAGGCAAACCATTTCCGGCGAGCACGGTCTCGATGGTGATGGACAGTAAGTTAATGGCGACGAATTCTCCAGTGGATGGCATGTCTGATATCTTGTTAGGTACAATGGTACCTCCGACCTCCAGCTCGAGCGTATGAACGTCTACTTCAACCATGTGAGTATAGCCGACTGGGAACCGAATAATCGTGCATCAACTGATCGGGTCTTTTTCTTTGATCATCTAGGCTAGCGGTGATAAGTACGTTCCCCGTGCCGTTCTGGTCGATTTGGAGCCCGGTACCATGGATGCTGTCCGCTCCGGCCCCTTCGGCAAGCTTTTCCGCCCCGACAACTTCGTCTTCGGTCAGTCCGGTGCTGGTAACAACTGGGCTAAGGGTCACTACACCGAGGGTGCCGAGCTTGTTGACCAGGTCCTCGATGTCGTCCGTCGTGAGGCCGAGGGATGCGACTGCCTCCAGGGTTTCCAGATCACCCACTCCCTGGGTGGTGGTACCGGTGCCGGTATGGGTACACTCTTGATCTCCAAGATCCGTGAGGAGTTCCCCGACCGTATGATGGCCACCTTCTCCGTCGTCCCCTCCCCCAAGGTCTCCGACACCGTTGTTGAGCCTTACAACGCCACCCTCTCCGTTCACCAGCTTGTTGAGCACTCCGATGAGACCTTCTGTATCGATAACGAGGTATGAAACACGTGGGAAAACACTGACATCACGAATACTGACAATCATAGGCTCTCTACGACATCTGCATGCGTACCCTCAAGCTCTCCCAGCCTTCCTACGGTGACCTCAACCACCTGGTCTCCGCCGTCATGTCCGGTGTTACCACCTCCCTCCGTTTCCCCGGTCAGCTTAACTCCGATCTCCGCAAGCTCGCCGTCAACATGGTTCCCTTCCCTCGTCTGCACTTCTTCATGGTCGGCTTCGCTCCCCTGACCAGCCGTGGCGGCCACTCTTACCGCCAGGTCAGCGTCCCCGAGTTGACCCAGCAGATGTTCGACCCCAAGAACATGATGGCTGCTTCCGACTTCCGTAACGGCCGTTACCTCACTTGCTCCGCTTTGTTCCGTGGTAAGATCTCCATGAAGGAGGTTGAGGACCAGATGCGCAACATCCAGAACAAGAACCAGAGCTACTTCGTTGAGTGGATCCCCAACAACGTCCAGACCGCTCTTTGCTCCGTTCCCCCCCGTGGCCTTAAGATGTCTTCCACCTTCGTCGGTAACTCCACCTCCATCCAGGAGCTCTTCAAGCGCGTCGGTGATCAGTTCACTGCCATGTTCCGTCGCAAGGCTTTCTTGCATTGGTACACTGGTGAGGGTATGGACGAGATGGAGTTCACTGAGGCTGAGAGCAACATGAACGATCTTGTCTCCGAGTACCAGCAGTACCAGGAGGCCTCCGTCTCCGAGGGCGAGGAGGAGTAGTAAGGATTCCCCACACCACCCGGCCTTCGAATACGACTAACGATTTTTTTTTCTCCTATTTTTAGCCTCGCTGAGGACATTGTTGATGAGGAGGTTTAAATAAATCTCCTTTGAGATTTGTTCAAAGTAATACCCTTGTCCAGCCTACATTCTCTACCATTCGGACCGGCTTTGCGGGCGCAGGCCCCGAACCCAATTTGTTTGAGCGCTCCTAATCTACACCCTTTTTTGTCTATTTTCCTGCTCGGCTTGGGGTGATTTGTTCGAACCCTTCCAGAATAGCACATAGTGGAAAAGCAAGTGACGAAATGACTTATTATGGCCTATTAAATTGTGTTAATTGTAGTATTGAATGTCAAGGTTGGTGAGACAGTTATATGTTATAGTACTCTTGACTTGTGCCTTCAAATGCCTAAGGTCGTGACATTCTCATATACGCCCCGCTGGATCAAACAACGCTATGCCTATATCCCCAAATCCCCGTCTCTTATCACTTGTCCCTCGCCTTTCTACAGCTCAATGAAAAGGACATTTCCCAGTTCGGTACCCCTTCAACTCTAACAAAGTCTCATCCAACTGCTTCCTCCCTTTGCCCTCAAAATGCTTCGGGCCAACATCCGGAACACGATATCCAGTGGGATAATACTTATCCCCTTCGTCACCAGGCAGAGGCCGTCCTAGCGCCCAAGTCAGCCATGCTGTCGGGCCCCACCGATTCCAAAACGTAGGCTTGACATAGTACGGTGCCGCATCCCACACTCTGAGGAAGAAGCGATTGTTTTCATCAGGCTCATCAGTAAACGAAGCGTAGCGCATAAAGTACGGTCGTGGCAGAGCCAAGTAACGAAGGAATAGCTTGCGCGCCGTGAGCACAGTCGAAAGAAGTGCCGAGCAGAATGCCGAAGGCGGCTCATAGCTGTATAAGTGTTAGCATCTATAATCAAGTATTCCATAGCATCACATACTACATCGCCTTCCTAAGCCTCTCATCCATCATAAACGAAACAGCCTGCAACCCAAACGGATGCAACATGCTCGGCAGCATAAAAAGCAACACGGCCGTAGTCTGATCCGCCAACTCCCGATTCTTCACATGAGGCACCATAAATTGCTTCTCATACTCCTCACTCCAAGCATCAAGTTCCTCAAGCCAATGAATCCCATCCCGGAATCCCGTTTTCCCAGACGGTAACTTGTCATAGCTAATATCAAGCGCATCACCGGCACTCTTCCAGAAAGTCCCGATAGCACAGCGCTCCATCTCACTCAACTGACGCCACTCATATTGATTAATAAAGCGAATAGGCTGGATCGCAAACAACGCCAGCGTAAAGAGCATATCATCATCGAGGATCTTGCCGGAGGCCCTGTATCCGCTGTGTAGATAGCGCGTACGGGCAAGACCGAGATAGGCGCGTTCCGAAGCTGGGTGGTTGCCGATCATTTCCTGCACGAGGACGCTTGTATCTGTGTATCGTTTTAGGGAGGTTTCCGGGCTGGAGAATTGGGTTGTTTTTGCGAGGAGGGTGGATATTGAGGGGATGCCGTATGTCTTTGGATTGAAGATTATATTAGAAAATGTAGATGTATATAAGATATGATTGTTTCATACTCGGAATAAGGCAAATTGTAAACTCTTAATGAAGATGAGTGGGAATTCTAATTGCGCGACTTGTTTTTGGATTTGGTAGGCGTCTTCGTCGGTCATTTTTGACATCGACTCGCGCGTTGGATAGTCATATTGTTTGTGGAGATTGCGGAGACGTTGGAATCGGAGGGTTGTTGTTGCTACGGGCCAGGCGAGGAGGAGCCCGACGGCGTAGGGGAGTATTTGGGTTGTCATGTTCCCTACGGGGAGGGAGGTCCAGTCGGTGTAATTCATGATGAATTTGGGAGGGACAACAGGGGTGGGGGTTTCACAGGGGTTTAAATAGTCGCGACAAGTCCATTTAGGGCCCACAAGGTTTATATGTTGGATCAGGTGGTTAGGTGATGATCTGCAACGTACATATCCTTAAGAGAATTGATGAGAATGTTATTGGATGGTCTCAACCGCGGGGTACACGGAAATACCGAGCCTCGGGAGGTGAAAAGGAGGTTTATCAGGGGTGTATGTATCTTGACAGTATCACACTCCATATGTTGTACTCTCAAATATATTAGAAGTGATAAAGTTCTCACTGAATCTAAGGACATTTCTTCTTAAACCAATCATAAGCCCTGGAAATAATTTTGGGTTATTTAAATTAAGACTATGGAGCCTGACAGGATCACATGTCTTCCCAGTATATATATATATATTCCTTTTTAGGGAAATAAAATGTTCTTCTCACGATCATTATGCCATATAAAGAGTAATACAACTAACGACCAACAAATTTGAGCTCCAATACCCGTAATGGTGGGAAAAAGATCGCAGTAAAACCCGCACCCAACCAGAGACCAAGCTCAGCTCCGCCAGCCATCCGCGCAATGGGGCCGATATAATACCCCTGAGACTAAAATCGAAATGTCAGCAAAAAGCAACTCGATTCTGAACATAAATCTTACCATGCCAACGATAGCACCAGCCCACCCAATAAGGAAAGCAACTGCCGCTGCAATCCCCAAAGGTAGTTTATCACGACAATTCCACTCAGACCAGTTATACCCTCTATTCCGGCGAAAGATCGTATGTTCTTCAAAGACAATAACAACAAACATCATAACCCAATATCCGATCAGAGGCAGGAAAGACTTGAACACTTCGTACAGCCGGTCCCGGCCTCCCATCGCACATGCGGCATAAATAACCGTAGCAAGAGTCGTGAACACCGGCCGGGGAACTTTTCCAAACATCCCCCCAATCATCTGGAGGTTCATTCCCATGGAGTACGCCCCGGGAGTATTGTTAGCAACCAAGGCGAGGACATTGATAACAGCACAAAATTTCCCGAATCCCCCAAGACCGTCATACGCTACCATCAGAACTCCTCCAGGAGTGGCGGCGTGCTTGGTCGCAGAATGAACCGAGCTAGCGATGACGGTTCCAAGACCAATGCCCATAAGGAGAACAACCGACATGCCGCTTGTGGCGGCGAAGACTGTGGCTAGGAATGTCCGAGAACTCTTCATCTGCGGCGGGAGATAGACATAGTAATCTGCGGCGAGCGGGGCCCAAGCGAGGGCAATGGATAATGCCAGAGAGAAAAAGGTGAGTCTTTTGGCAGTTAGGTTCTCTGTCGACATTGGGGTTTGGATGTTGAAGTCGAAATGAGGTCCTGCGGAACCGATCATCACGCATATCACCAGCAGCTGTGGTAACCAGGCGACTCTGATATTGATTAGAATTTGCATTCAAGTGTCCGGGGGTGTTAACGCGTACCGCTCGTATAATTGGAAGATTTTCATGCCAAAGATGGCCATAGCCCAGCTGGAAACGGCGACAATGATAATACCCACTATCACGGAAAGATGGCCACCAGAGACCACAGACAGAATCTGGCCACCGACGACACTGTTGACCATGCTATACCCGATATTGGTGAAGAGGTTCAGGATAATGCAAGCTTTGCTGGGATAATAGCCCATGAAATATCGGGCCACGATCTATCAATCGTGAGCATCCGTCCTCTTAATAGCATATTCTGCAAATCATCGATATTCGATACAAACGTACCAAAGTTCGATTCCCACTTCTCGGTCCCCATATACTTATAAACCCAACCGTGCAATTGCCAGCTAAACATCCAAACACAGCACAGAGCGCCGCATCCCTAAAGCTGAGCCCTAACACAAGTGTACCCATTGATCCAACAACGATGTTATTTGTCGCCAATGTCATGCTAAACCACATTAGCAGCATATGAAGTATGGTCGAAGGTGTAATTTGTTCTCGATTTTCGATAGGAATAGGCTCGATCCCCCGACTCTCCACGTTCTTCATGCTTGCAATCCATCGTTGCCATCTTGTTTGCACGGGCTCAGGCTTGAGGTCTGTATCATTGGAAGAGCTATTAGAAGCGCTTTTGTCGAGGTTGAAACTCAAACTCTCAATAGTAGGCGAGCTATGGGCTTTTTCGACATCGGTCTTCATTCTCGGGTACGTGGAGTATGCGGGATTAATCTGTTCGTGAACAGAAACTTCCAATCTGAACCCGCCGATGGACAAATGCCGAGTCTGTATATTGTCGTAAATCCAGTGTCACGAAAGAGGGGAATGAGCCGAACACGAACAGGGGGAGCTATGGTATGATAGATATAAGAGAAATGGCACTCAGGGCCAGTGCACTGGCCGTTGAACCCTGACATCACATCTACCCAGTGAGACGGTGTAACGGACACAGGGGAGACTGGATACAGACGCATTCCTTAGCAATCAAGGCACCACCCGAGCAGCTCTCGAGGGTATCCAATGATGGGCACTGGAACTGTGATGAGATAAGTCGAACGAACACGCAGATCGTAGGTCATTGATCGCCCTGTCGAGAGAAAGGGAGTTATCAAGTTTTATCCCAATATACAGGTTGGGGAAGGAACTTCGTGCAATATCGACCGTCGACATCCACCAACATACCCGCACATACTAAGTGGAGCTGTAACCACCTCATGATACCATCCACGGAAGGGATAGGCCCATGACAGACATAGCATAAAAGATAAAAGTCCGACCCTGTGATCCGCGATACATTTCCGTATGGGGTAAGTGGCATGCTGGAAAGCTCCGAATATGCATGCACTGGAATGTTGCAGCAAGGAGTATGTATTCACGATCCTATACGATGCTCAGATTTAAAAGGGCTGTTAAGTGGAGGATGATCAGCCCGAAGCTCTGAGTGAATTCCATGACAAATGTATTCTGATTGATGCGGGACGAATAGTTCCCGATGAGCTTTTGTGATTCGCTCTAGCTGTTGGGGAAGAAGGTCCGAGGGAAGGGGCTCTTTTAAATAGCTCTAATTAATGTTTGTAAGCTATTCATAACTTGGTTTACTATTTACAAAGGGTTTGTCGAGGACTGTTCGGTTGTCCTCGGCATCGCTATATCGCTTATCTGAGGACGAGTTGATTGGTACATTGTACAGGGGGGGATTATTTAGGCTTGAGCTGTGTTACGTGCTCTTTGGAGCAAATACCCCTTCATCTTGAACTCTCTCATCGTCTTCTGTGCTCACCGAAGACTCGATGAATCCCGAATTATGTATTACGTAGCTCAAGTCTTTGGCTCAGATCATTTCCTACAAATTCAGCCAAGCTTTTATTTGATCTCTTCTGACCCACAAGCCTAATTCCGTGAGGTAGATCTGTGAAGGTGAACTCTACGATCTTATCCTAGCTTCCTATGCGTTAGGGAAATGCGTTAGAGAAATACTGATTCGTTAAAAGAGGGGGCTTACTTCCCATGGCCTTTTGATAATATAGCGCGTTATACTCAGGATAAATGCAGTATTATATTCTATAGTGGCTTTACAATTCGAGCTGCTATTATAAGGCTCAGAATTTCCAAGAAAGTGTGTTACAGCTATTGTACTCTGCTAGCTTGCAGATGCTACGTCCTAAATTCTGATCGTACGTACTGTGATGATAACTTGATATACTTCAGAATATGCGACAATGCTTGATCAATGTCTGCTTTTGTTTCTTTGAATTGCTTCGCGGATCTGAGCCTGAGATGTCATGCTAAATGAACAATGCAGCCTTAAAAATTGGACGTAGTTTGCCAGAATCCTTAGAATAACGACAAATATCTTGATGGATATAAATAAATACCGTAGGTCCCCTAAGTGCCGAACAACTCCTTTTATCCATCGCTCAACTTCTTCACCAACGCTTGTGAGACCTTACAGCTTCTTGGACCAAGTTAAGACATCTATAAGTAGTGGTTTATTCTCATACACTTATGGGTTGGTCGTTGGTTGCTGTTAGTCGAGTTTTTTGTCGCGAAGGTTGTTAGTTGAGAAAAGCCAGGATACTGAGAGCTGTCCACCATATCTTTTATGTCTATTGCTCTCTCCCTCCCTATCTCTCTCCAAGCCTTGGGCCCCTTCACTCAACACGTCCGCAAGAGCTCAAAATGCACGGCTGCCTCACCGAAGTCGCCTATTGGAAAGGCAGCAAGTCAGCTATCTTCTGGCTTGGGGGGTATCTCAACCGAAGCGTGCATCAATCTAGACGGTACCTTTGATCCCACTATGCTAAGCTATGACGACTTCGAGCAAGATCTGTGCGGTCACCTCCAATACGAACCACTGGAAGAAGAGATCCGGTGGGACCGCAGCACTTAGTCCCAGCTGCGGGCAAACTCCGATGAGCCGCCAACCTTTGTAGTCAAGGGTCACAATACATGGGTAGCCGCTCTTCTTGCTCTTCAAGATGCTCCCGGCCAGGTCAGCTTGGGATCTCACCACACCTACGATGCCACTGCTCCAATGATCACTGCCCACTTTACTATCGTGTAAAAGAGGTACGTGACACCTCTTCGGTTTGAGTGTAGAATACGCTAGCTAATTATTGACTCGATACGGAAATTGCAAACTCACAAAGAAATCACGAGTGAGCCTTGATGGCCGACAAAGAGATCAATCATGACGGAAATCTATTCACAAGGCTTTGAATAAGCCATGGAATTGTCGTTTTCGTGGCGATATTTGATGGGAGAAGCAATAAGGCCTAATGGTGTCAATTCTAGGGAGATAATATCTAGCTACTTCGAATAGAACCCAATTCAAGGTATTATGGTCACATGAAACTTGTCTCTTTAAAGATGTCATGTGACATATAACAATTCAGGAAGGCGCAGGGGAGAGTCCATTTTAGGAAGGTACGTGAGAGTATAAAAAGATTCCTCCCACCTTTCTTCCTCTTCTCTTCTTCCTCTCCCCAATCCTCCCTGTCTCACCGTAGCCCATCGAGCCAGCGCAGAGGGTGGTCCTCGAAAGACATCAACACCAAGTTGTTGAGGCCTTCGAAGGTCCGAATACAAATCAAACTACCAGTTCTCGTGCGAGTCCTGATAAGTTGGTGACTGGACTCCAAGAGTTCAGTAGTCACTGACAGATCCCACGGAATACATGAATAGGGGGTGTCTTCACCCCTATCACTCTTATACATTAGTCATTTAGATAGTTGTCCGTATTAACATAGCTCATTTGCCATCCTCTAGACTACCTTGACCTGTATCCTAGACCATGTAGCGTTCAGTATGCTCCAGGGTGCTGAACGTGTAGTTAAAATGTATAATCTCAGCTGCGACTCGTAACTTCACACCCATTCTTCCCATCCTGGTTTGTTTAAGTCGCTCCCCAACCTGAGCTTTATTTGCTACTGACCTTGTTTGGCCACCTCCCAGTGACACATTCCTTTAGTCACACAATATCCTCATCGATATCGAGCTTAGAATGGCATCCAACAACCCACTTCACGATTCCCCGCCGCCCATCTTCCGCCCCAGAGTCCGCGATGGCATGATCGTCGTGCGCCGACCCCCCAACAGAGACGACACCGCTATCTTCTGGACCGGTGACTATTTCTTTGTCAGTGGGAGAAATCGGACTGTCCACATGGATTACTCTGCGTTCCTTGCCGACCTGGAAGCCCACCTTCAGTTTGACCCGGAATTGGATGAGATCCAATTCCACGTGCCACCTCCATACCCACGCAATTCTATGAACGCTGCCTTGCCTGGTGAAAACAATGTCCAACACACCCAGCCTGTGATGGGCACTGTCCGTACCTACCATGAGTGGCTCACAGCCTTGGCAGCGATGCAAATCTCTCATATGATGCGGGCACTGAACATTGAATACGTCCTCCGGGATGGAAGTGTGACTACCAGTGCCAACCAGTCGTTTCCACCTGTGGCCGCAGCACAGTTTTTCATTGTGAGAACTGCAGGTATATGTCTTCAAACCACTCAACTATCGCCACGGCATTTGTCTCTGATAAGTATATTCTAGGGGTGGAACATCCGAACGAAGAGCGTAATGACAACAGTGCCCAAGCCTAGGACAGAGGCTACGTCGGATGTACTTGAGGAAATGGATGTATCAAATCAAACAGAGAATGTCTAAGGGAGCCGGAGATATTCACAAGAGCGCAGACGTCGGTGAACGGCCATGCCGGACTTGACATCCTCCGCCCCACATGAGATCGAGAATACAAATATCCCACTTGATTCACGCTTCCCAGTAACTTGCTACATATTTCAAAATGGCCTCCACAAACCCCTCCCAGGAATACCTGCAGAAGTCCTACATCGGCAAAGACATCAGCGATGTGCCCAAACCAGCCGCCGTCCTCGACGTAGCAATCATCCGACGACACTGCGAGACAATGCTACGCACGATCAAAACCCTCGATGTCGGATTCAGAGCTCATGTCAAGTCCCACAAGGTAAGAGACCCGAATACCACATTCCATTTGCAATTATACTCAACTTGTGAATCAGACACCTGAAATCGCCAAGCTCCAAATCGGCGACAACACCGAGGCCAATTTCATAGCCTCCACAGTCCTAGAGATCGAGATGATGATCCCTCTGCTACAAGATCTGAAACAAAAAGGCCGCAAAATTAACATTCTCTACGGCATCCCGCTCGTGCCATCACAGGTTCCACTACTTGCCAAGGCAGCCAGCGAGCTAGGCGAGAATAGCATCACTGTGATGATCGACCACCCAGATCAAGTCCCCTACCTAGAGAAACTCTCTTTTCTAGCAGGACACCCAACATGTGTCTTTGTCAAGGTCGACACGGGCTACCACCGCGCCGGCTTACCACCCGTATCCCTCAATAAGAACGGGTTACTCGAGAAACTCGCATCTGCAGAACAAACAGGCGGAGCAAGACTCCTCGGTTTATATTCACACAGCAGTCTAAGCTATAGCGGGACGACCCCGGAGCAAGCGATGGGCCATTTAATTAGTGAGATCCGCGGATGCAAGGATGCCTTAGAGAGAAATCTACATCTACTGCCCAAAAGGGAACTGGTCATTAGTGTTGGTGCTACGCCGCAGGTAGTCTCGTCGCAGAACTTGTTACGAGAGGACGCTCCCTATGCGGAAGCGCGGGAACTCAGGACTCTGCTTCGCGAGACGAATGTCGAGCTGCACGCTGGCGTCTATCCAATCCTGGATATGCAGCAATTCTCCACGGGTGCTAGTGCTGCGTCTGGGTTTTTGGAGGATGAAATTGCCATCTCTGTGCTTGCTGAAGTGTGCAGTGTCTATAATGACGGTGAGCGGGAAAAGCCCGAGGCGCTTTTGGCTGCGGGGACGCTTGCATTGGGTCGAGAGCCGTGTCCGAGTTACTCGGGTTGGGGGGTTGTTTCTTCCTGGAGACTGGATGGGGTTGATAAAGCTTCGGAGGAGAGACTGGTTGTTGAGAGGATCAGTCAGGAGCATGCAATTGTGACTTGGGAGAGTCAGTCTCAGATGAAGATCCCCCTACGCATTGGACAGGTCGTTAAGGTACACCCGAATCATGCTTGTGTCGCTGGGGCCTTTTATGGGTGGTATTTTGTTGTTGATTCGGATCAAGACAGCGGGGCTTCGCGGATTGTGGATGTTTGGGTTCGAGCGAAAGGGTGTGGTATGAGGGCTTAGTGGAGTAAATATCATGCAGTCGTTGGAGGGCAGATGTCCATAAGCTATATATCACCTCTTAAGGGCCCCAATGGAGAATTAAGAGCATACCCGCTACTCCATGCATTTATTCCAACAAAGGGCACATCTTATTTATCAAGATCAGATCTGAACTCTGAAGATGTATCACGAATCTTCTTCATGATCATCGAAAGGGAAATGGGATCGGACCGCATTTTTCTCCATCTCAGTGCTTGAATGTTCCATCAAACCATCCTTGATACTCTGGATAATGGACCTGCACCGTTTAAACTCATCTCCACCTGGAACCCAGCCTAGAGCATCTGTCCCAATTACATCCCTCATCTCACCCAGCTCCTGTAGCAATTCCTGTTCCTGGCGATAATCCTCCGAACATTTCTGCATCTCTTCCTCAGAAAACCGAATTGAACACTCAACAGATCTTGTCTGTGTTCCATCCAGCGCCATAGGCCAACTCTTAAGGACCTGCAACATGGCATGTTTCAACGAGACAGAGTCTCCTTCCCAGGGAGTCTGTGCATGATGAAAAAGCTTCGCCCGAAGCATACAGCTGTCGGATCTGATAGCGTCAAAATGATCCGGCAGGGATTTCATAGTCAATGCAGCATAATAGAAATGGACAAGGCGTTTCCGCATCGTCTCTTGAATAGCTTCCTGTTCTTCATGGCCGAGTTGATCAAAACCGTCCGGCAATTTGACCTCTGGCTTAGACAGCGTCTTAGATACTGGATCACCCCAATTTTGGAAATGATCGGGGATGCCAGCGCATAGAACGAGGGGCAGAATGACTGCATATTGCCAGTCAATAATCCCTACGATATCGTTGGATGTATTCAATAGGATATTACTAGGTGAAAAGTCCGGATGGCGAAGGGTTGGGCGGGATATAGGGTGACCGGATGGGACATCGAGGTAGGGCGCTAACTTTAAGTAATCGGTAAGGAGATGTTGGTAGGGAATAGGTGAAAGTTTTTTGAACTGGTATATTTCTCGTAGGTATCTCTCGACGTGTAGACGTGGTTTACCAAATCTTTCACAGAATTCTATCTCGCGCTTAGCGGGTGCTTCGAAGCATGCGGAAAAGGTATTCCCTGGTTAAAGTCAATAAAACTTCAAACAAAAATATACTCAGATGCATACATGGGCCGCGGTCAACCTCCAGAGAGGCCCGTTCTCGATACCACCATTCATGCCGTGCAGTCGGCCCAACGACGATATCGGCGGAGACTGGGATGGAGTACTGTGAATCGTGAAGATCATGGCTGTGATAAAGACTTCCGCTTGCTGGGAGGTGGATGCTCATAAACCGGCTCTCCACATCGACAATCTGTCTCATTACTTTGACGCGAGTTTTGTTATCCATAGAGAACCACTGATCACTCAAAGGTATTCCTTCAATCTTCTCAAGTAGGATATACTCGCTTCCGACAGCGTTTGTGCGATCTGGAGAATACGCGAGGACTTTCGGTACTGGGACATCATGAGTACGTAAAAGTGCTAGTGTAGCAGCTTCACTAGCCACTGCATGATATTTTGGAACAGTTTTGTACGGTAGTCTTGCAAGCACTACATATCTATCATTGAAAGTGATCTGCAAGACACGGTTGAAACACCCTTCGGCGAGTTTTGTAATTGAGGTCATGTTGTCTAGGTGTCGACTGACAGAATGACAGGCCGCCTTTGCAAGTGCATTCACGTCGAACGGAATACGCCGTTCAGCGCGACGGAGCTCTTCGTTAAATCTCGCAGCAAGTCAGTTTATCATAATTGACGCGTTCGGTGACCGTTGTCACGACTTACAAAAAGCGTCCAGAAGTGTACTCGAATAGATCAGGGTTACCACTCATAGAGGACATAGTCCTAGGTAATGGCTTCGAGCATGGATTTAATAATCTTGAGAAGCGGCGCATTTTCAGGGTTATTCCCAAGCTATTTTGCCAAGGTAGCGCTAAACCCCTGCCCGCTGTTCTTAATGCGATATGCTGGCATGAGCTATCTGAGATGTGAACTAGAGAATTCATCACACTCCTCACCTTTAGACCCACTAGAGATCGTGGGTGGATCAAACGTCCGAACTGTTACCAACAGTGGTAAATGTGATGTCTTATTCAAGGGGTCAATTTCATCGAGTGCCGCCAAGCACCTGATAGGGGCCTCGGCGTTAAGCACCCAAGCCCCTGGCACAACGTGACCATGCAGCAATAGTCTAAGCTAGGTACAAAGGTTCTACGGAGTACAGAGTGAAAATGGCAAATCTGGATGCAAAACATAAGTATTCAAATCCATTACCTAACTAGGCCATAGGGTAGTAGCCTGCATATTTAGGCAAGTTAACAATGTGATAGCTAGTTAGCAATGAACTATATACTCTGTCCGCGCTGTAATGTATCATGCATAGATACCGGGATCCCGCATCCTAACTCCATTTACATATGTGTCAGATTACCAACGGCGCATTAACACAAGTACCACTAGCTAAAGAGAAGCCTAGGTACATTCAAAGAGCTCTAGAAACAAAAGCAATCTGCAGGAACACCCTGCTGAATCACGTGGCCATGGATCCTTTGTGAAACGTGATGCATATCTTCCTGAGCAAAGAATCCAAAGAATTACCTACAATCCTCACACCCTGCCTCCAATGTTTGCATTATCTCCCGCTGAAGGGCAAAAGGTCTCTCAAGCTCATATAACCTCAAATCCAAACGAAAAGAATGAGAAATCCATGGATGTAAACATACTTGGCGGTACAACGTGGTTGGACAATTAGAATTGTCGGGACCCGCATTTCGCGCCATGTGGGTTTCGAACTTGCGTCTTCATTGGATAGCACGTGACATCCCGAAAGCGTCATAACCAATTAAACACCATAAATAGACCCATTTCTGTATACCCTCAAAAAAATGGTCTGTAAGAATAAAAAAAAAATGGGTGCTTCTCTTTGATTGAGCGTGTCATCCTTAGTGCAGGGGCCATGCTAATCTTCTCTGTATATTTTCTGTTTGACCGTATGCCCCGAAGGGCGAAGGGGGCTTCCTTAAGCTCCATTTAACGCCCATTTGGGGCAGAATTGAGACCGCCTATGTTTGTTTGAGGAAGTGTTGTACATCATGTGAAAAGCAGTGAAACTCTTAGAAATTGCTTATAAAGAGAAATGGAGCAATGTACGAAGAAAGAGAAAAAAAGGGTGGTATCTTCAGAATGAGAATTTTACAAGCACATTAAAAGAGGAAAAAAGGAAAATGCTGGCGCCGTGGCCTTGTATGCGCCGAGAGAAATCAAAAAGGCCATCCCGGCCACCAAACCCAAATGCAAATGATTGTATGGACCCAAAAGTACAAAGGAGTCTATGCTTAATTTTCAACAGCGCGCCACACCAATTTCCAGACACCGAAAATAGAAGCAAAATTGAGTCGACGGGGAATGAGGGCATTAAATTAAAGACGTTCCCAATGGGAAGAAGAAAGGAGGATAAGAAAGGCAAGATGTGCTCAGACTTGCGACTGGCTAAGACTCGATCTCGATCGCGATCGCTGAGACAAAGAGCGACGGCTACGGCTAGAGGGCGCGCGGTCCACCGGTGGAGCATGTTCGAAGTATGGAATCAGATCTGGGTTCTGGCTTGGGGGTGAGCCGGAGGTAGCGGAGTATTCGCTCAGAATACGGTCATCCGCAGCGGTGTCTGGGTGCACTTCGATGCCTTGTTCGCGATCAAGGCCGCTGTGAGGGCCGCCGTTTGTTGGGAAGCTGATGGAGTCGGCTTCGTTGTTACCTCGCTCGATTGGAGACCATCCGGCAATACTGCCGGCAACAATGCCTGCCATAGCAGCGGCGGGTCCGAATGTCGAGTTCGATCGAGACCGTGTGTTGCGTCTGGAACGAGACTCTGGGGTGGTTGGCTGTGGGGTCGGGCTGCCGTTCTCGTTATCGCCATTCGGCGTGGGTGGGGAGGAGGAATCGCGCGAGCGGGAGCCACTGCGGGACCGAGGAAGAAGTTCCTGGGGGTGTTGCAGCTTGTGGCGAATGTGTCGTAGACGGCCGCCGCGGACACGCTTGATGAAAGCGAGCTGATCGCGAATTTCTTCCAGAGCTGGGTTCCACTCGTAATTGCGGTCCTCGTCTGAGACGACCAATTCGGGGCCCTTGTTGCGATGCCAGAAGTGGGGGACAAGCCTTGCGCAGAATTCATCCGGAATAAGACGAATGATCACGGCGACGGGTAAGGAGATCACTCCAAGTATAAGACTCACAGCCCACTGCGAGCCTTCGTTAAGACGCTTCACCGAGAAGGCAGCGCCACCAACAAAAACGATCAAGACTTGACCTCCAATAATGATGATCTGAATACCAATGAACCAACGATTTTTCCAAATACCTTCCAAAAAGTTGAGCTTGTTGTCAATACGACGAGAGTTGTACTGGTTGAAAATCTGCATGAAGACAAAAGTGTTGAAAACAACAGTCTGCAGATGCTCATGATCCCAAGAGAAAATCTTAGATCCGGCGAAATTCAGAACAAAAGTTACAACCAACTGATAGATGGATTGTCCGATGATCATCTTCCACATTGTTAGAGTGATGAGCGGGTCGGCTTTCGATTCGGGTCTGCGGTCAAGCACTGTTGCCGTTGGAGGGTCTGTCGCCAAAGCGAGAGCGGCGAAAGTGTCCATGATCAGATTGACCCACAGCAACTGGACGGCGCTGAGCACTGAATCCTCGCTATCACTAGCGACTGCAGAAACGAAGGTGAGAATGACGGCAGTGATGTTGACAGTGATTTGGAACTGAAGGAACTTCTTAACGGCGTCACAGACGGTGCGACCCCATGCCATAGCCTTGACGATAGATGAGAAGTTATCATCCATCAGGATAATATCAGAGGCCTCTTTAGCAACTTCTGTACCAGTGATACCCATTGCAAAACCAACGTCAGCATTCTTGAGGGCTTGGGCGTCGTTTGTACCATCTCCAGTGACAGCGACAGTCTCGCCGAGCTTCTTGAGTTGATTGACCAGGATCTTCTTATCATCGGGGCTCGAGCGGGCGATGACCTGAAGTCTTGGGATGATTTGGTTCATTTGGCGTGTGCTCAGCTTGCGGAATTTGGGACCCTCAATGGCAATACCGCCAGGTGTGTAGATACCACACTCCTGGGCAATAGCCTTGGCTGTCATGATGTTATCACCAGTCACCATCCTAACGAACACTCCAGCACGTTGGCATGTGTACACTGCATCGGCAACACCTTCTCGGACAGGATCCTGAATACCGAAGATTCCCAACATTGCCATGTCCTTGAAGATAGGTTCGAAGACTGCCTGGTTGCGATCGGTTTCCGCAGTAGGCGCACCACGAGGTGGCCATTGGTCGAAGTCACGGTAAACCAGGGCAATGCATCTGAGGGATCGGGTGGCATAGTTGGTCATAACATTGTCCAGTGCAGTCCTGTGCTCATCGGTGACAGGAGCCTCCGACAGAGAGTCAGTGGGGTCTCGAACGATGCGGGTCGACTTGGAGGCTAGAATCTCCGCGGCACCCTTAACGAGCATTCGGAATTTTCCATTCTCCAGCTGGATCACGACTCCCATGCATTTACGGCCAGAATCGAATGGGAACATCTGGGCGAGCTTGCCATTTGCTCTCGCTTCGCCAAGGACTCCCATTCCGAGGTAATCTCTAGCGAAAGTCAAGAGGGCAGTCTCTGTCTTGGATCCAACGAAGGATTTGACTCCATCTGTCTCGCCTTCGAATGCGGTTGAGTTGTAGACAATTGACTGGAGCAGGGCATCCTTCACTGACGGTGATAGGGAAGAGACGAAATCCGAGGCGGTAATCTCACTCTGATCATCGGACGAGACACCGGAATACTTTCCGAACCGGGATGTGGTACCCAACGTCGCAGCCACTGCGGTCATTTTATTCTCCGTCAAGGTTCCAGTTTTATCAGAGCAAATCGTGGTGGCGTTGCCCATGGTTTCACAGGCCTTGAGATAGCGAACCAGGTTGTTGTCTTTGAGCATTCGTGTTGTTGCAAAGGCAAGGGCGAGCGTGACAGCCAGTGGTAAACCCTCAGGTACTGCGACGACGACAATTGTAACAGCAACAATGAAGATCCGCAGGAATGCTTGACCCTTGGCGTCCGCACCACCCTCGATATCCTTAAGACGAACCAAAAACTTGATGAAAAGTACCACGAACAGCAATAAACCAGAAGCGAGACCAAGCTTGGCAATGTACTCAGCCAACTTGTTGAGCTTGGTTTGCAAAGGCGTTGTCTCGCCCTCCTCCTGGAGGGACATCATCGTCCGGCCGAGGGTAGAGTGAGTACCAGTAGCAGTGACCAAAAAGGTGCCGACGCCCTCAGAGACCTTGGCACCGGAAATGATGAAAGGATCCATTTTCTTCAGGTCTTCGTGTTTCTCAATTGTTCGGTACACTTCATCACCCGGGGTTTTGCGGAGAACATCAGACTCGCCAGTAGCGGAGGATTCGTCGCACTTGACATCGTGGCCTTCGATCAAGATCCCATCAACTGGGACCATATCACCGGGTTCCATAAGCATCAAATCGCCAACCAAGACGTCGTGGACGGAAATTTCCTCCGTTCGGCCAGATCGCGTTACCTTGACCTGTCGATTCTCCTTCTTTTTGTTCAGTTTTGCGAACTGTCGTTCCTTTTGCCAGTCATTTGCTGCACCAACTGTAACCACGATGATAATGGCCACAAGAATGGCCAGACCTTCGACCCATTCGACGCCAGGTTCATCAGGATTCACTGGATGGATCGATTGGGGAATTCCCACAGCAAGCGAGACTACAGCCGCAATCGTCAACAAGATCAAGACTTTATCGTTGTAGGCAATCCATGCAAGCTCCCAGATAGTCTTCAACTTTCTCTCTGGAAGCTTGTTATCTCCGTAGATACGTCGGCGGTCAGCGAAGGAATCACCGCCCTGGGTTACGAAGGAACTCTCAGCCGTTGGCGGTGTTGGCTTCGGAGAGGCAGACTTGGGTATATTGTTTGAAGAGGTGGGCGAGCCAGGTGAGACAACATCGTCAAAGCTGACGGTTCCATCAAGGGTTGTCTCATCAACACTCAAGCCACTTTTTACATCAGTTCGGAGGCCTTTTTCTAGTCCTCGCAGGCCTCCCAACGCATGGAAGGCGGCAAAACTCTTCGGGTTGAGAAGCTTGTTCAGCTGGCCAGGGGAGAAAGCAAATTTGTTGTCTTCGACCTCGAACTCGGGTTCGCGACCAGGGTCTGGGGTCAGGGCATCCTCATCGTGTATGTCATTTATGGCTGCGTTCTTCGCCAAATCAGATCTCGAGTCGTGAGATGGTGAGGGCACATATGTCTCGCCACCGTAGGTGCTCGATGTTTGGCTGGTCTCGTCCGACTCCAAGGAGTTACCGCGGGAGCGTGCTCCGGGGACAGAAAGGAAGTTGGAATGCGCCTCAGGGGCCTTCGACTTAGGTGAGGAGATGTTGTGGGGTGAGGTTGGGCGAGACTCTTGGTCACGAGCTTCGGAAGAGGCATTGGAGCGAATCGAGGCTGTAGATCGCATATCCGTGGGAGAGACACTGCCATTGTTCAGCAGTGCGCTTGTGTCGGCGGCATGTGCATTATCGGTGTAAGTCTGTGATCCTCCCGAGAGGACTTGGATAGGAGCATGTTCGGTATCTGGGGAGTTCACGGCCGAGGTGTCGATAGTAATAGTCGGCGCGCGCTCTCTGCGCAGGGTCGATTGGCCTGGCTCCTCATTTGGGCGTGGGTCGGACATTGTGGGAATGTCTATTCAATGCGCGATTCACGCGTGGCTCATACCCAGGTGTGTGGGTTCATGGAGTTGATAAGGAGAAATCAGAAAACTCCCTAAACTCCTGAACAAGGTTAGAGGTAAGGGTTGTAAAAGGTGAAAACAAGATAGGAGGCGTTTGGAAGCGGCAAGGTATTGCCCCCCAAGAGACGTCAACCCTTTCTCTCCACTATGGTCGAGAACCTATTTACCTTCTCCACAGTCTTATAGAGCTTTTATAATTTCTACTATATTTATGATTATGATCTTATAACTATCTTTTATTATCTTCATAGATACAATTCTTTTATGAAAATTTCTTCATACGGGGAACCGAAAATTCAGCAAAATACCGCAAATATTCCAATACCAAGCCTATATAGTGTGTCTGCACTGCCTCACTGCCAAGACATATGCCCGATCCGGAAAATAGGGGGAAAAGATTTTTGACTTGAAGGATTTGATTGAAAAATTAAAATGAATTAGTTTATATTAAAGACGTTATGTTTATCTTGAAGTAAATTCCGTCTATACAACATACTTCGTATTCCACTTGATATAGAGTGGTGACGTCTACGCCTTCATGTACAACGTATACAACACACGGAGATCCCTTTATTGAAAGATTTTTCCGGAACTAAACGGGAGAACAGGATTTTTTCATGCCAAGCTCCTCGGGACACAAAGCTCAGCCACACACCATCCTTGCATCAAACATCAGAGCATCGTACGGCACGGAGATCGATGAAGTACGGAGGACGGAGTAAACTGACTCAAAGTACTAAAGCTTACGAAGTAGAGATGTTACACGGGGCATCTAGGTAAATGCCTAGCCCTCCACATATCCAAATCGGGTAATTATATACGGAGTAGCTATATCTAGCTACAATATACACCTTACGACACATTGAATCCCCAAATGGAACACATAACAAAAGTCAACACCGACTCCAAAAACATCGTATTCCCTCAACCCGAACAAACAACCAGCTCACCTCCCAAACGCCAGAGCCCAATCAAACCCCGAAGCCTCAAAAACAAGGTCCAACTTAACCAACAAATACGGCCTCACCGCCGCCCCAGCCCCAGCCCAACACCTATGGACTCACCAACTCCCTAGCACCAACCTCCCCCCAGTCCCAATCCCAGTCCCGCAACCCCACAGCCCAGCGCATCAAGCACGCACGCACCTCCAAGGGACAACCACTCACATCGGGTATACCACTTCAGGCTCGCGATCAAACGGCACCGACTCCCGTTTAAGCGGGAATTTCACGATGAGGCTAGCTTGTTTGTTGCATGATATTGGGACCTAGGAGGCCAATATCGCCACTAAGTTTTTGAGTTCTTCGGCGGTGTGTTGGCATTGCGCGTCTTGCAGAATTATACTCATTATTCTGTGAAACGAAGATGAAGACGAGGTTGTGGTAGCCGTGAACGGGGAGCCTATGCTTCGGCGAGGCGATGGCCCGCGTGAACGGGTTGATAGAGCGTGGCGGAGGTGGTCGTTGACACCGGGATTCGTTGGTATGTATATACTTGTGTTTATTAGTTGTCGTCCCTACTCTACAACTAGACTGTTGTAGGTATTCTAGATATAACTGTGCGGTCTATGTCATTGTCCTCGTATTGATATCCTAGATGATTGCTTTTCTCTATGATATATCTATTGTGCAAAGAATTGACCAGTTTGACTTTGGACCTATATGTTGTACAATATGTTCTACTGAACTCTAAATAATTTACTTACAGGAATCGACGCATACCCCAACCTCCATGCAGAGACTATCAAATCTTGACGCATCTCCCGCGCAAGCGCTGGAGTCATTGCTTTATTACAATTCGGGAGAATAGTCTCAAGCCTTGGGCACATACTGTTTTGGGCTAGGATGACCTACCAATGTGCTAGGATATACTAATGGTTGAAAAAAAGGCATGATGAGAAACCGTAATGAAAACTGCAATCAAATTGATATTGTTGACAAACGATGTCGATGCATTCGTAGATGTCCTATTGACATGTAACCAGTAAAATGAAGTAACCTGTCCTCCGTCCATATTTGATCCAGTTTCATTCATATCAGAGCCTCGCCGTAAAAACTTAAAACCACTCAAATCCCATGCTAATGTACACAGAACAAATTGCCGTTGATCTACTGCCCCAGGTCTAGGTCCGATACGATCCCAAGCCTCTTCTTTTCTTCTTCAGAGATCGTGACATCCCAGATCTTCAGTTCCTGGCCCTTGTGGAAGTTGTTGTGGTCTGAGGACTTGTGCTTGGTGGAGTCCCGGATGACCAACGCCTTGCTTGACAAAGCGAGCACATCAACAACCTCGGCCATGCGTCGTGACTTTGTGAAAGCGCGAGTGACATGCTCGTAGTTTGCAACCCAGAAAGATACAATCATGCAGGATGTCAATAGATCGTGTCGATCAAGGGTGTGGCTGGCGTAGTACAAGGCGTTGTGGTAGTCAAGAACCAGCTCTGGAACGTAGGTCGTCCGAATGTATTCGAAGTCCTCTTCTTCTTCGGCTGTAGGAAAAGATTAGTCTTAAGATTCCAATGCCACGACATCAAGATACATACCATCGGCGGAAGTGAGTAGCCAATCTTCAGCGACCACTTCGCCAAGCGATTCTTCTAAAATAGCAATGTATTCGTTCATGTCTTGACCCATGCCCTTCAAGGTGCCCGAATCGCGTCGACGTTTGGTCCTGGATTTAATCAGATTAGCTTTGGTGATGAGATCAAGCGGGTAAGGGGAGGACTCACTTGGACATCTGCTCGTGCACCAATGCAAATTGCTCCACACCATCAAACCCGAGAGCCAAAGCCTCTAGATCTAGAACCCTTCGGGCCCGATAGTATGCTGAAAGTAGTGCAACATTGTTGGAGCCGGACAGGCTTCGTCGGTGGAGGCTGTTTCTCTTGGATTTGGTGGGGCTAGTTGGAGTCGTTGCCTGGGTATGTCCCGCTTCCTGCGGAGGCATGGAGATGATATCGGAGCCGAATTGTTCAATTGAGATCTCAGCCAACCGAAGACGGAAGGCCAACTCGCGAGCAGCGGCAAGCTTATCAGCAACTAGTAAAAGTCAGTTCGGCTGGATTCTCCACAACAAAAGGAACAAAAACATACGGAAGAACTTGCGATACAGCCAGGATCCCAGATCGCAAATCTTATCCCACTGCCCATCTATGTAGCGAAGCCACTCCAGACTGCGAATCATCTTGTCGTCTTCCGGAGCGACGGTGGTCCCGATCAAGTCGGTCTTGGGTGACACCAATGCTCGGGAACCGTCAGGTCGTCGCAAAACTCTCGAATAACCAGTAACTCCTCTAGAGTGGTCAATCGCAGAGACATTCTCCTTCACCCACGCCCATTGAACATCAAGAACAGTTTCCATGTCAATATTATGTTTCCGCGCGAGCTTAACTTGCCGAACCTTCTCTTGTGGATCGACAATTTCAATAAGAATCTTGGATAGAACTTCGTGTCCCATTGCCTCAGGCAGGAGAGAGACGTAGAGTGGGACAAGATCGAATAGACCCCTGTCTTCCAGGTTGGCAACATGTCCAGCCAGGATGACTGACGCTGTTTCAACGAAATGGGCATCCAGGCGAGCGTAGCCCCTCGCACTGGCCACAACGTAAACGTGAGCTGCAATTCTGAGAGCTTCTTCGTCATCGGCAGCGATGAGGAAAGATTCATCTACGGGCTTGCGCCCGATGTCTGGAATAACAGAGTCCTTCCCATATTTATCCGCACTAACTTGAGATACAGCCTGGGCTAGCGAAGTGAAGAATGAATCGTAGCCTTTGCTGAGAATCGTGGCTTGGATATTGCGGAACGGATTACGCGCTTCGCCGTTGACACGATCGTTGCCCTTGAGATAGACAAGGAACTTTTGTAGTTCTGCGTGCCCAGCTGATTCTGGCACGAATGCCACAGCGGTGTTGGGGGAGTGGCTGAGTTTCCGCTGGAATTGCTTGCAGAATCCCTGATAGCGTGAGAGCACGACACGGTTGAAGTACACGTAAAGGAAGTCGTCCCAGCTGCGGCAGACACTGGCTGCAGCATCGGTTTCACCAGAGAGCAGAGCGTAGACCGCTCGCTGGAATTCATCGGTATTAGGGTCGCGCGTTAACGCAGAACAGGCGGTGCGCCATGAATCGTGGGATCGACTGTTCATCAAACGTGTGTGACCATCGTCAGATGGGTATCGAGAACTTCCCGACTTGGGATCCACACTAGAGCCACACAAGCTAACGGCCCTCCATCCTTCCAGGCGGGTCTCTGCCCATTCACGAATCTTGGTCCAGTTCTCGCCTTGTCTGAGCATCTTCCAGCAAGTTATCCAAGTGGCGCGCTCGAAGAATTCATCCTGTACTTGTAACACGTGCTTCTGGCGAGTGAGGGCATCGGGATCGAGTTGAGTGATTAGCGGTTTCTGATCATCCTCGCTCAAAAGCGAGCGTGAGATTCCCGGGTCATTGGGCTCGAGAGGCTGTGGCCAGGCGCGCAAACGTTTGTGGCCCTTGATCGCTTCCTTGGTAAACAGCCAAGTGTTTGTGTGCGATCCTTGACTCCTTTGCGCTTGTCCCTCCATCTCCGTGATCAGTGTATCGAATTCTTGGCTTGCTGTCTTGGATGTCTCCTCCAACCATTTCATGGCAACCACGCATTCAAGGCCATATTGGTCGGCATTGAGGAACTCTTCCCAGATCTCACGATCGCTTGAGTACCGATGTAGGTTCTGGAAAGCTGTCTGTCGTCCTACTTTGTAACTGGCCCGACTGGAGGGGTCATCAATACTGATCAGGTTGAGCAGGAGGCGCCACGTGTCGGCCTCTAGTTGCAATCGTCGTATCACCTCGTAACTTTTGGTGTCTTGTGATCCGCTCGACCGGAGGCCCGCCTTTGTCCGGTCAATGGTCTGTTGCGTCTCGATTTCCTTGATCGCATTGTTCGCAAGGTCGCGGTAGCTCTGCACGAGCTTGTAAGCTGCCTGGGCGCTGCTAAACTCGTCGGTTGAATTGTTGCGCTTGAACTGATCTAATTTATCGGCGAAAGCTTCGATCTGGCGTGTGACGCGATCAGCCGTCCGGCGAAGAGGATGCAGCGCTTCCTGGGCGCCTGCGGCGGTGAATAGCGGGGTGTCTAGGATAGAATTTAGCGAACGCGACCCGGAAAGTAATTCTTGAGACAAACCTTGAGATTTGGCCGAGATCCCAAAGGTAGAGTGCATAGAGTGCTCGGGATCAGATTCATCGGACCCAGTCTCCGATACGGACTCGCCATCCATATCTTCGTCCTCATCTTGATCTTCTGATTGATCTTCCGATTGGTCTTCAGATTGGTCCTCTGACTGATCTTCCGATTGATCTTCCGAGATTTGTTCCTCATCATCCAATCCTTCATCTTCGTCGAAAGATTGTTGCGAATCATCGTCAATATTGATGACCTCGGGTTGTCTATGCGGCTGGGGAACCTATACGAAGGATTAGATAAGAAAAAGCAGAGAGTAAAGAAAATGATCGCACCGGTGTGAATATCGAGGCCCCAGCGGCCGAACGAGTTAGAGGCGCCATAATGGGGTTGTTAGAAGGGAGCCCTGGAGAAGAGAGAGAGGAGCTTGGAATAAGTTGTGTTTGTCTCTTTTGGTTTTCGTGACGAACTAACCCCAAAGGAGACTAGCGCCAACACCAAAAGCTATTTCAACGAATTTTCGCCCGCGCCCTTCTCTCTTTCTTTTCTTTTCTTCTCTAATGTCTATAGGCTTTCATTAGAGTCTCGGTATGAAAACTCAATTTTCGTACAGGTCCATGAGGCCTCTTTGCGTGCTCACGATTGTCTTATAATAAATGCAGTTCTTCAATTAGCCTGGTTTCCTCCATATGGAAACTCAGACCGCAAGGGAATTGTGACATCCACCATTTTCGACATGGGTCACTTTTAATTTTTTAAGTAATAGCCTATTTCCCTGCCTGAGCTCGTTGCTTCATCTTCAATCGCAGCAAATTGGCTTTAGGGCAGCTGACGGTAGATGCCTGGTCACCTCGCTCTTGGTAAAAGGCATTGCAGCATTCGTACAAAGCATCAATTTGTGCCTGGCATTTGGCCTCATTAAATGAGTTCTTCTGCAAGCAATCTAGCTTCGGTTAGGTGTTTTGTGTGCAAATATGCTATGACATGGAAAATACCTTGGATGGCGCACTATTGCATTGTTAGTAGGAGCTAGCAACGCCGTGGACCTTAAAAAGGAACGCTTTAGGACCGGGAACACATACAGCACGCGGATGGCAGGGTTGATCGTGCGACAGATCTTGCTTTAAATTACCCTACAAGGGTCTTAGCATTTAGATAATATATTCAAAGTGACAATTTTCTCATACCATAATGGAATTATCAAAGACTGCACTCTGTACAAAGTTGTTCCAAAATGTTGTACTGTTCCTTGGAAGTGACGAACGTGATAGAAGAGCCAAACGCAAAATAGATTCTCCGCCTTCAGACCGTGGGGCGAGTGTGGTATTCTGCCGCCGCTGATCTCTGATCTCTCTTCTTCCTCTCTCTTCTAACTTCACCGTTTCAACAGTCTTCGCTTTCTCGATTCTAAGCCTTCGTCTTCTAGGTAAGTACCTCATACTTCAGTTGCGTAAATTAGAGTTGAAATGGCGACTTACCCATCTTTGAACGATTCAGACATCACCCAAAGCCCCGCTCGAAGAGGTTCCTGAACTGGCTTCTACATCTGTAAGCATTCTCCTCGTCCATTTCAACTCTGCGCAAAGAAGTCGTTAAACGAAATCTAGACCACAGCCATCATGTCCGACAAAGAAGGCGCCGCTCCTCCCACCGAGCACCTGAACATTAAGGTGACCGATAACAACAACGAAGTCTTCTTCAAGATCAAGCGCACAACCCAGCTGAAGAAGCTTATGGATGCCTTCTGCGAACGTCAAGGAAAGCAAATTTCCACCGTCCGTTTCCTGTTTGACGGCACCCGCGTTCGCCCCGAAGATTCGCCCGACACTGTACGGCCATTTCCCTCTCTTTTTCGCCATCCATTGATACTTGGGAACTTTGAAACTAACTGCAACTAGCTTGATATGGCAGATGGTGATACCTTGGAGGTCCACCAGGAGCAGATCGGTGGTTGCTAGACGGGCTCTACATGCTGGAGTCGCACGTCCCGATGGAACCGACTCGGGCGACATATGTGGGGGGATATGCTAGGGCTGATGGCCAGCAGTGGATAGAAGATCCCAATTGACGGCCCATGGTCGAAGCGGCGGCGTTCATACTGCTTTTCCTTTTTTTTATGAATGATGAATATCAAAAGCCACCCAGTCTTCTCTGCAGACTTTGAGGTGCTTTCGCTATGTTAAATTTTCCTCGGGATCAATACGATCGCACCGCGTAGAGGTAGTCTGGCTTTGGACCTAGGCTTTGCGTTTGAACCTAGACTTGAGCCCTTGAAGAATAGATATAGTCCATCAATTGAGCCTGACGAGGCAACTGCGGGGTTTAACCCTGGAATAAATTGCCTGAGAACTCGTTACTAGAGGCGACCATTAGCGATAGAAGGACCTAGTAGAAAGAACCACATAGTATCCACATAGTATATGGCGATGCGCAAACTTGCATTGAGGCCTCATATGCCATTCAAGGTAATAGACTAGACAAGTCGTTGCTACATTTGCACGTATCTAGAAAAAAGAAACCCCCATTGGTTTGGCACAAGCCGTCCTAGTAAGTTCAAGGCATCGCACAAAACGACAAGAGTCATCCGTTGCTTCGCCCATGATGATCCACCATGCAGAGATAATATACACAAGTACAATTCAACAGATATGTACACATATGTAGCGCCAAAATCGTCTAATATTGTCCAAGATCTTCCCAAAAAGCCACCTAACTACTCCAAATAGCAGCCTTCATTTTCTCCTCCTCCTCTTTAGCTTTAGCCTTCTCCTCGCGCTCGCGGTTCCGCCTCCGGATTTCCTGCTCTTTAACGGAGCGATCATAGGCGCGCTGTTGCTCAGTCCGCTTCGGGGCTCGGATCCCCAACGCACCAGCAATCATCCGCTCCGCAACAGCAGTCTGCTTCTCCGGGCGACGGGTAGGAGGGCCCTGCGCCGAAGCCGAAGAGGCAGATCTAGCCATCCACGGGGCGGAGGTCTGTGGGGAGATAGGCGTTGGCGGGGGATCTAGCGGTCCCTCGGCACTAATGGTTGGCGAGAGCACTGGGGTAGTGTCTTCGTGGGGCAGGGCATCCTCGCCTTCCGGGGCGGAGAGGTCTGCTTCGTCTTCCCAGGAATCTGCAATGGGCTTGCGGGATATTTTTGGGTTGGACTTGGGAGTTGGAGTAACGCCTGCTGTTGAGAGTTTTTTCACGTCTGGTCGGGGAACGTCTGGCACTGGGCCCTTTTCACCTATGGACAGGGTGCGGAGAGCAGATTGGAGTTCGGCGCTTGGATCAGACATGATACTGGCACTGAGTGTAAGGGGCAATATAAATATATAAGAGTGGTTAATGGGTTAAGGGTGTATACTCAGAATTTTAAGGAAGATTTGTGTCTCAAAATAGAAGTAATGGCGTCAGTGGAGGGTCGATCGTGGAGAAGGGCTAGACCTTGGTTCGACTTTTTGGCCGCTTTGTTCAGGCATCAATGTGTTTTCTCATCAATGTGTTTTCCCCTACATCAATGTGTTCCATTAATGAGAAACTATCAAAGAAAATGGCAAGAGTTCAGTGTCCAATCAAAAATGAAGTATTTTGTTTCTTTGATCTATAAATGCCCCCGAATCCCCTTTCCCTCCATCCCCAGCTACCATCCCTTCCCACTACAACATGAAGTACACTCTTGCGACCATAGTCGCCTTGGCTAGTTTGTTTCAACCCTTTGCGCAGGCCAAGGTGGACGAAGGAATCTACACAATCAAGTCACATTCTGGGGTAGTTTGGGGAATTGAATACCTCACCGGTGAACAACGGGTGGTGTTAGTACCACCGGAAGGCAAACTTACCGAGTACTGGCGAATATCTCCCACTGGCAAAGATTCCAAAGATTACTTTATACAAAACGTCGGCACCCAGGGTATGGTTGCATGCTGGAGTAAAAATCAACATAAATGTGAAGCGAAGGGAAATGACGCACAGCCTTTCACAGTGCGCATACTCTATCGGCCAGATGCTTTTGGTACTGTCGAACAATTCAATTCTATGGTTTTCCACCCCTCAGACAGTGCAATCCGGGCGGTGCGATCTAAGAGTGGTCGTGATTTGGGAGCCTATGCTGGGCAGCCAGATGAGAAGACGTATTTCTTTCTCACGAAGGTCCAGAACGAGGGTGAGTCACTATATTTTTGCAATGAACTTGAAGCTTTGAGTTAAGCTGATGCTTACTATTAATATAGGTGCCGGCTGGTCTCAACTTCTAGCTCCGATTGGTCATGCTTCGTCTGCTCTGGGAGATAAGGATTGACAGGAGAGCGTCCACGGGTATACGCAATACTACATGTATCTAAACATTACATTAAGTCATTTGGCATTCTTTCGCATGACTTCTAGTCGTTCAATATACAAGATAACGACATCCATGACATATTTCCCTGACCTTGTGCTGCTGTCCTATTAGGTACGGGTTGGTTTTGTAACTTTCTCTTTCAGTTCAATTGTCTTCTCGCTTTCCTCTTGGCACTGCTATCCCACTTATCAATCTCAGGTATCTACAGTGGATTGGTATAACGAAATTTCTAGCTGTGAACTGTTATGGGGATACCGGAGTAGCTACCATAGTTATCACGACTGATATCATCACCGAGTTCAGACAACACCTGCCGGATCCCATTCACGGTCCGGTCCGTATTGAAACAATTGACATTATTCAAGTATAAGCTGGCAGTTTCATCTTAGAGTCCTCGAATGCTTTGTTCCATCAAGAGTGTCACGCGTGATTACTTCTTGGCCCTACATGGGTTCTTTGATCTGAGGTTTCAGGTGCTAGTGGCGCATGCATTAGGTCAAAATAGAAAGCCTGTTCTCTGAACTAAACTACACTGGTTGATTGGTGGGAATATTCCCTTTCATCATTTCAGCTATTCTCCTCTGCCTTTCTCAATGATCCTTCTCTGCCTTCTAGCCTACATATTTTTGAAAATCTCCAGCAATAACCAACGAGTCAATATAAAGATCTATGCTTCAAATTATATCCATGGCAAGGAATATATGTTCTCTAATAGATTTGAAATATACCACGGAAAGTCCAAGTCCAAAATTTTCACAACAGGCAAGATCAACACAGAGTCCCAAATATGAAAATGGAGCACCAAAGAAAAGATATTTATATACCTTTCTTTAATGCATGAAAATATGGAGCAAGCAAAGAGGCTAGCTTTCCTCGAGAATCTTATACTACATCCGATCATACCCACTTTCTCTATGTTGGAATAATGGTTGAAATCCGCGCAGCCAAATGCACGGAGGTGACTCCCGAATGTCCAGTTGAGGGCACAATCTACGGCTATGCACCTGATATTGTGTTCAGCGTTGAATTCTGTATAATATTCGGCGTCTGTTCTCTGATACAGATCTGCCAGATGATAAGATGGCGTCTATGGTCATTTAGTATTTCCGTGATTCTAGGTTGTTCGACTGAAGTGATTGGTAGGTCAAACCACTCCATGGGAATGTTCAACTATACTGACAAAACATACAGGCTATTTCGGTCGGATACTGCTGCACAAAAACCCATATTCATCCGCCGGCTTCAAAACGCAGCTTTGCACGTTGACAATAGCACCCGCTTTCTGGTCTGCAGCTATATACCTGACGCTGAAGCATGGTGTGAACGTGTTTGGTCAACAATACTCGACATTGAGAGCGAAGTGGTATCCCTACATCTTCGTCACCTGCGATGTCATTTCGTTGATCCTTCAAGGCGCTGGCGGTGGGCTTGCAGCAGCAGCTAAGACACAACATGATAATGATATAGGCAGCAATGTTATGATTGCTGGGATTATTTGGCAAGTCGTTACCTTAACGGTATTTGGATTGATTTCGGGTCAGTTTCTTCTTCGTATAAAAAGCACCCCGAAAGATGAGATGACGGTTGAGGCACGAAGAGTTTGGAACAGTCGCAGTTTCTGGGTGTTTTTCTGGGGTATCCTTGTGGCCTTTTTCACAACTTATATCCGTTGCGTCTACCGGTAAGTCATTGGCCAATCCCTTTTTGATATTTGATATCTAAGTGCTGATGTTGGGGTTTCTAGTATCGCGGAGATGGCCGGTGGTTGGAAAAACCCCATAATGCAAAACGAAATTGATTTTATTATCCTTGAATCGGTGTAAGTTAAACTTTGGCTGAACAAGTTGGTAGGCGATTGAGAGCTGATGAATGCTAGAATGTGTGCCATCTCTGTGATATCCCTATGTATCACCCCTCCTGGGTACTTCTTCCCACACATGCGTGGGGACTATACCGGACCAGTGAAGGAAGTGAAGGACTCTGTTTTGTTAGAGCCAGAGCAAAGACGCAAATACCAGGAGCTTGTTTGATTCTAGCGAGTATCCACTGCTTTTTGCCCATATGAGCTTCATTGTACCAAGTCTGTATATAGGATATCAAAAACAAAAGTAGTTTCAGAGCCTCGGGAGTGGTAATACATGTCGGGATTTTTTTTTTCATTGCTTGATCGCTTCAGCAGGATTCTATTCTCTCAGTTTGATCTTATTTCGTCAATTCTGCGATATATATTCTCATGCCACTTTCATGTTTGGGTCTTGCCTTATGGGCCCAAAGCCGCCTAGCGAGCCAGAAGCTTCATTGAATAGTTACAAGAGATTGAAACATTGATCTATGCCGATATGTTCTATCCAGTATGCCAAATATACACCTCGAAGTACCATGAAACAACTATTGACCCTTAGCCAACGCGATAACCTTCTTTGCAGCTTCCTCGAACCCATCAAATGCATGTAAAGGAAGGCCACTCTCCGCGATCTATAAATATTCAAGTTAGCAACTAGATAATCGTAACGGATATTCAGATCAATCCTTACCATCTTCTGCCCCAGTTCCTCATTTGTACCTCGTAGTCGCACAACCACTGGAACCTTCATATTCAAATCCCGGAAAGCCAAGATAATACCCTCGGCAATCATATCGCAGCGAGTCAGTCCGCCAAATATATTGACAAAAACAGCTTTGACACGCGTGTCAGAGCAAATCACACGAAATGACGCCTTGACAGTCTCCGAAGTAGCCTTGCCACCGGTATCAAGGAAGTTCGCACAGTGGCCGCCGTGGATCGTCAGGGCGTCGACCGTGTTCATAGCGAGTCCAGCTCCATTGACTATGCGATGTTGTAAGTAATCACCTTTTAGTGAAGGTATAGATGTAAATACATACCGAGTGTGCCAATGCTGCCTTCGCCCTCCAACCTACTATACGTTAGCAGAAATACAACATCTATCATGGATGTGCTTCTACATACTTGACGTAAACGATCCCGTCCTTCTCGGCTTCAACCTCCTCCGGGACCTCTTCGAATATATTGCGAAGTTTGTGGATATCTTCCTGGCGGCCTGAGCTGCGGAATGCAGCATCGTCGAAGCCAAAACGCGCACCGTGGACCTCTAAAGCGCCATCAATAGAGATGCCAATCTGCGTCTCTAGTGTGAATGCCTCTTTTTCCTTGTAAATTTCCCAAAGAGCTTGTACAATTCCAGCAAGCTGCTTCTGAGCAGAGACTGGAAGACTCAAATGCGAGACAACGGCAGAGATGATGGGGTGTTCAAACTTGGTCTGGGTATAAGGAAACGGAAACTTCTGCGACTGAGCTGGGTTAATGTCAGAACTCTGCGAAGCAATGATGCACGGCGATAAAGCCGTTCGGTCAACTGTAATGGAAACAGAAATAGAACTTTCAGAGCTGGAAGCCGACTCATTAACAGGGACAGACTTCTGCTTGAGGATATCGAATGCCTGGAACTGCTTGATGTACAGATTACGCTTGTTCGCTGTCGGTCTGGAGATTGGCATAACTCGTCTCATAGTATGAAAGCCACGTTTTTGTGAGCTAGTCCCAGACATTGGCTGTGGGCACGTCAGTATACCTCAGATCGGACCTTTTCAAAAACACTCACACTTATACCCGGCCGAGACTGGTTCGCGAACAGAGCCTTCATTCCTTCGCCGAACTTTTCAGGGTGATTGACCATGACCGCACCAGCACGTTCAAGCGCTTGGTACTTAGTTTCCGCATCTGGTTCCCCAGGCGCAGCCCAGGCCCCAGCGTGTCCCATAATCCGGCCAGGGGGTGCTTCCAGCCCGCCAACAAGGGCCATAATGGGCCTGCCCAAGATCAGAAATCCATTCGGGAAACGCAGAGCAAAAGATAACAGACGCGATAACTCACTTGGGATCAACAGTCCTCCTTCGATAATCCTTAATCCACTCAGCAGCATCCATCTCCGCCGTACCCCCAATCTCACCAACCAGGATAATACCCCTGGTATCAGGATCATTCTCGAAGAGATTAAGAGCATCGACAAAGTTCGTGCCTGCTAGCACGTCACCACCCATACTAATGCAGAGACTCTGACCAAGTCCCGCCCGAGTCGTCGATGCGACTGTCTCATAGCTCAACGTCCCAGACTTAGCCACGATACTGACATTACCCGGCGCAAAGCAGGGTAATGGCTGGAAGCCGATTCGGCATTTACCAATGGCTGATACAATGCCTGGGCAGTTCGCACCCACCAGACGGGTCTTGGATTGCGTTTGGAGCATGGAGTGGATCTGTACTATTGTTAAAAATTACTTCAACCCTTCCAGACACAGTTAATAAGTGCTCATACCCGAAGAATGTCATGGATTGGCACATGCTCCGCCACGGCCACTACGAGCGGAATTTCCGCTTCAATGGCCTCTTCGATAGCTTTGGCGGTCTGATTTCCCGGAACATAGATCGCAGATGCGTCGGGTTTTGCTCGTTTTTGGGCCTGGTGCTTGTTAGTCAACCGATCAAATCACATCTAGTGCACAGTCCAATACCATACCACTTTGACTGATGGAAATACTGGTAGGCCTAGATGTTCGCCTTCAACGCCAGGCTTGACGCCTCCCACGATCTTAGTGCCCCATTCAAGAGACTCCTTGACATTGGCAGTTGCTTGTCTTCCTGTGGCGGATTTAGCATGGGATTTCATGTTTCAGATTACAGGGAGAGATAATTACCAGTAAAGCCCTGGAATAATACTCTCGTATGGGCGCCAATCTTGAGGTTTGGCAGAGTGTCCGCATAACTAGCAGTGCGGGGGGTAGTTGTGAAGCGTCTTGTTAGGGGGGCCCGCAACTGGGGTGCCCGTTTTAGCAGGGCATGCAGAGTCATGTCCAGGGTAGAATATACATGCAATTGTCACGGTGCCCAGGTGTATGGAATGAATTATATATGCAACTATAGGTACCCCGGGGACATTCCCGAGGTCCCTGGCGGGTGGGGCTTTCCTATTTGAGCTGCCGCCGCTTTTATTGGGGTACTTAGGCTGAGTAGATATCAGCACGGGCTCATATCTCAGACTATACCTAGAAGGGATTAGCCCCCACAGGGTCGTTTTGATAGAATGGCCATGACTTGGGCAATCTGAGCTGATAGGCATATATTCAAGTACAAGACAATGAACAAAGTATTCGTCAAACCACCCCCAATTTATCCAATAAAGCAACATCAACAGAACTTAGCTATCAATGCCAACCTCCATCTCAAACAACATACATCCAATTTCGTAAGTTCCGCCATGTTTATCACCACTGTCGGTATCACAGCCATTTGCGATTTCCCCCCACCAATCCAGACAATCATTATAAGGGACCTCGAGTGTATCTGTGCAGTTGTCAAGAGTAACCGTCATTGCAGCAGTATCCCAAGACTCATCGTAGGAGTCTGGAATTTGTGTTTGCAGTTGGTCCAAGAAATTATCACACCAGTGGGCAATGCCTCCTTCTGTTTGAACATGATTCGTTGTATGGTTATTCAGTGATTCGAGGGAGATGGTCGGGCCATCTCCCCCTTTGCATGTCAGTTTGCCAGTGGATGAGGGAATTCCGGTTGATGTGGCACTGGGGCTAGTGCCGGGGGTTGTCCCGTTGGTGGGAGTAGCCGTCATCGAGGTTAACTGTGTCGAAGTTAACTGGGCCGGGGTTACCGGTGTCGATGTTGGAGAGAACGTAGAGGCACTGGATTTGGAAGCAGTTGGGCTTATAGTCCCGTAAATAGAAGCACTGGAGCTTTCCCTTCTTTGAAAGTAATTAGTTTGTGCATAGAATTCTCTCATATTCGTCGACTTACGAGGACGATGGCGCAGGACAGGCGTCCAATTCTCCACGCGGGAGAATTTTTCCACTTCCACAGTCTAGATTCAATTGTTAGCGAGGTTTCCGATGAAAAATGACAAGATCGAACATAACATACTGGGGGGATTTCCTCTGGCCATGTTATATGCAACCTTGAGCTCACTGGGCAAATTGTAGCCTGCTGGAACTTTTGAGTTTGCTATACTCTGAACTCGCTGGAAAGCAGTCTTCTTGATATAACTCTTCACCATCGTCGACACACTCCCACTTGTGAACAGCTTCTTTGTGTCAGGAATACCAAGGTAATATGCTGCAAGGCCGGCCTGAAAAGAGCAAAAAGACGTTAACATCCAAATGGTACAGCATGAGAACCAGAAAACTTACGACAGCTGGGGCAGAGTAGCTGGTCCCGTCAACCTTTCTCACCCCCATAAAAGGAACGTCCAGTTCGACATTTTCCGACTGCGCAAATACAGTCAGAGATCCACCACCGGATCCCTGAGATGTAGAGTGTTCCCAAATTTGGCCTTCTTCGTTCACACCACCCACAGTGATAATACTGTTGGGATCTGTGCCCATGTTTTGTGGAATGCGCTCTTCAAGCTTTTCTTTATTGGAATTTCCCGCTGCAATTACCACTACCACATCAAGCTGCTCTAGCTCTGAAATAAAGTCTTCGAGACTTTTCTTTCGAGCGGCGATGTCCTTGGCTGAAATCTTTGAACCTGTGTTATCGAAGAATTAGTCTCTTTTCAAAGCTATTTTTGGGGACTTGAGACGAACCCCATGACATATTGACAACCGCCTTTCCTTGATTGGAATTCTTTTTGATGTGGTGTATAACATTGATGAAGGCATCTTCTATCGCAGCGAGCGGCGCATTTTTGCGCTCCAATTTGACATTGCCATTCGCGTCTGGCTTGTCGTATGCACTCTTGTATTTTACAAGGTACAGATCCGCTTTTGAGGCCACTCCTCGGATCACGCCTCCAGCAACAGAGGCGACTGAGGTTCCATGGCGACCCCAATCGGTGAGGTCTTCCGGCTTTCGCTGATTTTTTGGGACACCCATAAGCGTCAGATCATTAGGGACAACATAAGTCTCGACTTTTCGGTCCGTGTTTGCTAAATCCTATGGTTCAAAATTAGTATTTCATACATCCTTTTTTTTCATGAGAATACTTACCGGTTTTGATAAATCGAAACCTGTATCAATGACATAGATAGTCGTTCCTTTGCCAAGGGTATCGTCAAACAGATAGTCCTCAGTAGGTGTACCCATCTTGTCAGAAGAAATCAGTTTGAGGTGTGAACCACTTTGGTCCCGAGGCGATTGAGCTATAGCCCGCGACGAAAGCCATTTGTCCGACTTGTGGTTGGCCAAGTTGTGTAACTGATCAACTTCAGGTAAGAAATCTCGGCTGGGAACAGCACGGAAGTCCTCGTCATCATCTAGCTCGGTCACAGGAATGTTATAGGAGACTGTCCTGATAAAAGGAAGGGCATTGATAGTCGCAACCTGGGTCGCTGTAAGGTCTGTCACGTAGGCTTGGTGATCAACCTCCGAATAAGCCATTTGATATCCCGCGCCGCCGTCAAGGCCTTGAACAAAAGTCTTGAACGTAGCGAGGGATGTGCCACGCTTGGTCGTGATAAGGTATGAAGAGGAAGGCTTCGGTGATGCGGTTGAACTTGTAGACGTTCCAGATGGGGTTTTGGTTTCTGAAGCGGTCGTGGAGGTGGTCGTTACTACCAAGGCATCGTCCCATGAATATTCCTTCAGCTTCTGGATAGTCTGGTCCAAAGCCAGGAGTCCACCACCTGTGGCTACATAGCGAAGCCAGTATTTCTTGACATTCTGCGTAGCAGCGTCTCGAAGTATGGGAAGACCTTTCAATAATTTCCTCATTGAGCTCAGAATATCACGGCCTCTTTCCAGTTCAGGATAAGCCCTGGATATCACCCGGAGACCATCTGTGGTTAATTCCCGAAGCTCGATGCTAGAGCTTTGGGAGATACTTCTCATGGGGCCTAGCAACTGGTCCAGGCTTTCGACTGCTGAATCAATAGACCCAGAAAGTGAAGTCACTTCACTCTGTGCACCCCCGGAGGCCCAGGACTTGATGCCACTGGTGATTTTGTCCAGACCAGAAGAAATAGAGCTCTCAGCATCGCCTAGTCCAGAGATTGTATCAATCAAACTAGATATGCTTGGGCTGCTACCACCACCGCTACTTCCACCACCACTGCCACTACCAAACCCTTCGCCCACAGTAAATGACTGCCCACCAGCAGTAAGCGTAGGTGAATTGGAGAGATCACCAGGCATATCAACTTTCTCGCCATTAATAGACACCTGTCCCGAAGACAGCGTAAGCAGGGACCCATCATCTAGGACTATATCCAACGATGAATCATCAGAAGGAATGCGGTAGGTTTCATCATTGATAGTTACATAACCGCTCCAGGCGGAGGCCATTGACGATGACGCAGTCGTAGTCGTGGCCGCTCCTGAGGTTGTCGTTGTCCCCTCCTGAGATGTCGCCGAAGTCGAACCTCCAGACTTAGACTCGGACTCAGGTGGGTTTGATTCTTGAGGTCCGTCATAAGTCACGGTGACACCGTCAGTGGTCATTGTAGTTGCGCTTTTCAGGGTATGTGACCCGATTTGAATTCCAGATGGGCCTACCACGATGGGGGGTTGGCCGGACTGGGAGATCGTTGTTGGGGTGCTTTGAATGGGGACTGCCAAGCTCCCGATTGTTACGTCCGGGCTGTGGGATTGATATCCTGTGCTCGAAGATGGGTTGACAGAGGGGATTAAAGAAGATTTAGATGTAGATGGGGCGTTAGATGGAGATATAGAGGAAGCACCAGAAGATGGGATACCGGTAGATGGGGTATCAGAGGAAGTATCAGGTGAAGTCACAGATGAAGTACGAGAGGAAACTTTAGAAGTTTCCGACGTAGTACTTCCAGTTTTACTGCGCGAAGAACGTCCCGTTGTAGACGCCCTCGAACTTCCAGACTGGATTGGAACAGATGTAGAAGCAGTCGTCGTAGTAATAGATGAAGATGCACTAGCACTAGCAGTCTCTCCAACAGTCACAGTAACAGTTCGAACACTCGGCTCGATGGTCACAGTCGAAACACTCGGTTCACACGTTTCTATAGAACCAGCATTGTCATTAGCAATTACACTCCATCAGCAAATGAAAATGCAATAGCAATAGCACTTTTATACGGAGTTGCACTGCACTTACCAGCTCGATTGAATATATCCGGAGAAGCAAGGAGAGGGGTTACCCCGATAGCCGCTAGAAGTACGGCGTTTCGCGTGACCCACATATCTTGCAAAGAAGCGCACTGAAGTGGATGATATTTTGTGCTGTGTTTTCGAATTAATTTTCATTCCTGCTCGAGCATCTATACACTTTATAATCTGACTAGAACTGGGCTATTCAGCCTTGGAGTCTACCTGTCTACCTAGTCTTTGCTAAATTCGTGAATGTACTTTGAAACGGCCCCCTATGTCCTAGATGCAGGGGTATTGTAGCAATGCCGGGGGATCGGCTGAGGCATTTAATATTACCTGGGGCCGGATGAGATGATTGGACTCAGAATTATTCGGTTATTGATTTGACTCGTCGACGAGTCCTCGTCGAGGACTGCTCGAACAGATATTGAGTATAGCTCACAGTCGTAGCTTAGGATAGCGAGAGATTATTATTGGAGCTTATATAAAAGAAAAGACCTTAAACCTGACACTATGCAGGATCCTCTAAGTTGATACATTACACGGCCTCTACCTCTGCTTCTGGGCCTTGGGGCTGGTGAATTTCCCCGTGTTGTGTCAAAGTCAGCCCCAGGCTCTAAGCCTTGGGTAATATCTTCAAGTTTCAGGTTGGCGATCACCCATCTAGACCGGAACTGAGTGATTTTGTGACGTCGACTTAGACCTTGGCGTGGTCGGTTGACTGGCCAGAACTATATCTGCTTGCAGCTATGTACATGATTAAGATGATATTAGCATAGCATGTATATAGGTGATTTGGAAATATAGCAAGCTAAGTGGTCTTCAAAAACATAATTATATAGAGAATCCAAATGATACATTGGAATAAAGGTACAACTGCTTGTATGACGAGCATGAGATAAGCTGAGCTCGGGTCCTGGTTCTAGACTCATTGTTTTATCCTTGCTAATTCATATGACATACATATGGCAGGCAGCACTGGGGCCGAAACTGGGGCCATATGCAAGTAAGGTCGATCAGTATATAAGTCTGGAATGGTTGGCTCTGCCTTGTGTGGTACTTTTGAACCTGTTGGCGGACTTATCGGAGGCAGAGAAAGACCTGTCAGGGAAGATTCGGCCCGCTCCCAGTTTTATTTGATCTTCAAATTATACAGTGTGGGAGAGCCATTGTTAGTATGTCCCAATCGACTGAAGCATTTAAGGTGATGGACGTCGGGTAGCCTTCAGGGACATGCTCAGTTGTACTTAGCGATCGAAAAGCGGCAAGAGGTGAGCACTAAAGTGGAAAGGGAAGGGTCCTCAAGAAGGCTATTCAGCCAAGTCGGCTAATCCAAGCTTTCCCCACATTTACCGAGGAAGCTGTGTTTTATACTTCGAGAGGTTTAGGTAGAAAACAGATCGAAATATAAATTCGTTCGTTTACTTCACTAACTAGAGTCACTAGACACCCTCTTCCACTCAATATTCATTAAGATGAAGCTTCTTCCCCACAAATCTCCTCCTAGCAGGCTTCTCCCCACGTTGTTCCCGTTCCGCATTGAGGCCCTTAAGCGCATGAAGAAGCATACCAGCATCAAAGAAGCCGTCTAGTATAACAAGTTAGCAAAACCGCATAAACATAAACCAAGGTGCAAAAAGAAGGGACTTACATCCTCCCATCCCATCATCTTCCAGATAGCTACTATCAGCAGCCGAAGTTGGCGTATCAACACCCGCACCACCACCTCTTACAAGCCTCCCACGTCTATGCAACTCCGACTGCGCACTCTCCGCAAGCGCCTCAGTCTCTCTCGCGCGACTAGTGCGCGGACTAGGCTTGCGGTTCGTCGCGCGCAACAACTTCCGAATCTCAAATAGATACGACTCAAGCGTGTGCATAAGCCGCGCAGTCTGTCTGTGCTTTGAGCTTGCGCAGATCGAGATCGAGTCGTCCTTGATAATGTATCCGATACCGAAGCCGTCGGCGGATGTAGGGCCGAAGCCGAAGTGTCGCAGACACGGGTTTCCGCAGTTCGAGGTTGATAGTACGGTGTTGTTGATCTTGTCCCAGCCGGCGTCGGCGAAGATTGCCGGTGTCGGTGCTGTTGTGCGGTAGGCGCGTGTGCTACTTCCTGGCGAAGAGAGGCCGTCTTCTGAAGGGGAGGAGTAGGAGAGTTTCGGTGATCCGGGGCCTTGGCTTTGGGTTGGGGATTGCGTTTCGCCAGGGCTTGAGTATCCGCCTGTTGAGCTGCTGTCTGCGAAGAGACCTTCGTCGAAGGAGCGCTGCCAGAGGCAATATAGGGCGTAGAGATGGCGGTCTGGGCCTTGGCCCTTTGAGCATTCCTTAGTAGCGGCGGTGTGTTTCTCGCATGCGGTGCGGAGGGCGTCGACCTTTTGTTCGGCGGCGTTCTCGCCCCAGAATGCTTGGACAAAGTCTATGCATTCTGTCGTTACGGTGCGTATGGCTTCCGTGCGTCCGTGTAGGAACATCTTTGTCATGGCTGGTTCGTAGGTGTTCTCAAGTCGGCCGTAGAGACCGTAGTAGGCGGCCTGGAAGGCCATCTGGATGAATGCGTCCGGAGAGAAGCCCATTGAGGTTATGAAGTTCTTGCCAAAGCCTTCAAAGTCCAGGACTTGGAATTCGTGTTGGTAGAGCAGGTCGGAGAGATGTGATTCGGCGAAGCGGAGCGCAATGTTAAGCTCGGGTGTCATGTCCCATTCTAATTTGCGAGGTGTCGTGCTGACGTTTCCAAAACTGCGCGGGTCGCGTTTCGCTGGGTCGGGGCTGCTGGTCGCCCATAGGCTCGGGGATTGGCCGTTGATGGTCCTTGCGAAACGGAGAATGGTATCGGTGTACACGTCACTGGCGAATCGTAGCACTGTGTGGCCATCCACGCCGGTATGCTCGAAGTTGATACCTGCACTACCGTTCTTGCAGACAATAATTTGCAGCTTATCGTACCACCGGTTGGTGCATGTTCCAACCTGGACGCCCTTGATGACTTCGCTTGTGCCACAAAGCATGTTAGCACAAAGCTCTGACGTGGTGGATGGCTCTGTGTCATCCAGACATAGGACAAAAAGGGCGGTATCGACAATGTTCAAACACTCCGCATTGTTAGACCTGGAATCTTTGGTCATGATATCGCGAAGCCCCGACCAAACTTTCCGATTCTCGGTACTAAGTACACCCAAAGCACCCTTGGCAGCCTCGTGAAGCGGAGTTTGAGCCGCATCCTCAATGATTACCTGCAGGTTAAGCGAGATATCCTTCTCGCTCATAATCAAATCGCTATTGTCGTCCAAGACATCAAACCAGTAGAACTGTCCCCGACACATAACAACCATGTGTTTAGCCGAGGGGTCCTGGCTAATAACACAGCCATTATCGGTAGGCAGACGTGCTGTTCCAAAAAGCCGCGAGTACTGATACATGCAAAGAGGCGTTCCTCGCACAGTATCAGGAGGCAACTCCTCTCGACGCACAGCTCGAACAAATGCCAATGCTGAGACCGCCAGTGACGCAGCTCGAGTCACCTGATGGTTCCTTGCAGGAGTTGGGTCGTCCTCCAAAAGGAAAAATGGGTTGAGGTTCAAAACAACAGCTGCTAATGTTAGATGACCGCAAAAAGAGGCCGAACAGGAAAGCAAACTTACGATTATCAAAATTCAAGTAAGAATCATACCCTATAAATGATCAGTTAACCGCCTATGCTATCCTTGATTCTGGATAGACTTACAAAATTGCTCGATATAGCTCGTCTTTGAACCGGCATAAGCCTTAAGCCGTTCTTGCAGAAGAGGACCATCATTCTTTAAAAAGTCCCGAACAGCAGCCTTGGTCTCTTCATGATCACGGGGATTTTGCAAGCCCTGCAGAGTATCTAAGTACCTGCGACAAGTATCCTCCAGATCAGGGATAGGAAGTTTAGGTAGCGAGTCCTGGTTTGCAAAAGTCAAGCCCTGACTCTTAGGCTTGTGGAGTTCAGCAACCTCAGAAGAGGGCTGTTCAGTAGGAACATTTGACCTCACGACCGTATGGCCATGGGGGTCAGACCCGGAATTCTTGTTTGTGTCGGCGTCCATAGAATTACCAAGTGGTTTGGGGGCTGTAAAGTATCTGACTGCCAATGAGGAGTAAGACATGATGTTAGATGTGTTCGACCTCTTTAGACGAGATAAAATCAGGCGTAGCGACTAGCAAGGAAGGTAGGAATTGACAGGAGACGTAGGGCTGTGCGATAGAAGTAGTGGCAGTCTTGAAGGCAGTATGATGGCATTGAGACTATGTCATGTGCAGACGCCGATAGATGGGCATGGGACAATGGGATAAAAGATGTATGGGGATATATGAAAGTCACAAAACGAAGACTAAGCAGAGAAGAAATCGGGTGGCGTGGGAGAACAAGAGAGCGTGGGTATCCTTATATGGGAGTGAGGATTATAGAGCGATCTCGACAGCGGTGGATCCGGCTCGGGCCTAAGGGGAAATGGAAAGGAACATAGTAGACTGAGCAATAGACTTACAGAGTACCGCACAATGGTGCAGATGATATGCAACCCCGAGCTACGGGTTGTTGTGACCGGATGATACTGTGGGAGAGCGGAATGATAGCGCCGGAGAAACGGATGAGTTTCACCCTGCCGTCTGTCAGATGTCAATTGCCAAGAAAAAAGACCCGGTGAACAAGTAGGTCATAGTTGCTACAAGGTGCCTTTATGTATCACGGGAGACTCGGAGGGTTTATAATATATCAACATCACACCTTCGGCCATTTTTCATGAAGAATGTAGACGAAAATGGCTTTGTCTTGGAAGGATACCCCTCACCCGCCCGTGGGGGTAATCAAGGGGAGAATGATAGGGTAGAATGAGGGATAGACCAGGCTAAGAAGAACTTACTTCTAAGGTTAATGCCAATCACCGATGGGCCCTGCACGCTGCGGGTAGGGTATCTTGGCTCGGGGTAAAGATGTAAGAAACTCGTCGGAGTTGGGAAGATTAAGGTCGAATAGTTCTTTAATAAAGATAAAAAAGATGTCTCTAAGGACCGAGGACCCTTTTTTTTCACCGTGTACCCGACACAGAAGTTCCCGGAATTTGAAGTATATCGGTATCGACTCTCACTTCATGTTCCAATGACGTTTCGGGCGAAGGGACCGGTCATGCGGGGGAGCTTCGGGTCACGTGGACACGCGTCATAGAGTCCACACTATGTTTGTATACAATTACAACTACTCCGTACTACAACTACAATGGAAAATATTAGTCGGAAAACTTCATTACATAGGGTTGTACACAGTACATCACGCTCGCATAAGAAGAAAATGACGCCAGAGATTTTATCCACAGGATGCACCGCAACACAAAAGTGGCGGAAAGGTGTCAAAAGAAATATTCACAATGGAATAATAATATCTGCATTGCCATGTGTCCTCCCAAGTAGAAGGACGAAGCACGCTTGCATACATACAGTATGGGTCACAATGGGAGACCCACTCGAGCTCCGTCTCTCCTTCGAGAATAGCTCCCGAGCAGTATCACCGATTGAGGCAGGACATGCAAATGACGAAGAAGGTAAAAGACAAGAAAATAAACCCCATGACGGAAAGCGAATGCGGGGGAACATGTCGCTTGGAACAAGGTTGATTGGTTTAGATCATACCACACAGAAAAAGCTTCAGACGTGGCATTCTCAAATCAACAGCTCCGTATATCTCGAGACATTTATGCGCTCTTGGGCTTCAAGACGTTCTCGGCATAAGCGCCGGCATAGTTACCGGGGGTGCCATAGTTGCAAACAGTGTAGGGCGCGGCACCACCAACGTTCTTCAGATCGGAGCAACTGACGGTAGCGCAACCGACTTGGGTAGTGTCCTTCCAGACGATCTGAGTGAAGTGGCCCCAAGCAGAGAAGTTGGTCATATCAGGGCTGGCCTGACCGTAAAGGCCAGCGAAGGAGGGAGCTTCATTGGTGTACATCATCTCGCTGATGATCTTCTCACCGACTAAGGCCTTGTCATAACCGTATGCGATGTTCTGACCGTAGGCTCCACTGGCAGACACAATGGAACTAGTAAACGTTAGTATGGTTGTTTCTCAGGCAAAATGAAGGAATACCTACGTGTCGTGTCCGTACTCGCAACGCGAGGCAAGAGTGTTGGCAGCCTGCTCGAGGTCGGTGGACCAGGTCAGGGCGGGGGCAGAGTGGTCGCTGCGGTGAATGTTGTGGTAGTGGAGGATGGACTCCTGGTAGGAGCTTCCAGCGCCGGGAGCGGGAGCAGCAGTGGTAGTAGCAGCGGCGGTGGTCGTGGATGCCGAAGTGGTAGCAGCAGAGGTGGTAACGGCAGTAGTGGTAGGCTTAACTTCGGCCTGGGTGGTCGAAGAAGTAGTCGAAGAAGTGGTCAAAGACGACGTGGTCGTGCTGCTAGGTGCAACAGTCTCAACCTCAGTAGCAGGATCATTCTTGGGAGCGTCGGTAGTGGGAAGGGGAGCAACGGCGGCCTTGGTGTGATCCTGGATGGCCGAAAGAGTGGTGCTGACAGTGCCGGTGGGCCACTGGGTAACAGTCTCGGTGACGGTGACGACAGTCCAATCGGTCACGAAAACGTCCTTCGTAACAACCTTGGCACAAGCGCCGGCCGCCAAGGCGGCAACGATGACAGCAGAACGCATTTTGGATGATAGACAATGAAACTTCACCAGGAAGTTTGTTTAGAGAGTTGGGGTTGGTTCAGGCAGATCGACTGCGTTGACAAAGGAGTGTGGATGGTGAGAAAGGAATGGCAGGCCTAAAGACACCTTCTTTCCTTAAAGAGCGCAAGGAAGATAAGATGTAGGCTGAAGAGATTGGCTTAGAGGGAGAAGGGAGAAGGGAGAGAGGGGAGGTTTAATGAGTAAATATTGTAGAAAGGGGAGACCGGGATGAAGTGGGGCCGTGCGAAAGAGGACGGATATTAATTTTAAATGAAGTCCAATTGAGAGTCCATATGAATCCAAATGAACAAGGATTATTTTATTTCGAATTTGGAAAAACCTCAAAGACTATATGTTATAGTTATTCTAGGAATTTCCAACCTCTAGTGGTTGTGAACATACTTCAATGTGGCACATTCTATAACATACATACATTCCAAGTCCTAGATACCATTCAGAGATATGAGGCTGGACATTTGTACCCTAATCAAAATATTCTCCGGGACATCACCTGCAATTTCCTTTGAAAAGATTAATATACTCCGTATGTGATGTGTCTGTACTTATTCCCCTGGATCATCTGTGGACCTTTGTAAATCATATAGTCCTAAAGAGTCCACTCAGAGGAAACAAAGGAACTTGATTAAAAGCGCCATGGGTTTCGATAGAAAATCTTGGGAAAATATCTCCTACGGAGTACCTGTACCATAGGTAAGAGCAATAGATCGTTCTGATCGAAGCCAGGCAGACAGCCAAGCCCCTTGTCCAGGAACAGTTTGAAACGTGTCCACACCGTAGCTTAAACAACCAATCACCTGACCATATTTATACCAATCTCCCCACTCAAAACCCGCTAAGGAACTTAGTATACTCGGGATCTGAGATAGATTAAATAAAATAACCTCGTTTCAGCCACTCATTTAACATGGTCCTGTACTCCGGTCACTCCGTCTGTACTGGTAATCAAAGTATGAATTTCCCTTTGTACCTTCTCTGGTATTTTATAGCCATTTACTCTCTATTGTTGACATTAGAACCTAAGTATCATGGGACAACCAATCAGAACCAAACGGAAAGAGTCCTGGATCGTTGGTGTACCTCGCATCCATGGGTCAACTGTGGGACAGGGCGCTTAGCTACATGTATAACAATACAAGGATGCTCCTGACCGGAGTACGGAGTACATTTGAGGGAGAAATCCAAAACATTGATATTTTCACTGCCTGTACGATCGCATCTGCCTTGCGAGATTCTAGCCTTTAACGCATAACTCCACATTCGGCATTGGAGAGAGCCCACATGGTCTAGAGTCCACAGGGACGGCAGGAGATCCGCTCCGAAGTAACGTAAAGCGTGAAATACCCAACCGAACCAGACGTCCAAGAACGCCACACACAAAAAACACCCCTGATGTTAATATCGAAAAATATAGCAAAAAATCAATAGTGCTTGTCTAGAGATCAATAGTTCGGCATTTCCCAGTCTCACAAACCATCAAGTAGTTTTTGGCCGGCTCGGCGGCTTTTAAATCTTTAAAGAGCACATTGCGGGTTTTCAACCAGAAGGACTGGTTCCCCACAAAGTCTTTCAAATGTGAGGGCCGAATGTCAACAAGCGAAGTGACCACGGTAGACGAGGACACTGCCACATCGGCCTCGTCCCGAATCCGTCGCCGGATTATGTCGACTGCCGATATGGGCTCATCATTCCGACTGAGGAGACTGTCGCCACGTGGATTAGGGATCGAGGAGACATCGGCGGTGGAGAACACACCCGTGACCGTGCGAGTACCAATTTGGAGGCCCACAACCACGTCCAGCATTCCTACGAACAGGAAGGGGTGCTGGATGATCTCCACGGCAAAGGTGTTGCACGTCTGCCGGGCCAAGGTCCGGTAACTCTCATCCTCGAGTAGAGCGGACAGGCGCAGCAAATTACGCGCAATGACTCCGTTTACCGAAGGTGTTGCTGATTCGGTACCAGTCTTCAGACGGAGGAGAGGGCCCGGCATGCCCGGGGTGGTGACCGAAGGTGTACTGTAGTATCCAGTAGTCGTAGAGCCACTTTGAGCCAAGAAGTATTCATTAAGGTATTCTAGAATCACCAAGTTAGCCACCACTTCCCATTCAACCTAACGGGGTTGTTCTCACTTTGCAATCGCTCGGCAAATTGAAGATAGCTGTCGTCGTAGGTAGCCTCATACATGTCGAGCAGCCCGCTAGCCAAGTATGCATAATCATCGGCGAAACCTGGCGTGTCTCCATGGTTTCCATCGCGGTAAATGCGCCATAGCTGTCCTGTGGCTTTGTCGAAGAGCTTGTCCTTGATGAAGCTGATTGCCCGCGCTGCCGCTTCACGACACTGCACGGCCTTGGAGCTCTCGATCTCCTCAAACAGAACACTACACTTGGCAAGCGCGCCGATCGCCAATCCATTCCAAGCCACGATAATTTTGTCATCCAGGTCTGGTCGCCCGCGTGTTCGTTCGCGGTAATCCTGCAACTTCTGCTTTGACGACTTGATTATCTTAACCACTTCTTCCTCGCTAAGACCGAAATCTTTAGCGAGTTTGCTCGGTGTGGCGCGGATGGACAACACATTTTGGTTCATGAACTCATCATGCGGATCGTACTCGGGTGGGACGTTGCCGTCAGGGAGAACACCCCAGTGTTTGGCGCATACTGGAGCATCCCGAGGGCCAAGGACTGAGGTGAGTTCCTTCAGCGACCAGACGTAGAAGGCACCCTCCCGCTTTTCGGTGTCATTTGGATGAGGGTAACTATCGGCATCTTCCGAAGAAAAGAACCCTCCGGTGGGCGACTGTATCGGTTGACTCGTCAAGTAGGCAGCCAGATCATATACAGCGCCTAAAAGCTCGGGGTCGTGCGTGAGCCGGAAAGCATCCACGTAGGCATCCAGTAGTTGCGCCTGGTCATAGAGCATCTTCTCGAAATGGGGGAGACCCCAGTCCGTCGTCACGCTATACCGTGCGAATCCGTGGCCGATATGGTCCCGAATGCCACCACGAGCCATGTTTACTAGTGTGGTGACGGCCATCGCGGTTGCTTTTTCACACTCATCACGCCCTACAATATCCTTGACCTCAGTCGGGTAGGCGCCGAGCCGGAGTAGGAAGCTAAGGTTAGACGGTGTAGGAAATTTGGGCGCGCGACCAAAACCGCCATTAACCGAGTCGTATCGAGCTGCGAAATGCTGATACGCTTCTTCTAGGAGCTCAATATCCATTTCCTCGTCTTTATCATTATCACGATCACTCTGCAGCGAGTGAGTTCCTTCCTCGGCAAACTCTTTCAATTGTTTGGTGATTTCTTTAGCGCTTTCGAGGCAACGTTGTTGTTGTGTCTGCCAAACATCTCTCAGTTTTTCCAAAATCTCCACGAAACCGATAGCCTCAGGACCTGTAAATGTGTTTGAATTTGGGCCTTGCCAGTAAGTGCCACCGAACACGGGCTCGAGATCAGGAGTCAGAAACACATTCAAGGGCCAGCCGCCAGAACCCGTTGTGGCTTGCACATAATTCATGTAGATGTCGTCGATGTCTGGTCGCTCTTCACGATCAACCTTGATCGGAACGAAAGACTCATTCAGAATCGAAGCCACCTCTGATGACATGAACGATTCTTTTTCCATAACATGGCACCCTAGATAAGATTAGAATACCAGTATCCCCAGTGAGATGGTTGTAACCTACAATGGCATGCGGAGTAACCAATACTGAGAAATATTAAACGGTTGTGCTTCTTGGCAAGCTCCATGGATTCTGCATCCCATATTTGCCATGCTACGGGGTTGTTCATATGTCCACGAACCTGTTGTTCTGTGAGCATGTTGCAATTTCTCCCAAGGGAAGACATCTCTTACATAAGGGGATTTGCTTTGCTCCAAGCGATTGACCATTTTTGGGCCCGCGTCAGGTACATCATGACGCGGGTGTGCGTGGTTGACTGAGACTGCCATTGTGACTTTTCAATGTTTTTGCTGGTCGGAAACCACCTAGGTCGACGTCAGCCCGAAGCCCCGAGGCCCAAGAGGGGTTACTAACGGCTTTCGGAAGTAGGTACCCAAATTTAGAAGCTACCCCGCGATCGAGTCCAAATGGAATATAAATTGGTGGCTTGTGATACAAATAATATCTTTTCACTGGGGAAAGAAACGGGTTGGAGCGTGTCTTAAAGAATAAAGTCGTGTGCGGGCCACCATTTAGGCGGGGGAGTCGAGGCGAAGGTCGAGGACGCGGGAGATCGGCCCTGTGCGTCATGGATTCATCAGGAAGATCACGTGAGCAATATACGGTTGTAGTGTTTATTGTACCTTCTATAGTCTACATTGTATGTTATTCGGTGCACTACACATGTCTCTGCTGGGTATGTATACACATGCTTAAAACACAATTGGGTATCACATCATCTAATCATCTCCCATCAGCTCTGCCAACTCTGCCTCCTCCTCTGCTGTTAGCATTGATTCAGCAGGCTTGTCCTCCTTCTTCTCCTCTTCTGCGGGCTTCTTTGCAAGTTCAACTGCCTGCTGAAGCTCATCGGGTCGGAGGGACCACTGGCGAATGGTCGCATCAATTCCTACACTGACAATAGTTGACCCCACAAGCACAAGCCCAGTGACCTCCTCGAAGTGTCCAGAGAAAGTATGATGGAGTGCCCCAGTCTGTGTTGATCAGTATATATCCCATAGAATAACCGAAGAAAAGAAAGAAACGCTTACCGATCGGTTCCACACTCTGACTTCTTCGTCCCGGCAGGCAGTCACAACCCAGCCTCCTGCTTCATAGACGACAATATCACGGACAAAGTCAGGATGTTCTAGGGTCAAATTGGCCTTCCATCCATCTTCTCGAACCAAACATTTGGCAGTTTTGTCAGCTGAGGCAGTCCAGAGATCACCGTCATTATCGAAAAAGAGCTTGTAGACACTAGTTTCGTGTGGGAGGAGAGGGTCAGTAGTATTTCCACCGCCAAAGATACTGAATTGGCGAATCTCCCGGTCACTTCCCGCACTAAATACAATTGGCTGGGTGGTCTCCGATTCTGGGTCAAGGGCAAGGTCCTGGATGCCGCGAGAGTGGCCCTTGAAGGTCTCCAACCGCTCACCACTCGTAATATTGAACACCAGGACTTGTGCATCGGCACCACCGGAGATGAGCAAGTCATCTCCAAGCAGTCTTGCACTGGTGACTGTTCGAACAAAATCGGCATGGCCTTCGTACTTCTGGCGTGGCTGGCCCGTGGCCGTGTCCCAGCTCCAGATAGCTTTATCCCAGCACCCAGCAAACAGGAGCTTGCCATCAGGACTCAAACAAAGACAAGTAACGGGAGCCATAGGACCTGTGAACACCCTAGCTGTTTCCCCTGTCTGTAGAAATGTGAGAACTCAAATTCCTTCAAGAATTTGAGACGGTTTAAGATTACGGGTACACTTACGGCAAGGATAATCCTTCTCACGGTACCATTACTTTGCGCGACATAAATCGAGCCAGCATTCCAGGGGTCTGGATGAGCTGCTAGGATCTTGCCTTGTAGTCGAATAGGATTTCCATTGGTATTATGGGCCTTGGCATCCTTCCGCTCCTGGTCATCCAAAGATGCACTGTGAGGGATCTCAATTTAATACTTTTCAATTCAAAGATCAAAGAATGATTCTGACTCACGATGTCTGAAAGAAATGATCTCGATTCGAAGATGTCGTCATCGTGTCTTAAGTATCTTAAACTAAGTCAAACGTAAAAGGCAGCTCTCATTTTTCCCCATCCACTTCTCCCCCGCCAACTCCAAAATTGCTATCCGAGCTTACATCGTCCACCGTAGCCCGCATCCTCCACAAAACCACAGAATTTGCGTTTCCTCTCCCTTCCCTTCTCTTCCCAACCTCTTATCTCGTCTATTCAAACCTCTCCGTTTTCCTTTTCATTCCCTTCGTACCCCCCCCTTTGCTTACCCCGCGCGATATCGCGCACAGCTGCCATGGAAATGAATCACCTCATAGGGTCAGTTTGAACGTGTTCGGAGCCAAGGTGGCCTGGAGTTAACATCTAGCAGTCAGCGTTTCAACCTGATCTCAAAAAGTGATATTCGGTAAGTTTATCAGATCCTCCCTATTGCCTTGACCAGAATTAATTGTCGTTTAGCTATGTCGGTACTCTTCACGAAATCAACCCCGAAGCTTCCACGATAGCCCTTGAGAATGTCATGTCATTCGGTTCAGAAGGGCGCCGTGGTAACCCCGCCGAGGAAGTCCCTCCCTCCACCAGTGTCTATGAATACATCGTCTTTCGAGGAAGTGATGTGAAGGACATCAGCATTGCTGGGGAGGACCAAAAGGATCCCGCACCGCAAGAACCACCTCGGGTACCAGATGACCCTGCTATTCTCGGGGTAAGTCACCACCACTCTTTGCTCGATCTACTGCGTCATCCCGCACATGAAATCCCCACCCATTGTCTCGGCGAATTGATCAAGTGACGAAAAATTCTCGGATGTAAACTCACAGACCTGTTCTGAATGCGCAAAGCCGTGTGGAGATTTCCGTTGCCTTCCTTCTGATGATCAACTCGCCATCTTGGAATTGCCTTATGTGTCTCATTGTGTGTGTACAGTGTACTGACCAGCGCAAATAGGGTGCGCAACGACCGGCTCCTGTCCAAGGGCCTGACTCGGGACCGGCTCCACCAAATCTTCCCCCCCAGGGCCCTCCCCAGCTGCCCCAGGGAGCCGGCCCAACTCCTCCCGGTTACCCTCAGCAGCACCAATTCCAGCAAGGCTTCTACCCACCCTACGGACAGCAGCGATTTGGACCACCTCCGCCATTCCCTCCCGGTCCCGGCTTCCCACCCTACGGTGCTCCGCCCGGATGGTACCCCCCACCAGGCCATGGATTCCCCCCTGGTCCTGGTCAATTCCAACCCCCGATGCCTATTGGTCCTGGCCAGCAGCCTGGCCCTCAGCAATCTGCACCTCAACAGCCTGGATCTCAGCAGCCTGGGCCTCAGCGCGCGGGGCCTCCCGGTGCCGCCCCCGCACCTCAGCCCACCTCTGAACTCCCAGTCGGGGAGAAACCCGCCAACAAGTCTACGAGCCGTAACGCAACCCCCACCGCTCAGAACGCCCCCACTCCTCCAATCGAGTCCAAGCCTACAGTGGCTGAAGCTTTGCAGGCGCCTGTTAGCACTGCTCCTCTGACTGCTCAGAAGAATGGCCGAGTCATGCCAGCTATCCCCATTGCCGCTCCAAAGCCAGCTCCTCCGATCGCCCACATTCCTACAGCCCCTCGGGGAAATAACCAGTCAACCACTGATGCCACAGCGGCCGCCACTGCCGCCGTTGCTGCTGCCATGGCCAAGTTGCCGCAGCCTGGCGCCCAAAAGCAACCCGGACAGCCTGATGGTGTCGTGGACGCACTTGCGCAGCAAATGAATCACATGCGCCCTTACGATAACACCCGTGCTCCCCGGGGCGGTCACCACCACCCTCGCGGTGGACGCGGCGCTCGTCAGCAACAGCCCAAGAAGATTGAAGTCCCCCAATCTGATTACGATTTCCAAACCGCCAACGCCAAGTTTAACAAGCAGGATTTGGTGAAGGAGGCCATTGCCACTGGAGTTCCTGCCGCTGAGGCTGAGACCCATGCAGCCGAGGAGGCAGAATCAATGGAATCCATGTCAAACGGTGGCACCTCTGCGCACCATGGCTACAACCGCGGTTCCTCCTTCTTCGATAATATCTCGAGCGAGGCTCGCGATCGTGAGGAAAACACCGCTCGTGTCGGTGGTCGCGAATGGCGCGGCGAGGAAGAGAAGCGCAATATGGAAACCTTCGGACAAGGAAGCGTTGATGGCTACCGCCCCAACTACCGCGGTCGTGGCCGTGGTCGCGGCTATGGTCGCGGTCGAGGTGGAGGTGGTTACGGTCGTGGCTACGGCCGTGGCCGCGGCGGCCGAGTCGCCTCGGAATCTACTGGTGTTCCATCCCAGGGTTAATCGAGATCTCTTCTTTTGATTACATGTCCTTCTAGCGATGATTGCTATCTTGTTTTCATATTTGGGGTGGCAAGACTATGACCGAAACGAATAATCACGCTTGAATCTTTTCTAGTCTCTTCGGCGCAACGGCAAACTGGGGCCGGGGGCATACTGGGTTGATCATACGATACTTCCTGCGATAGCAGTTATGGGTGTTCCTCTTGTGTTTATTGTTATTCTTTTTTTTTTCGTCTGCCACGCATACCCTTTCTGCAGCGTCTTCTGAAATTCCTGGTTCCAATGGATATTTCCTTCTCGTCTTTTTACTGCGCAGAAAGTGGCCAATGCACCACGATCTCTTGTGCTCGGCATAGAGCAGATATCGTTATTGTGTGTACACCATCTGGGGAACTCCCTGACCTAAATGAAAAAGGCAAAAAAAAAAAAACGAGGCCAAATGGCCTACGAATATGTTTCTTCCCTTGTAAATGTAAATACTGTATATACCCTTTAGCGTTCATCCCGAAGATCAATTCTATAGATAGCATTCGCCCACCGTTCCAGATGTCATAAGGTCCCCACGGAGAAGTCTCTTCCGCATATGTGAGATATCCAGCCCTCCAGGGCTGTACTCCCCGAACTTACGTCAGATATCCTGCCTTCCAAGGTTTACCTTGGGCTGTTTATACATCATTAACACCCAAAGAGGGAACTACACCGCAACACACCACAGTTTGATTACGATCCATACATCCTGTTGTTGCCGAGGTTCAACCTCGGGATACGCCATTCAATTGGCAACTTTCCAGCCAGATAATGCGGGAGAAAAGATATATGGAAGATGGAAGATAGAAGAGAAGATCCCACTATCTAATTAGGAATCATGTTCCGAACATACGAGACGCTAATCCTGAAGCACCCACTTTTTTAACACAAATCTTCCAGTATGGAGAAATCAGCCCCGCCGAGTACAACACAATGGCATTGTGGGTTTAAACTCGTATCTCCCATTTTGACGGTGTCAACGGCATCCAGCTTTTCCAGACTTTCTGTCAAGTTGCATTGAAAAGATGTCTTCCATTCAAGTTGCCGACCAGCTACCATGGGATCCTAACAACACCAAATTCCCATCGCGGAAGGATCTTCCAAATATCCCTGGTGCACCTGAGGGTGCTGCTTGGGTCTGGGGCAAAGATGATGAGGTGGGATGCTGCAATTTCCTATATGTTCTGTTCCTGTGGCTAATCTGTCTGATGTATAGCTGGGCAGATTGAACCTCTTGACGCCGCAGCGGGTCAAGGAATCTATTGCTGAGATTGAGACTGGCGAGATGGTGCGACTAGAGTAAGTGGACTATAACATTAGAAGAATCAAGATATCCGCTTACAAGTGTCAACTCCAAGCCTTCCTCTCACAGTACCTGAGCACCCGATTATGGGCCGCGAGGTATTCCAGCATAACATCAAAACGCTTGTTGAGGGTGTTGCTTATGATGATACATACACTCTAAATACCCAGAGCGGGACGCAGTGGGATGGATTCCGTCATGTAAGTGATTACTCTGACTAAAAGCAACCAAAATCTCCCATTTCCTGATCTAATCCGTCCTAGTTCGCCCACATCGACAGCAATTGTTTCTACAATGGGGTATGTACCACGCTCCCATTCCGGTCTCCCTAAACTAACCCATAAACTAACCCATCAACGCCTAGGCCAAAGGTAGCGACTTCGTAGGCGAAACCGCCAACCACCGCTGCAGCGTCCACCACTGGGCAATGCACGGAATCGCCGGTCGAGGCATCCTCCTGGATTACTACCACTACGCCAAAGCACACAACAAGTCCTACGACCCCTATACAACACACAGCATTACCCTATCGGAGCTGCAAGCATGTGCGACCTCTCAAGGCCTAGATCTACGTCCGCAGTCCGAAGGCGGCGACATCCGCGTTGGAGACATGCTCCTCATACGCTCCGGCTTCGTGGATCGATATCACGAGCTGAGTAGTGAGCAGCGGCGTGCAGCTGCAACACAGTCCCACGAGGGCTTGTGCTTTGCGGGACTGTCGCGTGAGGAGGCTCTCCGGGACTGGTTGCACGATTGCTATTTTGCGGCTGTGGCGGGTGACTCGCCGACGTTTGAGGCATGGCCTGTTCCTGAGAGTGACTATTTGCATCAGAGCTTGCTGGCGCTGTGGGGGTGTCCTATTGGTGAGATGTGGGATTTGGAAAGACTCGCTGAGAAGTGTCGGGCGAGGGGGAAGTGGTCTTTCTTTATGACTAGTGCTCCAGCCAATATGCCTGGTGGAGTTGGTAGCCATGCGAATGCCACTGCTATTCTTTAGATTGGATAGTGGTCTATCGAGGGTATTTCTTAGTTACTATGTACTATCCGAATGTTGGAGGTAACCTCGCTTCATCGTGGATGACAAATGTGGAATATATCTGTTTTTACCAAGTGCGTTGTCCAAAATATATACCTCATTCTGACCAGGAGTGTCTCTCATAACTAAGGGAAGAAATGATGATTAGAGATAGATCTCTATCATTACACTGTGTTTATGACTCTTTCAAGTCTCGTTGAAGTATAGAATGAACATCCTTGTCCGGTTCGGGTCAACCTCGGACGGCGACATCTCCGCATTTCTCCACGTTCGACCCCCATCCACTTCCATTCCTATATTGAACTTTTACTACAAACTACGCAAACTCGGCCCGGACTGCCGTTTTTTGCTGTTCACAAAAAGGAGTGCAGCTCCAACTTTCGGCCTTCCCCAAGGCATCAGATTCTCATCATAATGAGCACCCAGACGCAAACGGAAACAATCGTGCTACAGACAAGAGCTTCTATCGAAGCGATTCCAGCCGAGAATGAGACATCCCAAGATTTAAGCCAAGATTCAAGCCCCCAAGATCCAAAATGGATGTATGCCAAAATCCTCAGCGCAGGATTTTCATTTTTCGTCGCGGGGGTCAACGACGGAAGTCTCGGATCGCTCATTCCATACGTGATACGCACCTACGACGTCGGGACGAACATGGTAGCCGTACTGTAAGACAGATCAAGCATATCTATCTGAACTACAACACTAATATTCATCAGATATGGCACAACCTTCTGCGGCTGGCTAATCGCCGCCTTAACTAACGGCAAACTAACTCAATACCTAGACCTAGGCCTGATGCTCGGTCTAGGTGCCGTCATCCAAATCGTAGCCCATGTATTGCGAGTCTGGGAACCCCCATTTGCACTGTACGCAATAACATTCTGTCTCGCAACCTTGGGCCAAGCCTACAATGACACCCATGCCAACACTTTCGTCTCGACGCTGAATGGTGCGCATCGCTGGCTCGGCTTTATCCACGCTATGTACATGGCCGGGTGTCTGGTTGGACCGTTTGTAGCGACGGCCATAGCATCGGTGACTGTCGATTCGAAGTGGTCTCTGTTTTATCTTGTCCCGGTTGGCCTGAGTGTAGCGAATCTTACGTTTGTGGGTGTTACTTTCCGGGATCGGATGCCTACTCCGGCTGTTTACAGGAAGTCGAGGGGAGATGGGACTGCTCCAAAGTCTGCACTCAAGGAGATTAAAGATACACTTTCTACACCTGTGGTTTGGCTGCTGAGCTTATTTTTCTTCTTCTTTCTTGGTGCTGCTATTACCGCTGGAGGTTTGTCTTTTCCTTTTTCTCTGCTCTACAGAACTAACTATGTTAGGCTGGACGGTCGAGTATCTTGTCAAGGTCCGCAACGGCGACCTCAAATCAATGGGTTATGTTCCGGCCGGTTACTATGGCGGTGGCTTTTTAGGACGTCTTCTCCTCGCCGAGCCTACGTATAGATTGGGCGAGCGTAGAATGATCTTTGTTTATGCTGTGCTGAGTGTTGGTTTGCAATTGGTTTTCTGGCTGTGAGTTTAGTCCTGTTTCTAAGATCACACCTAGCCCGGTATACTGCTTTGTCTTGCTAATACTCGTGACTTACTAGTGTTCCAAATATCATCACCGAGGCAGTAGCAGTCAGTTTATTGGGATTCTTCTCTGGTCCTTTCTTCGCAACAGTGAGTACCCCCGCCCTATTTTCCAGACGCAGCTTTAACCCCTGGCTCTTAGGGGATATCCGTCGGCACAAAAATATTCCCCCCAGAGATCCGCTCTACGGCAATCGGTAAGTTAATATGCCACAGCCCTGGAAGCCATAGGGCTGAACCTTCATGTATTAACTTTAATCCATTTAGCATTCGTCTTCGTACTCGGTCAAATCGGTGGATCTGTCTTTCCTGCTCTGACAGGTGTCATCGCAGCACGGGTTGGTGTCAAAGTCCTACAACCTATTCTTGTTGGTTTGCTCAGTGCCGCTGGTGTGAGCTGGTTAATCTTGCCAAAGGCTCCTGCCTTGCATCAGGATTAATCCGAGCTTGGTATAGGAAGTTCGGTCTTGAGAGCTTAAAGACCTGTATAAAGAGTATATATTCTTCTTTCAAGGGCTTTGGAAAGATGTTTTATCCAGACAATACACGAGATTTAGGGGGTTTGCATAAACCCCCTTTCTTAGTCATGTTATATGCAGCCTCCGGCCCTGTAATTTCCATCTTATGGAGTTGCATGTCCACTCATGGGGAACTGTTTCCACCACGGGGGCTAAAATGTAATGCAATTGGTGTTAACAAATGCCAAGGCCATAATGTCTTATAAATTACTCCATACACAGTACTTTTCAAGCTAAGAAACGCCTTGCCAAGTAACGCCTTGGAGTTGGGGCGGTTTTTTGACGGCTGACTCTGCCCTTTATTATGTTCTTTTCTGTATAAAAAATGATATCTTGATATTGAAACATTTAGCACTCTACAATGCGCCAGTCACTCGTTACAGCTCTATGGGCATGGTCCTACTGGGCCAGTGCTAGTGCCAGTGCCCACACATTTCCTGAGCGCGACGTCCCTGCTGTCATTAGCATGGATCTCTATGGCTCTAAAATATCTAAGCCGCTACAGAAAAGAGACACTGCAACTCTAGCGACCAATGTGTTGAACGAGGTACGTCCTGGAGAGTCCTTGCTTAGGATTGAATTCTAATATAGTTATACAGACGGCATATTTCATCAATGTCTCAATTGGTACACCACCGCAGCCCATAGGCATGTTGGTAGACCTCCTAATCCCCGAGCTATATGTCATGACCGAAGACACAAACTACGAAAACTCGAAATGCCCGGAGAATAACCTTTGCTCCGCATTTGGATCATACAATATCAGCGAATCGTCCAGCAACAGCACCATAAAAATTCCAAGTGAATATAAGTGGGCATCTCCATACACCGTACCCTCGGACATCATCACTATTGGAGGGACACAAGTAAAGGATGTCGGATTATCCCTTACACAGGTCGCTTATGAAAACTGTCAGTATAAACCCTCTCTATGACCTGCGACATAACTAATACAATCCAGGGAACAAGATAGGTGTATCTCCAGAAAACACCTCATTCCCCTACCAACTAGTCGATCGGGAATTAATCCGATCCCCCTCCTTCAGCATCTGGGGCAACACATCCGAAAGCGGAGGCGCAGGTATGATATTCGGCGGTATCAACAAAGCGAAGTATCACAGCCCATTACAGGCATTCGGCTTTAACATAACCACCGGACTGGTATCCCTCCCACTCTCCCGATTCCAAGTACAAACAGACTCAAACGTCCCAACAAATTACACCATATCGAGTCCGAAACCATACAAGCTGAGCACTCAATACATCACAACAACCCTTCCCAAGGATATACTACTACAAATGTACAAGGACTACAACATCTCCTTTGTCGGATGGAAAAACCACGACCCCGATTTCGGAATGCTTCCCTGTTCACGCAAAACGGAAAACCATACTGTTTCTCTAGTATTCGGAGACGCCACGATCTCCGCACCCTGGAGCAATCTCATGCGTGAAATGGACCCCCAACGCCCGGAACGCTGTACCTTCCTCGTCCAACCGGAAGACGACGAGGACGATACCTTCGCAGGTACGATCGGGACCAGTTTCTCGGACCATATGTATATGGCGATCAACTACAATAATGCTTTTGTTGGGGTTGCTGCGTTGAATGGAAATCCGGGGCCGGACGATATTGTGGAGATTGGAGATGGGCCGGAGATCCCCGATGCGGTGGGGGATTTCCCCACGTCTATTGTGCCGTATAGAAAGCCAACACCGACACCGACGTCGACGTCGACGGGGTTGGCTTCTATGCCGACTTATATGCCAGGTGGGATGTTTGTTGGTGTTGCGGGTGCTGCTTTGGTAGCGGTGTTTTAAGGCCTTTCCGTGATGGACGTTCAATGAATTCTTGAGTTGGAAGTTATCTGTACGTTGATTGAGATTGAGGTATACAATCGTTGTTATTACTTACGTATGTTAGATGGATGAATGTTATGTGCCACTTCATATAGACATATCCTAGGGAACAAAGACTAGAAGATTATTATCTTCCTGCACTTGATTGTTTTGTATTTCTTGAGGGCTACTATTAGCATGAAATGATGTTTAGGGGTATATGCTGCTTGCTCTATGAGTTCGAGTGTCTCTACATCTAACAGAGGCTCTATATAAAGTACCTATGTTCCCTTAGACCTCCTCTACTTTATTATATCGAACGAATGCCTTCAGCCGAGAATCGACAACCTAAAGGATCAGGGTATAAAACATGTGAAATTCATTACTTCGTAACAACACGTCGACCAAAACCAACCAAAGAAAGCGAACCCAGTGAGAAACACACCACGCACAGCTATGCTAAAAATAAAACTACCCAACATAAGAGACCTCGTAAACGTCATTCCTCATAAGAAAATAAATACCAAGCACCCTCAGAAAATATCCTCAGGCCAGTGGTAATCCCCAAGACCAGAAATCACAGAATCCGCACCAGAAGCCGACGACGGAGAAAGCACCGGGGCAGAGACAGGTCTCTTTTTAGGTGACCTATTCACCTTCACCTTCGCAGCACTCGAACGAAGTTCCTCAGGGAGAGGCGGTACAGGCGGAATATCGTCATCGAGGCGATATCCAGACCGCCTCCGAGTATGACCCGTCTTTGGGCGTGTCGGAGTGCGAGGGCTACGGTTAGGATTGAGCTGGCGCTGTGGGTGGTGGTAGAAGGCATCGCGGTGGGAGTCGCCTGGCAAAGCAGACAGAGGCGTGGACCAGATGTTAAAACGAGAATCGCTGTCCGAGGCAGCGGCAGGCGAAGACGCCGGACGCATGCTGGCCTGGCTCTTCTTTACACGGAGAGGGGTTGTGGGCTTGGAAGTTGGTGAGCGGGTGGTTCCGGAGACTTTTCGGGGTTGAACGTAGGGGGACCTTTTGATGTTGCGCGTGACACTTGCATTTCCTCCTGCATCCTCTTCTTCGTGCTCGGTCGAGGGAGCTGCGTGATCGATGGCTTGCTTGCGCTTGGCTGAGCCGGGGCTCTCACCAGCCTCGGATTTCAGCCATTTCGCTTTTTCGGGTGGGTTAAGTAGGCCGGCGTCAATCAGACCCTCGATATCTTGCTCGCGTTCGTGATCGTTGATGCCTTTCGTCGAATTGGGCTTAGGAGGGCTCCCACTATCGATAGGTTCAGGAATGAAAGACTTCCGTTTACGGGAAGAGCGGTCCTTACCCATGGATGACGGCTTTGACCCTTTCGAGAGCCATTTTGGACTTTGGGCCGTAGCCGGGGTTTGCGGTCGTGATTCTTCGAAGGAGAAACTTTCGCGGCCTTCCATGGACGGCAGGGCCGTTAGGTTGGCTGCTTCGGATCCAGACGCTTCATTTTCTGCGGCCTGTTGATCAAGAAGCCTTTCCGATGGCAGAGTGGGAAGTGCACCGGGGACGAACTTTCTTGGGAACAACGCGGGGTCCATCTCGGTATTTAGGACCTTTGGTTGGGTTATAGGTGTTGGGACCCGCTCCTCGTTTCCTGTGAGGTCACGAAGCTCCCGCCGGGCACGTTGCAGCTTCTCCTCGAGGTTGCTAACTTTCTTTAGCAGCTTGGTTTGGCGCGAGAGTTCCCTGCGGGAGGGTCGCTTGCGCAGTCCAGTCGGCTCGTATTCATCAGAAGTCATATCGCAATACACTGCAGGGGAAGTAGATGGCGATCCATGGGATTTATGGAAGAGGGACTTTGGCAGGCGAAGGTCCTGGAGAGACGAGCGTTTGGAAGCCGAAGACTCAGAGCGCGAGGGTGCAGCATGGTGTCTTTGATCATTTGAGTGACAATGCGAGTCTTTGAGTGGAGAACCATATCCCATCTTATGCTGGATAGACTGCCAGGTCTGGTCGGCGATGGCAGTGTTCACACCAAGATCCTCCATGTAATGACCCTTGTTCGTACCCTTGTAGCCTGACTTTTTCAGTTCCGCATAGGCCTGCTCGGCCTGGTTGATAACATCCTTCTGCGGAGACTTATTAGGCGATCCCTCGGAGCTCTTTCCCCATCCACCGAAGGGATTAAAGGCCGAGGCGATAGCCTTCCCGAACCGAAAAATACCAGAAGAGCGGCGCTGGAGGCCAGGTTGCTTGTTTTCCTGCTCCGGGAAGTAGATACTGGGCGGTTTCTCGCTGATACTATCACTCATAGTCGCTTCCACGAATCGCGATGTCCGTCCTCTGAGACGGCGGGGGTTGGAAGCAGATGCGGCAGCATGACGAGCGCGCAGCGAAGCGAGCGAGCCGCGAGGTGAAGCGCGTGGTGAGACTTTCCGTCCTGAACCATTTGCGCTCACGCTGAGACTTCCGTTCTCACCGCGCTGGGTGCGGCGATCATGGGCTCCATAATCAGCCGCTTCTTCAGGCAGTGGCCAGTCGTTCGAGCGACGTCGTTTGGTCTGCTTCGTCGTCGACGATCGGTGCTCGTCTGCATGTGTCTCTTCGGCATCGTCGAATTGTCCAGATATGTCAGAGCTCCAATCGTAGGTATCGTCGTCGCTAGACCGTAGATGTTTGCGCGAGGAGCGCTGGTAAGCGGGGCTCGGGTCGATATCCATTTCCATTTTGGAGTCGGGGGTGCTGAGACGACGCAGGGAAGTTAGATTCAATCTTTCTTATGCGGGCTTTGAAATCCCTTCCATGGGATTAAGGGACAAGGGACCATACCTTTGCAGCTTATCCTTTCCCCACGCCCTTGGAATGAAATCGCAAAAGTCAGTCAGGATTGGGCATGTAAAGAGAGAAAGGGAAGAAATTGAAAGAAATAAAAATTGAAATGAAAATGAAGATGAAAATCTCGGGAGACTCAAATGCGCAGGTTTGTTTACATACTCCGCACTTGCCAAGGGAGGAAGTTTGTTGTGGTACCTGGTACCCACGTCGACCGCAATCCTTCCGTGATTTATAAAGTACCAGTTACATCATCAGAATGTCCCCAAAACAAACATTATACAAATATGTGTATAAAATCTAGACTTATTGTTGAATTTTGTCTCAAACATGTGCCTGTACATATTCGATAAGGAATGGAGGTATGACATGTCTGACCTATGTATGTGGGAGATATGTATAGATCCTTGGCTACTAGAACGTATGCAAATCATAAATCGGGGTAAAAAGGAAAATGCTACAAGGTAGGTTTCAAGGAGATACCACAATGCCGGTATATAGAGAATAGATCAAGCAGGGATTCTGGGGGTGAAGCAAGGAACCCAGTGTCGCAAGGTTAAGAGACCAGCCCTTGTGTATTTGGGAAGTGTATGTTCCAAGAGCAATGTAGAAGAACTTCCCAGAGGGAGTCGAGATAGGGATGGCATTCCCTATTCAAATCCTTCAGGATGAAAGGAACGAGGGACCTTGCTCCTGATAAAAGATTGTGGGAGGTTCGAGAGTGATGCAAGTACCAGGCATGATCATCGAGGCCGGAAGTAAGAATAGCAAGCCGCTAAACTCCTATATAACTCCGAACCTTGACCAAAGAACTTCCTCGCAGAATGCTAGAACATGAAAGAAGAAACGAATTCCCGAAGTAATGAGTCCAAAGCATCGAGATATTCGAGGCTCGAGTAGCCGCAACGAGGGAATCAGACATGTACAAAAAAAAAAGATCCCAACCAAGTACCATCACAAGAATCCAGTCCATAGGCCGTTTTCAGGTTCAATTATCGAAACTCCAAGGCGAGTATATCGTGTTTCCCTTCACCATGGCATGATGTTAAGGCCATCTCAAATATTATTAGGTCGGAGGAGCTTTCATGACCATTTTGCCGTTCGCACGTTTGTAGGCCAACTGAATGCCCATTTCAGCCATCAGTGAAGAGCGACTTTCTCCTCCTGCGTAATCGCGGTAAGCGCTCGGATAAGGCTCGGTATCAGGCCGCATGCCGTTCTGCATTGACCGGTCATCAATGCCGAAAGTATCTTCATGACTTCTTTTGCCGTACGCTGGCCCAGTTTGATATACCATACGCTTTCCTCTGACATTATCATATCCGCCGCTGCTACCACCGGGTGATGTGGTTTCCACAGAAGGAACAATCTGGTTGCCATATTCATTTGACAAGGGCTTGAGGGGCGGGATGGCCTGGACCGTGTTCGGCGTTTGAGAACGTGGTGCCGGTATATTAGGCGTGGATGGGTATACACTTGGTTCAGCAACGCGGGAATCCATATATGAGTTTGTTTTTGGTGCCTCCATGCGATAGGAATTCATTGAAGGCTTGGGATAACCACCCCGTTCCGCAGGTACTTGGGGCGGGATGGGGTACGCAATTGGCGTTCCCTCGTATTCGGAGGCGTTGGATGGGTGTCGTATCTGGGTGTATGCGTGTTGTGGCGAGTACATACCTTGCGGTGCGACCGGTGGAGGTGTAGCAGGCATGTGAGGTGCTGGATAATGTGAAGGTGTGGAACCAAATGAAAGGTGCGATTGGTATGAAGGTGTTTGGGAGTGTGCCATGGGCGCAGGTGGCATGGGTCCAGGTGGCATGGGTCTTTGGTATGGTTGCGGACATTGGAAGCCATAGTCGGGCGCAGATGGTCGCCGATCCGGGGGAACAAAGCCGTATGGCGATTCCATATTGCTGCCATTGCTGTTTGATCTAGGACGTTCCATCGAGGCTGCGTATCTGTCGGGTGTCGTGAAACGATCCGACGATCTTGCATACGCAGCTGCGCGTTCCTCGTCGTAGTCCTCGTCTCGCTTGTCGCCCCGACGTCTCATGCGAACATCACGACGAATGCGAACACGGCAACCCTGCTCAGCAATGATACGGCTCAGAGAAGTGCTGGTCGCTAGACCAGGGAACTTCTTGGCACTATAGACGGTAAACGGTACCGACTTGACCTCGAGACGGAAATGGAGAAATGCTTGCGGGGTGCCGGGCTTTGCTGCAGCGGAATGAGCTATTTGGTTAGGAGGAGGTAAAGTGGAATCCTTGTCGGCATCCTTGGCATCCTTGATTTCTTCATACAGGTGGAAGTTCAACCGGTACCGGCCCTCATGACGCACTGACAGATCTGGGAAGATGAAATAGCCTGCTTGTGAAGGACGATCGAGATATGCGATACCAGCAACAGGTACACCAGTTAATACAGGGCATGATTGCGCTCCACCCACGCGCCCGTGGGCGATAGGGCGTGCAGTATCAAGGGTTGCATAGAGGAAGAAATTGGCGTTGTAGGCGAAGGTGATATCGGTCTTCTGCGCATCGTTACCCGGGTCAGACTCGAAAATGCGCAGCTCGACCACAGGCGGTGGGTCAACAGGGCGACGGTCGGCAGATGCTATTGATGGTCAGTCAACGCGCAGGCCTGATTATGTAGGCCCAGCAAATACTCACACTTTGCTCCTGCACCACAAGCTCTTGCTCGCTCTGGTTGTTGCATCACGCTCAATTTGTATGTGAGTTGTTTGCCCTCACGAGTAATCCGGCTAACCGAGTGCTCAGTCTCATTATGAGGCGGCATGATGGGTGGTCTGCTCGCCATTTTCGCGGATTGATGCTCCTATCCCCAGATATTCTGCCGGTCGCAGTATCAGAAAAAGTCGCGTGGTCGGAGGAGGTTTCTTCCTATGTCGATTCTGTCACGGAGTGCAACGCACAATCCAGAATCAACGGGGCCTTAACACAAGCGCTGAATTTATGTTGATATGTATTGGCCTTGTTCTCCCCTAATTTCCCTCATAGAAGTCGTTGCAAAGACTTCTAAGGTTGTACTCAAACAAGCGCCCGTTCAAAATGTAAATTGATTCCTGATTAATTCAGGAAATTTGAACTTCGAGTCATCAAGAAACAAGTCGAGTGTGAAAAAAAAGAAGAGAGAGGGGGGGCAGGGAAGTGACACTAGCAGGTTAACAGACCCCCGAGACTTGGTACGCCTCCCGATGGGTACGATGTAATTGCGGTATGAAAGTACATACTGTACATACCTGTTTAGCCCCCGTAGGATGCCGCAGGTCCCCATAGTATGGTTGCCTTCTATGTTTCAATTTCTATTTTGTATAACCCTTTTTTTAAAGAAATATGAACATAGAATATATACTCCATGCCATATACAATAACATCTAAAGAGTAATTAAGGCCAAATTGATCGCATTTTCCATCTGATTTTGAATAATACCTTGGTATAATAGTGGCAATATGATATAATTAGATCAGGAAATATGAAATCTTATGTATCAACTCGACCGTACAGAGTATGTAGATCTATTTGCTTTTTTCCGCTGTAAGACATCGTATTTATTTTTCCATGGAACAGCCTCCATGTTACCCGGCGTCTATCTTCTTGGGTTCCAAGGGTCTGGCAACCCAGTCCAACGGATCGGAGTTGCTTTATTTTCCCTGGTCTCCATAATGTCCTATGCTTATATTAAACTACTCTCATAAGATGAACATGTCGTTTTTGATTCCAACATTCATTTCCATATCTATAGGATATTAGTTGAAGAGATTTCACTGATAAACTTCAATACCATGTATTCTCATTACAGGACTAGTCCCCCTGAGAACATAGAAGGCAAAGGACCTCGGAACTTTCAACTCCCCGATCCAGAAGTAAGATCCTTGGGGCCCTGATTGTTGAGTCGTCAGAAGACATGATTCGCTTAGCTAGACTGCATCAAACCACCGATCCCCTCTCACAGCCTGGCTAGACCGACTACACTAAGCCAATCAGCGATGGCTCTAATGAGCATCCAAGACTAACTAGACCCGGGTGTCATCCCGTCAATATCTGAATACCAGGTCAATATGAATCTGAGATCGTATATAGAGTATCAAGTACCGAGTATCAAGATTTCGATATCTACAATTGGATCTTCATAGAATTCTTCCTTTTGCTATACTCCGTACTCCGTAACGGGATCCTATATTGCACCCCACACGGTCCACACCGAACAAGCTATTTTGTACCGTCACATTATGTATTCCAAACACTCATGAGTTGAACAGACCGAGACCAAAATTGTGAACATGGACTTCATACTGCGTACTACCTTATAGGGCATACGAATTTAGTTGCATTGAATAGCACGGAGTCAATCTAGCAATGAATTCGAGACCAGGCCTGGTCTAACGGTTTTGATGTGCACTGGTAAGGTAGACTTGAACGCGACTTTTCATATCAATGGTAATGTGTACGGAGTACTCCGTACTCCGTGTTCCATACAGGGTACGCGTTATATTCCGAAATAATTATACAGAGTAATTATATTCAATTGCAGATCTCCGGCTTTTTAGTACCAGGGAACTCGGGCCATGAGAAACTACTGCACCAACTTTAGTCGATTGGTCTGACTCAAGAATGCCCTCGGCCCACTTTCTTATGACTAAGGTACAACAAAATACATTACAAATGTTCCGAGTAATAATGCAAGTAAATGTACTCCGTGATCCAGCCCCGGTATACTTCAATTAGGTACAGAGTACTCCGTACCAAAATTCTTTGTGGCGATGGAGATCGTCTATGTTGTTCATGAATGATGACTCCTGGTTGCTTTTCATTTATTCACTGTTTCTTAGTCGGTACTTACAGTCGTACACACGGTCCAAGCTTCGTCAAAGATCAGCCCCCGCTAAGCCATGTGTTGCAGGGGTTGGGGATCGTCACGGCTCAATGCAAGTATTCACCATTGAATCTACGGGGTACATAATCAATACAATAATGATGATAGGTTCTAAGCATGGAGTAATGTTGGAAGGGAAGGTGACGTTGAAAGTACCCCATGATCTGTAAGCGATTGTTAGTTACTCCGTATATACGAAGTAGTGGTGGCCTTCTCCAACCCCCGATCATTGAAGGATTTCAGCCGTAAGCATGGTAAACCCGCGGCGCCCCGAAGACCATAGTATTGTCATGATTCAGCGCTTTGATATTCTAGAAGGATTCACTTTATCGCGGATATCTCGTTAGCACCCAGTAGGCTCTTGGCTGTCATTCCATATGTATTGTATTCTATGTTTGTGGAAAGGGAACGAATCCGGGGTTATCGTTCCTAATAATATAATAATATATCCACAATTAATTGACTTCGTCATATACTCCATATGCCGTATTGAAGGGACAGTTAGCATTTGGTAGGAGTTCCTCTTGTTATACTCCGTACAAGATCTACATTTATGTAAGTGCTCCCCTTGATCAACTGAATTATGTTATTCTGTATGTTGTACGTAGTACGGAGTACTCCATACCTATATAACCTTGTAATATTCGTCTCGGCTCCAGAAACCCCCTGTGCAAGCGGTTAATAATACTAGCGCTCTGGTCCCGTCTTTGCGTTTGAACTATCTCTGAAATGGACGGCTCAAGGGGTCTCCCCCCTATGAGTGCCTGCTAAGCGAATCGAAGGGGCGTCAAAGGCTAGAGAATATAAACTTTCTCCTTTCTATCAATGATAGTCTTGTAGTGTAATACAGTCACACCAGAATAGATTGAAGCTTTTCCCCCTCCAATCGTAATCTATCATATTTACGACTTTTAGTAGCAGTGAAGAGCCGGCTCTTATCTATGAAGTATACTATAACATTATTTCCTACCCGATATGTTCTACACGGTCCAGATTGTCCTTATGTTTGCTTCTGACAAAAAGCCCAGCCACACTTGATAGCACGTAGATCGCATACATAAATTCAACTGCATACAACATACTCCGTACTCCGTACGGGTAGACAGGATCCACAACCAAATCCCGATGGTACGTTTGTCCAGATCCCTGGGACGACTCAAAATCTACCCAGAACAATTAAGACTGAAGTGATTTATCATTTCATCGCTTTTCATAGACTTGGGAATAAACCGGTTCAATTTTTCTACTGCCATATAGAAACCATAGTAGATATCCTCAACCACAGACTAGACCAGACTTCCCAAAATTCACGAAACAAGTTAATTCTCTTATACAACTAATGGCACTGGGACGGGTCATAGTGACATCAGATAGTTATCGCACAATACACCTAATAGACACATGATCTGTCGACTTTGGTCCCCAATGGCGTATACACTAACACCAACTAATGGAGTGAACAAAACCACAACTTCCAATAATTTTGCATTTTCAAACCCTCATTTGGCACGGATGCATCGGCCCTGCCCGATTTCAAACTCACCTGCCAAATGCAGAACGCCAAAGGTACCGGCTTCGTACTCTGTACAAGATAACTTGTACATAAATCGTACAATCAGAGTTCTCAATATTACATTTTATACCTGTAACAGTTTTGTTTTGATTTTCTCCACTTCATAAATGTATAATACAAGGGATAACAGTTCGGCTGTGAGGAGGGAATTGTGAATCATGGATGGCATGTATAATTAATTAACCAACCCCAGGGGCTATATATCCATAGCACAGTTTCATCTATAAGGTATCTGTCCTTTCACCCTGCGTATATTTGATATTGTGTATGGAGTAGTCCTCAATCCTTGGGGGCCATTGAGCTTCTATGACTTGCCTAACTAGGAGATCGGCTATATGTACGGATTACTCCGTGCGGAATAGGTTGATGCTAGCATCAAGAGACGAGAGGTGAAGGCAGAAGTCAACCAGGGTTGTCATTACCAAGTGATACACACTAAATCTCACCAGGCATGGGAATGTTCATCCGTTGGGGTGATATTATTCCAGCTCTACAAGGTGTCACATCAACCAGCACACCCCGAAGCCCTAAAGTTGCTTAGTGAAACTCCTCGGAGACCCCAAGGCTGACTATGTTCTTGATATTAGTAAACTGAGTATGTATCGCTTTGCATGTCTAAAAATAACCTCATTATGTACCCTTCCTTGCTGTTGAGAATTCATGCAGTGTTCGTTTGCCTTTCCTTGCAATTCTGCCTTGAAACCTAGAACACTCTCCAGTAGGTAGCATACAGCGTTGTTTATAATCATCCCTGCCTACATATGTATGTCCTAAGCGAATTATTTGTTCACGGGTTTCTCTACTCTCTCACTGCCTCTTGACTTGCTATGGTTTAACTTTCCTTGTGAGGATTGTTTCCTCTCCCTCTTATTCAAAACTAGCAAAATCCGGGTGAAAAAGGGAACTGTAGTTTAGGTAAGTGTCATTTTGAAGGATTCAAACGTAACCAAGCCGTGTTAAAAGTGCTCATGAGATCCTTAGCCCCTACTATAAACACTTTAGTGTCGGCTATTCCATAGGCTCCATCCTTTTAACTTTCCAAGTTCCGAATGCCATGTTGCAAACCCCAAGTAACATTCAGCTCAGAGCTATCTGTGGGCCTGATAACCCCAAAGAATGGTGAGTATGTGCCCGACCTGGCAGTCTACTATCTATCTGTACGAATAGGCGGTATGTTACGGCCGAAAAGTGAGGCTATATTGAACTTAAGGGAGCTCCCTTCGCCCTTCGGGGCATATGGTCAACAGAAAATATACAGAGAAGATTAGCATGGCCCCTGCACTAAGGATGACACGCTCAATCAAAGAGAAGCACCTATTTTTTTCATTCTTACAGACCATTTTTTGAGGGTATACAGAAGTGGGCCTATTTACGGTGTTTAATTGGTTATTACGCTTTCGGGATTTCACGTGACTGTATCCACTCGTGGACGTCGCTGGTTCGAATCGGCCAATAGACGAACATTATTAATCCCCGCTATGATTGGTTTAGGCCTTGAACAATCTAGAATCACAATATCAACTCTCACATCGACTGCGATTTTCCTATGGATCTTCCGTTAATCCTACCTGGCTTTGTAACGAAACCCTTCGCACACATACTCCCTCCCCTCGATCGAGCTAAAGTCACCACTGTCGACCTTATCACACTTGACTCTCTTGAGATCGCAAAGCGTGCCCGCGTGCCTCCCGCAGACGTTCGCCGGCTCTCCTCCCGCATCGTCGAAGCATTGCACACCGATGTTGGCCTCGAAAAGCCACAAATAAATACAGGGATCAACGATGGACCCAGCTCCAGTATAAACCCTGATGTGGCGAGCAGGACAACCGGCTCGACTAAGCGCGCGTTACAATGGAACACTATAAGCACTCTTGACCCTGCTATGGATGCACTCCTCGGAGGCGGAATTCCCACTGGGTATGTCACAGAAGTTACGGGCGAGAGGTACGTTATAGGTGTTTATTTCAAAGCTTAGCCGGATAGGCAGGTCAATCTGACATGTGGATCGAAATCCAGTGGAAGCGGCAAGACCCAGTTCCTTCTAAGCCTATGTCTGGCCGTCCAGCTACACAAACCACACGGGCTACGGCGGCGTGCCATATACATATCGACAGAACACCCACTATCTACGCCACGACTCTCACAGCTCCTAGAATGCAACCCTATCCTGTCATCTCTCCCCGCTGAGCAGGCACCTTCGATGCAGGATATCCTATCGATCAACGCCATAGACCTGGAGTCACAAGACCACATCTTGAATTTCCAACTTCCCGTCGCCATTGAACGCTATAATATCGGCCTGGTCATCATCGATTCAATAACGTCCAATTACCGCGCTGAATACACATCGCACGACTTCCAATCCGTCACCAAGCGATCATCCCAGCTCAACAAACTGGGCCATCTACTGCGCACCCTCGCCGTAAAGGAAGACGTCGCTATCGTGGTCGCAAACCAAGTCTCCGACCGTTTCGAGGATCTAAAAAGCAGCGAGCAAACTCCACGAGCAGGGTTGTCCATCCCAAGCCAAACACCAGGCCGTGGATCCGGCCCTGTCTCCCCCCTCCCAAAATCCCGAACTGAACAGTTAGCCACTAGAAATAGCCAGCCACCGTCATCTTCCCCTGCCATCTCCCCATCACCATACCACGCACCAGACGATAAAAACTTCGACGGCTCGTACCTGATTGCTCCTCGAGCACGCAATAGCATGTTGAATTTGGCTCACCAGGAGCGATTCCACTCCGGCTGGGGTGATGGCGCGTACCCAGAGAGTGGGTCCATGAAGAAGCCGGCGCTGGGATTCGTCTGGTCAACACAGATCGCCTGTCGAATCGCGCTGAAAAAGGAAGAATCCCATGTAGGTGTTTCCATGGAAGACCATGCATACATGGCTACCCAGGACGCATTTCAGTCCCAAAGCGGAGGAAATGACAACACCAATCGGGACCCGGACTCAATAGCAATGCCTGCCCCATCTCTCAAGAGCAGAGCTCCTGACTCGCAGAACCATCAATCTACTCCACACTTGGAATCCACCACGCGGAGGACGATGAAACTTGTGTTCTCGCCGTGGACGGCAGGTCCCAAGGATACACTGAGAAATGGTCAACCGAGTAGAAGAAGTGGCGAGGTAGAGTTTGAAATCTGGAAAGGTGGCCTGAGAAGTAAAAGTCATGACTGATTCGTCTGATTTCTTATATTACCGACTTCATTCTTACTAAAGCTACAATCTATTTTGGAGAGCATTGAATGTAACCTATTCCAGATAGTTTGATATAGTATGCTAATACGTTGACTTGACTAGAACAGCAACAGAACTATGAGACATGATATACCCAACGCAATTCTTTTCTGTACAGTCATTATTGTATGATACGAAACAGAAAGATGTTAACATTCAAGCAAAAGTCAAATATTCCAAATGATAGACATTATCTGTGCAGTGCTGATCCTGGATATCGAAAGTTTACTACATGAGTGGTGAGATCTACAGCACCTTACATGTAATTTGTAGTTCTAAGGTTTTGAGGGCCGAGGATGTGAACAAAGCGCAATGAATTTCTGTGACTCAAAGTTGCGGTGGAACAACCTACGTATCGATCCATTTGGGACTATAAACTTGGATTTGGGGGACTTCAATGATGTTGCTTTGTCGAACCAATGTAAAGTTACATCTTCTCTTTTTTACTAGATGTCTTGACTTCACTTGAACATGCTTGAGGGGCTAGATGCCTTGTGATTCTCATGTATCACACTATTTCATCATTTGATTCACAGTCTATTTGTATTGTAAGGAGGCAAGGAACAGAAAGACGAAAAGAATACGCTTCAAATTAACCATAATCATATATACGGACAGCGACAAAAAAAAACATTTCTCTAAACAATCATCTTTCTCCTTTTCATCAGGTTCTTTTCTTTCTTTCCCCTCACCTCCTTCCAACAGCTCAAACCCCAACCGAAGGAACATAACGAATCTAAGGGTCTAAGGAAAGATGAACAGTCATAGAAGAGCTTGAGCGTCAAAGAGAACAAAGCATCAAATTCCATGACTGTCCCATGAGAAAATCACGTTGCACCTTGCGTATACATCCATGGATATGCACACAAAGTATACAAAGACATCAAAGCTCAAATCGAATCAGAACAATGCGAGAGGAAAAAAAGAAAACATAATCAGAACCAAAACCAAAACCAGCAAGGGCTCAACGTCTATTGAGCCTTGGGCGCCATCTTGGCAGGAGGAATACCGATGCCATTGGTGTTGCGGAAGAACAGAACACCCTGGCTCTCACCAGTGGCACCCTCGGTGGGCTCAACGAAGTGGCAGACACGGGCAGAGGTCCACATGGCCTTGAAGAAACCAGTCCAGCCGGTGTGAGCCTCAGTGCGGTAGTGGTCGCCCATGACGACCTTGATGGCCTCGCTGGCCTCGTCGGCGTTGTAGAAGGGGATGTTGCTGACGTAGTGGTGCAGCACGTGGGTCTCAATGATACCGTGGAAGATGTGGCGGCCGACGAAGCCGAAGTCACGGTCGATAGTAGCGGCAGCGCCACGGGCGAAGTTCCACACTTCGGGTTGGTAGTGAGGAAGGGTAGGATCGGTGTGCTGGAGGAAGGTAATAGCGACTGCGAGGGATATTGTTAGCAAAAGTTATGCAAAAGAGCTGATTTTTTTTTGTCTGCAAACTTACCGAGCCAGTGGTTAACCCACAGGTAAGGGAGACCGTACCAGACCAGCAGGTTCAACCATCCGAAGTTGCTGCCAATGTAGTACAGGGCGGAGCCAGTGAGCAGGAGACCCAGGTCACTCAGGACAATGAGCTTAGCATCCTTGGCCTCGTACAGAGGGCTGGAGGGGTTGAAGTGGTTAACACCACCACCCCAGCCGTTCTGCTTGCCAACACCGCGGCCCTCGGGCTGCTTGGAGTGGTTGTTGTGGCCGGTGACGTTGTTGAGCAGGTACATGGGCCAGCCGAAGAGCTGCTGGGCCAGAAGGTGGCCGGCGGTCAGGATGGGGGTCTCCTCGCACAGCTCGCCGAGTTCATGCAAGGCCTTGCCGACGCGAGTAGCGTACTCTTCACGGGTCTTAGGAACGAAGACCATGTCGCGAGCCAGGTTTCCAGTGGCCTTGTGGTGCTTGCCGTGGGAGATCTTCCAGGAGAAGTAAGGGACGAGCAGAAGGGAGTGGCAGATCCAGCCAACAGTATCGTTCAGGACCTTAGAGGGAGAGAAGGCCTGGTGGCCGCACTCGTGAGCTAGAACCCACACACCGGTGCCGACAAGACCTTGCACGATGGTGTACAGGGTCCAGAGGACCACGCGGGCTGGCATCGAGGGAACGGTCTCGGGGGTGACATAGTTGTGGAAGAGGTAGAAGACGGATCCTAGGATGGCCATGTCCCGGAAGACATAGTACAAACTAGTGACTGCGGAGCGCTGGAAGCAGTGAGCGGGAATGGCATCGCGGATCTGCTTGATCGTATAGTCGGGGATCTTGAACTCGTTGCCGTAGGTATCGAGCATCTTGCTAGCCTCCTGCTCCGAACCCATTGAGGAAAGAGAGGTAGAGGAGGGGGACTGGTGAGGGCTGTCAAAGGGCGAGGGCGACACAGAGCTGGCCGTTGAGGACTGATTGCGATTGAGCGCAACGCGCTTGGGAATAGCGGTAGAAGACATGGTAAATTTGACAGTGATTAAATCCGAACGGTGGGTATACTAAAGTATCCCTTTCTATACTAAAACGAATGCAAGAACCTATGATCAGATTAGTTGGGATTCGTCAAGGTGCCAGAACCTAGTACTCACAATATGTTTTTTTAAGTTTTGGGTGTTGCACAAGGAAAAAGCCGACCCGTTCTGAAGAAGAGCCAACGAGAAAGCAGGCAATTAACCAAATAAAAAGAAAGCAAAGGACAAGAAGAGAGAAGGAAATAGCTCCCCTTTCAAGAACCGAAAAATTGAAGGGGAAAATTGAAACAAAAAAACATCAAATTCAACCATGGAACCGTGGGGCGGTAATTTTCATACCGCCACAATAGCTTTATAGTCAAATCCAACCGTATTGTAGTTTGAAAATTACAGATCCTTCTTTGCCTTCGACTTTTCGCAGACAGAAAAGTCAGAATAGGGCTGATCTCTTTTCTGTATGCACATCTCAGCCCCTCTCAGCTCCTCTCAGCTCCTCTCAGCTCCTCTCAGCTCCTCTCAGCTCCTCTCAGCTGATATGCCTCTCTCATTTGTACTACAGAGTATGGTTTACTGGTTTACTTCAATGTTCTATGATTATACGCTCCCGTCTACTTAGTTCCGTTCGCCCCAACAATTTTATGAATTGCATTGTTACGAGTGGTCTGATCATGAATGTGATGTGATCTAGACTCTATCTGGTGCTCCTATGAGTGCGTTTCTCGCTTTCACATGTCAACAATACGGTGAAGGCGTCCCTACAGGTGGATAGATTGAAGTGATCAACTTACCTCGGCGGGTCAAAGTTTTGTTTGTCGTATCAAACATATGGAGTACGGAGTGCATACGGAGTAGTTGTGGATTGGTCTGGAGTTATCACTAGCGAATCCAATATGCAAGATCGCGTGGCAAATTGATTTTGCTTTTTGTATTGGACAATTCGCATCTGCAAATATTTCAAGTCGGTCTGTAAGCCAGGGCTGGAGATGGCTCGGCAGTGGTATGCACAAGGGGCATGTGATTCCACTTTTTCCAGCTTTCTCTTTGGCTCTCCGGATGTAATTCGGCGTGGCACATGTTGTACGGCATTCCAATCTTCCAATGGCCTCAACATTATTCTACCATCGCAGCATATATATTTCAAATATAGATTCACATTGACTTGACAGCTTGACTAGAGAAATAATATTGAATCTATAAATGACTTTACACAGTATGTTGTACGGAGTAAAGATAAAATACTTAAAATATCAAAATACTATAAAAATGCCTCCACCCGCTTGTTGGGACCCATGGGGTTTTGTTGGGGGCCCCACCTTTCCACTTTCCCTTTTGAAAAAAACGTTAATTTTTACTTTCAAATCCTTAAATCCCTTAGCTTATCACGCCACCTTAGATAAGATTTCCAGGGATCGGGACTTCGGGATCTCGGCCTCTTCTATACTTCACAGAAATCGAATTCATTTCAAGGCACAAAAAAATGACACATTAGAGGCGATATTCTAGAAGTATGGAGTTTATCCATATTTAGTACACGCTAGTCTTTATGGGGCCAAGAGCCGGCGGAAGCCCAGCCGAAAGTTACTAGAATATACCCTTTGCTTTCTTCGATCAGATACAGTAGTCGCCACTCAACTCGTTCCTGAACTTAGTTTTTAGCACTTATCCAGGTTCCTTTTATTCGGCGAATGGTCTTGAGGTGAACATATACGATGATGATTTCTACTGCAAAGATAACGACCTTGAGAATAGAGAATTATTTGGTGTAATTTTCCCAATGACCTTGAAAAATTTGCAATAAAGCATGGAGCCCCCAAGCACGAAGATATGTGGTCGCCATCAATAGAGCGTAGCCTCGAAGTTATACATGACAAAATAGCCTACAACGAGGACAGACATTTGATCCTTATTCTTAGCAAGCATTGGAGATGTGACAACGAACGATAGTGATCCTACCCTATGGGGCTATACAGCGAATATATACGTTTATGCGACTGTGATACAGAAAAAGCTCACCTTGGCCTTCTACTTCCACTCGCATTCTGTGTTGAGGAGGGGCGGTAAAGGTTCATAGTTCCTCAATATAATTCGTTAGTCTTGGGGAGTGTCAACGGTTTTATCTTTCCGAAGTAAGTCAGTCCTATATGCCCAAGGAACATACCTATATCTTTCCCGCCATAGAAGATGTTTCTCCTTAGCAATCTTGTTGTGCTCAGTAAAGAAGACTTTACCGTCTATAGTCAGTGCAATGCCTTGCACAGAACAGGTAGGAGATATCAGATGGTCTCAGGGTTGTTTTTGTTCAAGTAAGCTTAGCGGCACGGATGGATGTTAAGACCAAAGAAATACATAGCACATCCCTGCATTTGTAAAAACATCGAAATATTGACTCATGTACAAGATTGGAACTCCCGTGCCTTGAGATGGATGTTTTGAGGTTCGATATCGATCGGCGATAAGGCGATAAGCTGGCATCAACCCCGGGGATCTTCCCAACTTCCTTCTTTGCTAAAGTAGAAATGTCGACCTCCAAGTTGCCTTGCATACCTTCACTTCGAAAGCAGCAGCTCCACCTGGAATTGTGAGTCTCGTTTATTCCGCATAGACCAATCCGTGTACTGACCCCACCACAGCGCCAGCTTGAGACGTGCAGCACCGCCAGGAGTTTATGTGAGCCTCGCGCCCGGAGACCCGACACTCTGGAATGGAGTGATTTTTGTTCGCTCAGGTGAGTTCGAAATTGTTACTTATTGCACCACGCGTCGACTAACTCCCGTTTGCAGGCCCCTATGCTTCGGCCGTTCTCCGATTCCAAATCCGCTTCCCAGACACCTATCCCGATCTTCCTCCTCTAGTCACCTTCGCAACCGACCTGTTCCACCCATTGATTGTGCCTCTCACCACATATACCTTTAGCACTGGCTCGGCAAGTGATAATCCCGTCAGTGCAACGGATGATGAACGATTGCCGCCTGGCGGATTCAGTCTGCGCCATGGATTCCCTCATTGGTTTGGTAGAGCAAAGCGGGGCATGGCATCAGGGAACACATCACGGAATGTAAGCGGTACTAGTGCAAGTGCTGCGTCGGCGGGACATGCAAGCTCTGCCGATCCGGTTACAGATAATGGTGAAGAATCGAACGTGTCAAACCCTCCAGTGACATCAGCGGCTAGCGAGGGCGGCGATGTAGAAGCGCCACGTTTGGCCCAGGCACCTGCTACAGATCAGTTTGCGGAACGGAGGGATGTCGTTCCAGTGTCCGAGATATTGGATTACATTCGGTCGACGTTCGACGACGAATTAGTTTTGGATTCGCTACCGGTTGAGGTCGCCGGGAACCCTGGAGCATGGCATGCATGGCAGGCACATCGTCGAGGGGGCCCTCGAGGACAACTGAAACGAGGAAGCCCGCAGGCTCGGCTTCCGGGGGATTGGCATTGGGATGGAATTTGGGCTAGGCGGGTGAAAGATGAGATTGAAAACTCTCATTCTGAGCCGATGTTGTATGGAGGTGCTGGTCGTGGGGGTATAGATGAAACGGTATATAACCCTCGATTCCCATTCTTGACTTATGCTTACCACCTTTTAGATCCGGTTTTCGCGACTGGATGATACAACCATGAACTCAGTCAGGGAGAAGATGGTTGCGATGACGGGGAACGGGGTATAAGTGCTACCTGATGGATTATGATACCCAATTGCTTCTTGGCCTTTATTTGACAAAAATGTTTATCGACTTAAGGTTGGAGAATCCCATGGATCTCCCGTCCGTGAGACATGGGAATGACATCGTCGTTGCCGTCTTAGTCGTCGGTCCTCTGGAGAGCGGCAGGAGCATATGGCTTCAATGTTCTTCCCTTTCCCATTTCTCCTCCTCACATCAATATATTCGAGCACAATGACCTATAAGTTATCATATGATATCAAAAGTTCAGCTTTAATTATTGCATTGGTCCTTGTTCCTATTGTTGTTCTCATCTTCGTTGTTGTCATCGCTCTTGCGTGTTCCAATTACTGGAGTATTCATTCCCTCAAAGGGTCGTGCCTGTCGTGTCTGTCGTGCTTCACCCTTTGGAAGCAACAGAGACGCAAGAAAATCTCATCAGACCCAGAGGCCAGTCCCGTCACGCATCACTTGGATTTAACTCGTGCCACTGAGGCTTCAGATATTCGGATTGAGTTTGAGCCTCCTATCAGGAACAGAGAGCATACTTAGATCCCACGACGCCATGAAGGACACACCAACTACGCCGGTCACTGTGCTCAAATGCCGCACCTCATGCATCACATCCATACATAGAACCACCTCGACATCTAGCTCTCTTTCGAGCTTGTCATATCCACAGATCCCTTCTCGCCGTTCGTCCCTTTCTACAAGCGCGGAATACGATTCAAGCGAGCTTGCAACATCAACTAGAACCCCCTCTCTCAGTGATAGTCTTTACAACATCGATGTGGTGAAAGTTCGTCAGGATCATACTACATCTTCCCAAGGTATTCGCAAGACTGGTCTTGATAATGAAGACCCGTTTATTGACCAGGTAATTTCTACCCTTGGTGTGAATAGTTTTGTTCCTATTAACTGTTGTTGCAGACCTCGCGCCGCCGCGTTGGTCCTCGAAAGAACCTCATGACCCCCAGTGGATATCAATTGGCGCCACAACTCCTCGTTCGCTGGAGCTCCGGGTCTTACGGCTCTATAGAGCCATGTCTCTCGTCAAAGTCACCCTCGGATTCCGGCGCATTGGAACCGCCAGCAGATACTATCTCAAAGCAAAAACCCAGAGTGGATAGTGGTTTCCGGTCTTTATCAAACATGCTGCGCCCAGGGTCATCCGGGTTAATCTGTCCCTTGGAGCTTCCTATCACTTTTGCCAGAATGAGATCCTACGCAGGATGGCCATGCATGGGCACCGATTCGATGTCTGTATGGACGTCAGTGAATGTATCTGCCGACGTCGAGCCCATTTCCCTGCCTGAGACCTCGAATCTTGCACCCCTTGACATTATTATACTTTTTGATAGCTTGTGAGTTGGCCATATTGTCTTACTTGTCAAAGAAAACATGTTTTTGCTGACCATAAAACAGGCAGCAGTCTTCAGTTAGCCTTGTGACGCCAATGGTCCTGGCATCGTCCGTGCTTACGTCAAATCTGGCCATCAACAGTGACAGAGTAGCATTAGCCTGTGTTGACGGAAGCTCTAGAAACAGCTTTGAACTATTGCTTCCGCTGGGGTTCCAATCATTCGAGACTTTGAGAACTGCTCTGAATTCCTTCTCTCTCCGCCAGTTGAAAAAGAACAAGAGAAAATGCCCCGATGCAGGTAACTCCATTCGACAGGTATCCCGACTCTTTTACCAGTCTCCCAGAGCAGCATTCTGTCATCTAGTATTCGTTTCTGCATGTCCACCAGAAAAACTGTTCATATCTGACGTGGACACGGCTATCGGTATCCATACAATCTCCCCTCAGCTTCGCTTTCCTCTTTACACAGCAAACCATCCACTTGGCTGGCACATTTTCTATGATGCCGATGCCGATGATCCACGATCCCGCGAAGTTCATTTCATGCGAAAGGTCTCTAAAGTCGTTCGTCAGCTTCGTACGGGTCTCAGCCCTGGGGCCCTGTCGGACTTGAAACTGTTTGTTGAGCAGGGCCACGGATGCCAGTTTGAGTCGGCAATGGAAGACTGCCATCTGTCGCGGCTACGACCAGGGGAGACCTGGGTCTTCAAAACGAAAATTGGTGTGCCGATCGGGTTTTATCAGGAAACTCAATTGACTGAACATCCGGTGCTCGAAGATTTGATTCGGCAGATCAACAGTGTTCTAAAGGCATATTCTTCTGAGCCGGTTGCGCAGCATGTTCTAAGCACCCGCCTCGAGCATCAGCACTCTTTGCTACCGAAACCGCACACTATTTGTTTGGATACTCACTGCACCATCTCGCGCACCCCGGGTGTGCCACCCCGTTCTTCTGGCGATCGTCGCAATGTTTCGGCGCTAATGTCCTATGAACTGGATGATGAAGCTATCAGTATCAGCTTGGGATCTTCAAGCGAACTCAGTTGAGATGAACTGTTTGAATCGTCTCTTTTGGAGTCATCACACTATTCTTATGGACCTTATGCTTGTTCTACTCCTAACAGACTTGGGCTATGCTTTATATTTGTACTTGTATAGGAAGGCTCGGTATTCTCTTGGAGTATGAGTTTCAATTGGATGGAATTGGCTATTTGACTAATTAATTGAGACTTTCCAATAGTTGTGTTCCAGTCCAGCACTGGAACTCAATACAGACATGAGCAAATAACCACAAAAACATCATAACCCTTCCAAAATGCTGGCAAAACTCGATATCATAAAGTATCAGATGCGAGGATAGACATTACCCGCCATCCGCCATGTTTCTTTGATTAGATCCGCACATTTCTCTCCAATACCATACGCCGGCATCTGAGTATGTCCTCCATGCAATGTAGGCATAACACTGCAATCAGCAACTCGCAGCCCCGAAACACCCCTAACTTGCAATTTCTCATCAAGAACAGCCCTAGGATCCCCCGTCTTCCCCATGGCACAAGTTCCCGCCGCATGGTAGCCTATCAACGTCAGTAAACACGACCAAACATAATTCCACTCCAACTCACAAGTAGTCGCATGCTGCTTCACATACGGAACCCACTCCTCCCTCGATTTATAAGTATGATGATTCAAATTCGACGGCCAAGACCCCTTAACAATATCCTTAGTCCCAGCACCTTTCATAACAACCTCATTCCCAAACCGACAAGCCTCACTAAGAACCAGCAGATCAAGCGGATCATCCAGATAATTACAATCGACAACTGGGTTTACCTTCGGATCCGCCGATTCCAGAACCACCGAGCCACGAGACTTCGGCGCAAACAGCTCTGCAATCATGGAAAAAGCGTGCTGGTTGTTAGCTGGGAATTGGTCGTATTGCTTAGGTCCGCCGTAGCACTCTGTGTTGAAGAACTCGATGTTCGGTTGCTGGGGCGTGAGACCCATTGGGTCTCGGCCGGGCTTGCGCGGGGCGTTTTGCCAGAGTGGCTCGTCTTTTAGTCGGTTGTCGAGACGGGCGAAGGCGAAGCCGCCGAAGGGGAAGGTGGATAGGAAGCCCGTTTTATGATCTTTCCATTCTGCGTAGGTTCGGTCGAAGTTGTCGTTGTGATGGACGTGGTGGTCGTTTGTTAGGCCTTGTTTTTCTGTTTCGTAGAACATGAATACGATCTAGTGGGCTATTAGGACGGTTTATGCTGGTATGGTTGTGTGGGGTTACTGACGAGGTGGTCGATGAGGTTCTTGCCCACGCCTGGTAGATTAACCAAAGAGGGGATATTGTGATGTTCTAGCTCTGCCTTGGGGCCGATACCTGATCTAAGCAGGATTGCAGGACTGCAGTAGGCGCCTGCGGAGATGATGATTTCCTTTCGGGCGTGGTAGATGGTAGAGCTGCCATCTGAGGTTTGTGTGACTACGCCGGAAGCGCGAGTCTCGTTTTCCTGCTTGCTGAAGATGATTTTGTCGACAGTCGTATCTGTCTTGATGGTGATGTTCCCTTGGTTCTTGGTTGTGATGAAATCAGCGCCCGTTGTCCGTATGCCCCGGTATACCGTTCGAGGTACATGGCCACATCCTTGTACAACATCACCAGTGCTGAACATGTCATGATGCAAGGGCATGCCTTGCGAGACATAAGAGTCGAGCAGAAGCTGAGAGATGGGCGCTAGATCATGTGGCTCTGTGTGAAGTGGCCCGGAGTATCCATGACTCTCTCTATCGGCCTGGAACCATGCTTTTGGGTGGAAGGTCTCTGACTACTCTCTTTGTTAGTACATACTTCGATATATGTATCAATATCAGCGTGGAATCATGTTACCTTTCTCATATACTCAAAGAACTCTTCTCCGCTCCATCCATCTAGTCCCCAGTCATCATAATCCAGTTTGCTGCCACGGATACAAAGCGTTCCATTGCACCCGCTACAGCCTCCAAGGAATCGACCACGACTCAGCTTCACTTGGCGGTTATCAACTCCTGCCATTGGAGGAGTGACGAAGTTCCAATCTGTCTCGGCATCGAAGTTGTTCGCCCACCTAATCTGTCAATGACGAGGATTGTTCCAACTGGGCTTTTGTAACTCACCCGCCAGTCATATGAACATTTTCTAGGTCCTTATTATGCTGTCCAGCTTCCAGCAGCAAGACGGTAACTTCGGGATTTTCTGCCAGACGACCAGCAACCACACAGCCAGAGGTGCCTCCTCTGTCTCATGGTTAGAAAGAGTATAAGATTGTCAAGGTAGATATCTTACCCGCAGACAATATAGTCATAGGTATCCTCAATTCCAGAAGTCATAGTGTAGAGTTCAGATGTCGATCGGGTAGAATGACAATGAAGATTAGCAACGGAAGATATAAAATCCAAGCTTGCCAGCTTTCTACACCGTACTTATAACATAGCGGAGCAGAGCGGAGATGATTCCGCGTATATCCAGCTTGAGTGGTTGTTTTGGGCAATCTTACCTATTTCTGTACATAATGCTTGGAGATCGGTCCGTTCGCATACTTTAGAGGCAAGATCTGTGAAACCTATGTAGCAACAGTTGACGTGTAATTGGTCCAAATGAGTATCAAGACGCTTGGGGACCCCTTAAAAGTGTGGAGATCGCGTCCACTTTCCGCCTGAGCCACAGTATCTGCGTATCACTGGAGTTGGGTCCTATTAATCATTAGTTTTAGGATTCATTGCTTGTATCTCTTTCGTGATAACTGCTATACTTCATTGCTACATCAACCTAAGAGTTTCTACAATAGGTTAGTCATATATATATATATAGAAGGAGTGGGCCAATTTTCTGCTGGCAATAAAAGCCAATAGGACTCAAATTCGCCTTCCTGGAGTTATGCAGTCTAGGTAATACCACAGTCTTCAAAGTTTTTGTGGCAAATGAATCTGTCTTTGTGCAGTTGTCCGTGTTACTTCGTTTCACTTCATTTCGTGTATCCGAGGTCAAATACGGGATCATTCCGCATCTCTATCATACATAAGGTTCATAACTATTGAGATGCCGAAAAGTTTGCCAAAGGAGGAGCCTTTTCCTGAATGACTTCCTTTCCCCACACCGGATCCCCGTCATCATCGAACTCAGCCCACTGGAAGAAAGAACATCCTTCCTTTCCTGGTGCATATCCAGCATAGCACATCCACATGTACCTCCCTCGCGTCTCATGTTTGCGTTGGACACACCGGAGGATCGTGGGTTCGTCACACATGCAACGTGGCGTGTAGCGTGGGTGCAGAGTATCACGGTACCAACGATATGTGATATTGATACGTTTGTTCCCGGAGATCGGATGTGGGGAAATGGTTTGAGTTGGAGCGATAGAGTGTTTCCACTCCTCTTGCATTTCTGCATGCATAATAAGGAGAGAATTGTGTGGGAGATGGATTGAGATTTGGCCCTGGGCGTCAGCGCGTGCGGCCGATGCAGTCTGGTTCCGTGCGGAATTTAAAACTGGACTGGTCTTTTTGGCGTTGTGATCTTCTTCCGTAGTCTCGTCGTCATCCCGAGGTACTATTCGACGGACTCGGAATTCGCGTGTCACGCCCAAGCTCAGGCTTCCTATCACCGGGTGGGGACCGAGATAGGTGAGTTTGTCGGAGTGATATCCCACGCTTTCACTCGGCCCGTCGTAGCAGTTGACAAATGCTGCGTTGGGTCGCCACTCTTTTGGGGACATGTACTTTAACTTCTTTCCGTCAGGATAGACGTCTCGAATTCGTTTGCTGATCTCGTTGTTGACACTTTTCTGTACTTGGCGTGACACTAATCGTAGCTGTGGTGTTACCTGGCGCACATTTGACAGATATCTGCCACCATAAGTGTATTCCGAAGTCTGTTGCCGGTGTTCTTCGGGTGTAGAGACATACACGGCATTCGTGTGGGGACTCTGGACGGTGCGGTTGAAGAGTTGAAAGTCGTATCGAGAAAAGTGCTTCGATTCATCAAGTAATTCAAGTAGAAGTGCATCTGCTTCTTTAGCTGGCAGGAAATTGTGGATGATAGTACAAGGTGTGTAGGCTGCAATATCCTCAGGCGAATAAAGGTGTAATGTTTTGCCCTTTTTTAAGGGCGGAAGCTTCTTATTCCTCGCGCTTTCATGTATGGGTTTCATGCTCCCATCTTCGGTCGTTGTAAGAATATGTGATGAGAGAGATGTCTGCATGCCAAATGCTGAGGCAACAGCAGCCCGCTTTTTGCCAACAGGTGTGCCTCCTGTGGAGCCTTTGGCAGAGAGGAGCTCAGTAACAGCCTCCACAGACCCTTCACAGGATACAAGTATATCCAATAGCTCATCCTGTTTGATAGCCGGGTAGAGAGATAGTAGTATTGCTAGCTTGGTATCAGTGGTGTCTTCGTGGGGATCTGATGGTTCGTTCCTGGGCTCATCGCTTAGAGCCGATAGCCGTGGACGTTTCCTGGATATGAAAGCATCCATGTTTTAGGTTCATTATTTCAAGTGATGAATGGATATTTAAGGTGATCGATTTGATTGAAAGTCACGATAAAACGTTTATCGGCACATGACTGCCGTCGAAGTGACCAATCGGGTTACGATGTTATAGATATAGTCGAATGGGGCCGATGGCTGCCTAGATGGACTATTATGATATTCTGGTTAAATTACCCTGTATCAAGATGAATAGAGTGAAATGTCAGGTTTGGGAATTTATTTTTCGCTATTAGCGGCCATCCGTTACCAAGAATTCCTCCAGCTATAGCACTAAAAAGGGAAAAAGAGACACACAAGAGGCCCAAAAAGGTTATCTAAAAAAACACTCTTGAAAAACCAACAGGAAAGATTGTACTAATAATATCTTAGGATAAACCTCCTGAATTTGAGGTCGGAAATTGGCCTTTGTACTCCGTAGACAAATTGGACATCGGCTCTGAAAAAGCCAAACTCAGGTAAATAACTATGAGGTTATGGTCATAACTTTTCGGTACTCAAAGTTGGCTCATTTTAATCCCATTTTCAGAACAAGTTTAGCCGAGCAACACCTAAATATCTCATATCACCATTCAATCGGGAACAAAATCGTATCAAATACCATCGTACTAGGATTCAAAGATGCAGCGTTCTCACCACAAACAGAAATCAAAGAATCACAGAAAAAGCAGAGTCCAGATACCTTTGGTTTCATCCCTCATTTCCCGAATCAGAAGAGAACGCCCCACGCTACTTTCTTTGGAAGACAGCGTTCTAAACAATATACACCAACGTCTTTCCCTGGTCGACGGAGCTTGTCTATCCCTCAGCTGTAAAAGATTTTACGGCCTATTTGGTGCGACCCTAAAGCAAAAAGAGTTCAACTTCCCACGACTTTTACAAATTCGGATCCCTATTCTATGCGTGAATAGTACAAATGTGCCACGGAACCAACTTCTTCTTCGACTCGAAAATCGCCGCTGGAACTACTGCGGTAAATGTTTAAAGCTCCATCCACGAAAGGAATTTCCTAGAGCTTCACTTCAGTATCCAGCTCGAGGGAGGTCTTGTACGAAATACTCCGGTATAGTTGACATATGCCCGTGCGCCGCTTTGACAATTCGTGAACGAGGGCGTATTGTGAAACTCCTCAAATCACCTACTCCTACTGCGCTATCCCAGGCTCAAATCGGCCCTTTTAAATTTGGCCATACTGGTGGGCCTCATCTAAGTCATAGCTGTTCATTGGTCGATACTCCTAACAACAACGCCCGAGTCGAGATGCGTATATATATCAACAAATCGGACCATCTAGTTATACATGCTCGGTACACGATGGGTTTCTCTACCCTCCCCGCTATCTTTTGCTGTCCCCATGAGAATCTTATCTCATCCACATATTTGAACTTGGACAATCAAATTTGTGCGCAATGTTGGACATCGATTTACCGAAACCGCATATCCCAAGGTTTGGAGAGTGCTGTATTTGACGTAAAACGGGATCTGGGCAGTTGCGAATGGCCTGCAGATTCCCGCTGGCTCTCTAACTGCCGTCTTACTGGAGATGAGTTTTCCCAAGATCTGAAGCTATGGTAAGTGCATGCATAGAAAGCGAACTAACCGAATGAAAATTATTAATAATCGTAGGTCTTCCCCACAACTCACAAAAAAGATGAAAGATAATTATAGTGAATGGTCGAGGGAATATAGGGAAGATCAACTGCTTCAACAAGAAGAATACTATGCCCGGATACGACGTCACCAGGAGCGTTCGTATAGCGAAGCATACCAGAGCACTCCTTACGATAGTCCCGCTTTAGATATGCTTATGTTCAACAATTCTATTTTAGATACGTGTGTGTGCTCAGACACATCTTGCCTGTGGTAACAGAAGGAGAATGAAATGAAGAATGAGGGATTTATATAGAGGTTGGTCGATTGAAGTCAAAGCCAGTATGCTCCCCGTTGCTTTAATAAGAGAATCATCGGGATGCAACGAAGCTTCGCTTGTTGCTTTTGCTCACGAGAAAGGAAAATGAAAAGCACGGGAAAATGTCGAAAGAGGCATTGGCTTCTAGCTAAAAAGAAAAATATAGCCTAATTGCTCTTGAAAATGTTGAAATAGTGGACATAAGCGGCTAGCCATTATGAAATATATTTGACAAGAAATAGATTCAAAAGGCTAGCTTGATATACTCTTCCAATTGCCATCTCCCATGTATACATTTCCCTCCCGATGATAATCAACCAACCATTTCAGTTGACGGAGCCCATCAAAGACCTCTACCAATGCACTCAATGCCACCCTCGTCCACCCATAATAACTCCCACGATGTCCCCTAACCCGCTCAGATACACCTTCCACATCGTGTCGCGCAAGCGGGTGATCGCCCATCCTCGAATCCGGGAAATTCTCCTCAACAACCTTCACCCAACATCCACCTACATCAGCATCCTCCTCGGCCATCGAGCAAAAATCTAAGACACACTTCATGTGCGCCAACGCTTCATCATCTAGCATCAAGCATATGCGCAGTCTGCTCGGAAGCTCTGTTTCAGGTATCCTAAGCGACACCTTGAACTCATGGAAAGCTTGCCGGACCCCTTCCTCATTCATATTGGTGTACATCTCTCGCGAGCTGAAGACCTTGGAAGAATATGTCTCGGTAAGAATTTGGATTTCTTCATCGGAGCCTGTAAATGTCCGGCGCAATGCCCGTTGCACGGAATTGTTGAGGTAGCGCAGGAATACGGGCAGGAGGCGTTTGGTTTCTGGAGCGTACGAGGTGCGATAGACGATAGGTCCCCATGATAGGGTGAGAAAGTCGCGCTCTGGGCCTGGAGGTAGGGATCTTAGTCCTGGTAATGCTCCGAGTCGGTAGACTTCTTCTTTGAGGAATAGACTGGCAGGGGTAGTAGTGTGCTTTGGTACTGGCGTTGGGTTGTCGCCTCCCGGTTTGGGTGCGATTTGGGTATCATATTGTCTTGAGGTTATCATAGTGGCTGATTTGTATGTTAAGATAAGTGCATATTCAATTAGGATTAAAGCTATTAGACTAAGAAGCAGATTTCAGAAGAGGCCAACCATGGCGTCATTCCCATACTTTGCTAAGGCTGAGGCAAAATATCGGGTGGCTCAACTTGTACCTATCCAATATGATTGGCTCCATTACATGTGAGTGAATTGAATACTGGGGGTCTAGAATGAATCCCCATTACTGTTGCAATTAGGGCTGGATGCAGATATAGATGTAGCCCGCTGACGTCAACGATCACGAACATCTATACTTCACCTCATTGATCTATATATGAGTACAGACTTACCTTATTTGCATTGAATATAATCTAAGCGGCAATATATTGAGAAACAAAGCCTGTAGAAAATATGTTAATATAAATCATATGTCGATGGACATGCTGGTGGGTTAACCATCAAAAAAATAAGAAAGGTTTGCGAAAAGAACACTAAGAAGAGACAATCTTCAGGAACCAATTGAATTGATGCGATTTCAGTAATAATATAATGCAGATATAAGCAATAAATCAACAAAAAGTGAATGTGAAAGTATAGAAAAATGCCGTGCCTGAAAGCCAAGGAAGGACCTCGGCCCATCTGATCCCCGCAATCCCGAGATCATACGAATCTAAACTTGGACACCTTCGTGACTGACGCTTGTCTTTTTGATACCCTATAGCTTGTTTCAAGGTCTCCTTTGCATTTTCTCTCTTTTTCTTTCCCTTCTACCCCCTCGAGCGGCCGGGGCTCATCAGCTACTCATCATGCTCCATTACCGCACACAAGGATACCAGGGTTGCGCTGTCAAATACTCCCCGTTCTTTGACAATCGGCTGGCTGTTGCAAGCTCCTCAAATTTTGGCCTAGTTGGCAACGGCCGCCTACAGGTCCTAGAGTTGACTGCGAATGGAATCCAACCGCTAAAATGGTAAGTGAGATATTCGCAAGCCCCGCGGCGGGCTGTGCAACAGAATTGGAATTAAGAACAGAATTCTAACCATTCGGCGCTATCACAACCTCCAGGTTTACAACACAAGACTCACTATATGATCTCGCCTGGTCCGAACTCCACGAGAACCAAGTCCTCGCCGCATCAGGCGACGGCAGCATCAAGCTATTCGATTGCACAGCGGACGAATTCCCAATCTCAAATTGGAAAGAGCACGCACGGGAAGTATTCAGCGTAAGCTGGAACCCCGTTGCAAAAGACCGCTTCTGCTCAAGTAGCTGGGATGGCACAGTCCGCATCTGGTCGCCGCATCGCCCGCAGTCCCTCCTCACCCTCCCAACACACAGCTGCACCTACTCCGCCTCATTCTGTCCACACAGCCCAGACATCATCTCGTGCGTGACGTCAGACTCATACGTGCGCGTTTTTGATCTCCGCACCCCGGCCTCCGCCTCCAACCACCTCGTCACCCAGATCCCCATCCACGCCGGTCCCCCCGCGCCTACAATCCCCGGCCAGCCGGGCGGCCCTTCCCCACCCGCTGAGGCCCTCACCCACGACTGGAACAAGTACCGTCCCACTGTTCTAGCTACAGCGGGTGTTGATCGTGCTATCCGGACGTTTGATATCAGGGCCCCGCAACAAGGGCCGCTGTCCACCATGCTCGGACATGAATATGCTGTGCGCAAAGTGGCTTGGTCGCCACATCTTTCTAATGTTCTTTTGAGTGCTAGCTACGATATGACTTGTCGCGTGTGGAATGACCGGTCAGATGCGGGCGCGGGCGGGGATATGGATATGATGCGCGCTGGTCCGGTGGTTGGCGCGGAACTAGGGCGCATGGGTAGACATACCGAGTTTGTAACAGGTATTGACTGGTGTCTGTTTGGAAGTGAGGGCTGGTGTGCTAGTGTTGGCTGGGATGAGAATCTATATGTGTGGGATGTGCGAGCTACAATGTCATAGGATGTTTAAAACCAATTATATATATGGCTCTGGCAGGGTCCAGAGACTGGTCTTTTCTTTTCTGGGTGCAACGGAGCTAGCCCTATGTAGGGGCTTACTGGAGATATTCAAGATATTGGGTTGCTAGGTAGCCTACTATCGGGATAGACTATTTTACACTAAGAGGAATAACTCGAAAGGGATATTGATCATTTTATTTCGTAAGTTTATATACCGCAAAGGGCAAAGAAACAATGGATGGTGCAATGTAAGAACAAATGCGTCACGGTTGTCTATTTCCCGGGCTTAATGTTTAAGCCTCTTGTTTGGCTTATGCAGCGACCCAATGACTCGAAAACGGCTGGTATTCCCATACCGTGCAAAATTGACTCCGAACCAAAATGAGAGCCTCACAATATTGAGCCATCCATGATGGGTATTTGAGACATGGAGACTCAGAACACGGTCAATGCGACAATATCATCACATTGCCCACAATTTCCTGGTATCCATGCCCTGAATGCTTGTGATCCAGCAACAGACCAATCTATTTGCCGCCCAGTCTGCTCTCGACCTTCTTGCGCTCGTTTTCCCGAAGCGCAGCAACCTCTTCCTTGGTGGCATTAACAGCGGCATGCACCTGGTTGAATGGGTTCTCCTCGCTCTTCTCGAATTCCTTCCGGCAGAGCTCCATACGCTGGTTCCGACGCAGACCTGGGTTTTCCTGCTCAATCTCTGGCAAGCGTCTCTCCTCGAATGCAGCATATGCGGCCTTGAATCGGCGCTCGGGGTGTCGGTCGATCTTGGATGTGTCCTTTGAGGCCAGAGACAAGGCGTCTAGTGCGTTGTCAATACCAGTGGCGCTGAGAGCAGATTCCTTCTTGCTTCCAGCAGGAGCATCATCCAACTGTGAAAGATCGAGGCCGCGAGTCTTCTTTTGTGCGGTTTTGGCGTTCGCGCCTTTGGCTTTGGCTGGTTGAGAAGCTTCTTCCGCGGCGAGGAGGGCATCACGCTCTGCCTTCTTGCGGGCAGCTTCGGCTTTCTTGGATTCGGCGTCTTCCCTATAAATTGAAGGTAATTAGCTCGGAACTTGAAAACATGCTCGAGAGGTTGAGTTCGCATACTTCTTAGCATTGCTCTTGGATCCCTTCTTCCATTCCTTTTCCTCCTCTGCAGCCTTCTTCTGGTCCTCAGCTGCCTTCTTTGATGCTGCGGCCTCCGCTTTCTGTACGCCACTGTCAGCTTTTATCCAAATGTTCTTATACTTGAGGGATGTGGCAATAATAGCGGGGGCGGGGTTTAAAAAAACATACACGAGCGTTTCCGGCGGCCTTCTTGGAGTTCTCACCTGCTGCTTTCTTGCCGGCCATGGTGAAATATGATACCCAAACTAAACGCTGAACAGAATCTGAGGAATGGATGTGAAAAGAAAAAGGTGGAATCGAGTTTCTACTCCATGATCTGATCGCGGGACCAATATGCCGACTCCGATGAAGGCGGTGACTATACATGGTCCGTGCGTCGATATTGATGCCTTATGAAGGTGGCATCACGGAAGGTTCCCCAGCATTTGTAATCTCCTATCTCACCTGGGCAACTTCTTGAAGTAGTCTGTCTTCTTCCGGCCATGTGTGCTATGGCCTTGCTATAGACCTTGTGATTGAAATCTACAGGGTTTGATTTGATTTACGTTTTGTCACTGCCGAAATCACATTTACCGGCCAGTGATATATAGGCAGTGTTCCTCCCTACTATGATCTGATCGTCCGTCACAATGGCTTTACTCTTCCGCTTCATACAGGCGTTCGCCTTACTGCTCCTTGCCAGCGCGGTTGTCGCTGAACACACCTCTAACTGGGCGGTACTCGTATCTACGTCTCGCTTCTGGTTCAACTACCGCCACCTTGCCAATGTCCTTTCACTATACCGAACCGTCAAGCGGCTCGGCATTCCCGATTCACAGATTATCCTCATGCTCCCCGATGACATGGCTTGCAACCCCCGAAATGCTTTCCCAGGCACTGTCTATAGTAACGCAGACCGGGCCGTCGATCTATATGGTGACAATATCGAAGTGGACTACAGGGGGTACGAAGTGACCGTGGAGAACTTCATTCGACTCTTGACCGACCGCCTCGACGAAGACGTGCCGCGCAGCAAGCGCCTGGGATCTGATGCCGGCAGCAATGTACTAGTATACATGACCGGACATGGAGGCGACCAATTCCTAAAGTTCCAGGACGCCGAAGAGATCGGCGCGTGGGATCTTGCGGACGCATTTGGACAGATGTGGGAGAAGAAGCGCTACCATGAGCTGTTGTTCATGATCGACACTTGCCAGGCCAATACGATGTACACCCATTTCTACTCGCCTAATATCGTGGCGACAGGCTCCAGCGAGATCGACCAGTCGTCCTATTCCCACCATGCAGACAATGATGTCGGCGTCGCTGTCATTGATCGCTGGACGTACTATGTTCTTGAATTCCTCGAGACACAAGTGACAAGTGTCACTTCTAAACTCAACCTGGGAGACTTGTTCGATTCTTACGATGAGTCGAAGATCCACTCTCAGCCGGGTGTCCGGTGGGATTTGTTCCCTGGAGGCGAGCAAGAAGGCCGCCTGCGGACTGTGGTTGACTTCTTCGGCAATGTCCAAAACGTCGAAGTTGAGAATGCCAATGCCACTGAGCCTGGTTCTCTCAAGGAAGATTTGGCTGAAATTGCGCGACTTGTGGAGAAGTGGCAAAAGCGTGACGAGGAATATTCAGCCATACTTGGTGATTCCGCTGGAAATGCCACCGAAGATCTACATTCATCACCTTTGCAGCTGAAGCTGAAGAGAACTGTTGGGCCGACCAAAATGGCGGAAGACAGCAGCTGGGGCAAGCGGTTAGTTGGCATCTCTGTCGTTGGTGCATGCACCGCCATCTGGGTGGCTGGATCGATTTTGGGCCGCTCATCTGTTTAATATTTGCAACAAAGCAAGTTTTCGTCTGCTTTGGCTGCAATCTTGAGTTTTTTTTCTCTGGGTCTATGGATGCATGGCCATAATGTCTTCGCTGGAATGATTTTGGAGAACATAGCATGTTCATGGCGCGAGGCGTTAACTCTGTGATTATTGAATTTGAAGATATCCTGATCAACAGCCCTTATGAACCAACTATAGGTTGAGACTCGTAAACAAAGTAATCATCCTACTACATATGCAACCAAAATGTCGCAACGTGTTTGTGATTCTAGAAGCGAGTTCGGGATATAAGTTCGCTCAGCATATCAAGGATATCGTCAAAGAGTCTCTATCATCTAAAACTGAAATAATTTGACGTGCTCAGGCGACTGCGCGGTTGGTGGACAGCGAACAAAGGATTTGCGCGTAAGACTCCATTTGGAGTATAAATGAAAGATTTCGCGTAAAGCACCCAATTTGCATTGGGCAATAAGATGAACCAACCCATATTTTAAGAAGTTTAGAAGATCTATAGTGATATTTAATTCAATAAATTAACGAGTAAAACATTCAAACAATAAAATATCCAAGTAATAAGAGAAGGGCAAATATCGTGAAGACAGGCGGCACGTGCCTCCGACGCGTCGCGCTTGTCCACTTCCCCGGCGCTATGGGAGACTCTTTGCTGCAAGGGCTTCACACCAAACCACCTCACATTTCTGGGTTTATTCTTACAAGTCTCTCTTCATGAGCTGTCGCATGACTATATGACAATCCCAAGCTGGCCATGTATCTCCCTCGGCAGCTCATCTCACACCTCTACCTACAACTCCTCCGATCTCACCACCCACTTTCACCACCCGTCTTGATTCTCGTGGCATTAGAGCCAGACGCGCTATGTGCCTGCCGAATTCTCACATCTTTGTTAAAACGCGACTATATCCCTCATAAAATCCAACCAGTTGCAGGATATGGCGACCTGTCGCGTGCGGGGGAGGAGCTGGTCCGCCCGATGCAGACCACTAATGGCGGCAGCGGAGGAGTTGTCGTCTGTCTCGGAGTAGGGGGCCTAGTGGATTTAAGCGAGATACTGGCGTTGAGTAACCCCGAGGACGAGGAGGAAGATATGGGAGGCGTGGAGATCTGGGTATTTGACGCGCGACGGCCGTGGAACCTGGGGAACGTCTTCGGTGGACAAGCTGGGATGGGGCAACCTATGGCTGAAATCGACGCCAATGCGCGACGGCAAGGACGCGGGGTTGATAAAGGGTGTATCACATCCGCTTACACGTCGAAGAATGGCGGAATCATCGTGTATGACGACGGAGACATTGAGGAAGAGCTTCGCAACGAACGAGAAGCATATTACGCGTTACTTGAGATGCCAGAGGTAGACGACGACGAAGATGACGCGAGTGATGACGGATCTGAAGACGAAACGCAAACAGGGTCGAAAAAGCGCAAATCCTGGTCAGGTCGCGAAGACGATGAGGATTCAGAAGGTGATGAGCCGCCTCATCAACGGAGGAGAAGCAATTCGGTAGGTTTCGACATTTTTAAGACCCGACAATGGTCTAACGCATGATGTAGGGATCCTCTATTGCCTCGTCTCCGACTCGCCGGACAAAGACTGGAATCAATTCTTCGAACTCCTCGCGGTCTGCGACACCGACAACTGATTCGCCATCCCCAGCCGAGGCAAGACAACCATCAGCGCGGTCGTTAAAGAAACGTTTGATTAAACTAAAGCGAAAACACGACTCCGTTCTACAATCATACTATTCGTCGGGAACCTCATACTCAGAACCAATTTCGTCACTGATCTACTCTCTGGCATCCGAGCTTGGACGAGATGACAATGACCTGTTGTGGCTTGCTATTGTCGGTGTCTCCAGCCTGGAACTCAGTGGTCGAACAATGACTGGAGTGGGTATTTCGAACACATCAGAATCAGGAGGCTCAGCAGGCTGGGGTGGCCAGCGTGGTGAACACATTCGCCAAATACTTCGCGATGAAGTGCATCGTTTGAACCCGCCTGATCCTTTAGAAGCAAATCGTGACATCCGAGGAGAAATCAACGGTGTCATCCCAACAACAGCTAGATCACCCACCGATACTTCCATCCGTCTTTCTCCCGAACCGCGATTCCTTCTTGTCCGACACTGGTCTCTATACGAAAGTATGCTCCACAGTCCTTATCTCGCCCCAAGGCTGCATGTTTGGACCGAGAATGGCCGCAAACGACTACACAAACTTCTAGCCAAGATGGGAATTAGTCTGACCCAGTGTCACCAATACTATACCCACATGGACATGGAGTTGAAGCGTGTCCTACGATCACGTCTGCTCAAGTACGCCCCTATGTATGGCCTGGATGGGCTCGTGCCATCAGAGGGCACTGGGAGTGCGAGTGCCCGTGAGGGCTGGGGATTTGTGCGTTGCTGGGGCTGGAAGGCATGCCTCTCGGCCACAGACGTGGGTGTTATTGTGGGTGCAATGCTGGAAGTTGGGCCACATGAGACTTTGGCTTCTTGGGACGCTAAACGTCTGCCGCGAGTACGCGACGATACAGAAAACAGTGGAGTCACAGGCGAATCTGACTTGGCTAGTCTGCTACCTCGATTCTGGAGCGCGTACGATGCCCTTTCATTAACGTCCGAATCACCCACGATTCTTCTAGAGTCTTTGCCTCTGGCTCAGCATCTACACCGTGCTATCCTTCGCACTGGTACTTCCTTACTCTCTAAGCATCAAATCCGTCACCTTCGAGCATTCCGCATTGCCGTGGTCAAGGATGGACCTGACGTCAAACTCTTTACAAACCCCGGGGCCTTGACGAAATTGGCCCTGTGGATCGCCGAAGCCATTCGAGTTCAAGAGAAAGAGCGTGGTGACTCAGTCAAGATCGGTCGGAAGAGAGCAGCAGGAACTCCTCTCGTCCTTGCTGGCCTCGATGAAGACCGCGATCTCTATGTAGTCGTCGGCACTGGTGGCGGCGGCGGTGTCGTTGACTTCGCCGCCATGGCCAAGCGCCAGGAGGAGCGCAAGAAGAAGAAAGATGCTAAGGAAAAGAAACAGAAAGAGCAATCAGAGCGCCGATCTCAACGAGCAGCAGAGCGTGCCGAACGAGAAGAAGAGACTGGTGCCGAAGACGAAGAATCAGAAGAGTCCGAGTCCTCATCGGAATCAGAGTCCGAGGACGAGGAAGATCCGCGTGGAAAGAAGCATCTTCTCCGCAACCGATTTGGTATTGCCTTCCAGGAGGTAGTCCAGGAGACGAATGCGCGTGTGCGCATCGACAGCTTCGAGCATTGTGTTGTCGAGGTCCAGAAGGATGACCTCGGTGGCTTCCTCGAAGCATTGAGTTTCCGCAGTGTGGTGGGCTAATCTCTCTACAAACACAATCACGCAGTCTACGACCTGTCTTTGTTTACTTCGCATGGGATGGGAAGGATATATGGGAGGGGATACTTGACTCTGAAACCGGCTACATGCATAATGACCGTTGCATGTTCTACGCTTGCAAGCATTCAAACGCCCTTTATTCTTGCATCTGTCTCCAATGGTGTTTATGGCGTTTCTTGAAAACATGTCTGATTCTATCTAGTCCATAGTTGCATCAAATCTATGCATTTTCGGCCTTTCCGAGTGCCCGCATATCCCCTTGTGAACCTTAGGACTTTGTCTGTTTTAGATACCCAGACTAATAGGAAAAACAACTCTATTCGTCGCCATATGGCGGCACGAATACCCCGTCCTCCGCGAGAGCACCCTCACCAACCTCCGCAGAGTATCACAAGGCCCAAGATCAAATCAACCTGCCAGGGAAGATATTTCAATAATATATGTATAATATCATTTAATTCTGTCAAATTACGGATTTTCAAAGTCGTACATCTCATTTCGACACATGCACTTCTCAGTTCTCTCCTCTCCACCAAAAATTCACACTAATCCCAGCCCTCAATCCACGCACATAATGCCACCACCCAATAGGTATATAGAGACACTCGCCTTCATGAAGAACAGTCTCCACATACTCCGCATCCATGAACCCAGGCCACATCTCCTCCCATTGCTCATACTCAGCCGGAGAAGACTCGATAGCAGCCAGATCCACCTTGGAAGTATTGGACATGTCGACCAGTCTACGAGTCGTCGGCCGAACTCCAGATACAGGATCTGGGTCAGCCGTCTCATCGATAGACGTGACCCATTCTTGTTCCCTTGGGTGGATCTGAGAGTCAGGCGTGCGCGGCGAGTACAGTCGGATATACTTTGTGCCCACGACCTGGGCGAGGATATTGTGGTGGGGGTCGTGATGGAGAGGGGAGATTGTCCACGCGGGTCCGATCCAAGTATTGATGATTGGATCGCTGGGGATGCCCATGAGTGAGCCTGAATCTGAATCGTCGGCTATATCATTTCCATTCGGTGTATCCAACTGGGGCGAGGTTTCAGAGACCTGTGCTTGGGATTTCGCCTCGCGCTCTCGCTTTTTCTTCTCGTACACTGGTGTTCCCGGTTCTGGGCCCGGTGGGGTAATATAACAGTAGTCTGGTACACTGATATCGTTACGCAAGACGGGTATTTGGGTAAGTAGATCGTGTTGTGCCATGTATGCTGTCTCTCCGTCGAGGTTGGTGACCTGAGGTTGGTTTTCTGAACCAGTCGGGGCGAGTTTGCCTTGCCATATATACTTGTCCACAAACTCTTTGAACGGCATAATCTTCTGTCCCCAGTCCTCGTCCGTATACGACCTTCCCACCTCAACCGGGACTAATCTGCGACCCCCGAAGGTACGATCCCACCAGTAGTTCCGTGAAGACCATGGACGCGTCGAAGTGGCTGGCCAGTGATCTATTGCATCTGTTATCACCAGCGGGGTGCGAACATTTTGAATGTGGTGTTCGATGAGATCGAACGACGGTGCCGATAAACGCGGGATTGGATGTTCCAGGTGGGGTTTACGGATTGCATTTGGAGGGAAGAGGGGAGGCGAGAACTTTCTGCGTTTTGCGGTAGGATATTCCGGACTACCAGTGCTGTCATCTTCGAACTTGGGGGGTTCTGTAGCTGCCTGCAGCGTGGACAACAAGGACTCGACCAATTTCTCGCGGAGGGGCGCTCCAGACATGATCAGGACGTGATCAAGGATTGCCACGACGTCTGATAGCCATGGCGCATCCGGAGAGAGCTTCGGCTCTGTTTCTGCATTCTTGATGTCTTGAATAAGTTGTGAGACAACTAGGTGCTGGGTTTCAAATCTGGCTTTGGATATCAGGCCGCATTCTGTGATGATAATGACGCAGGCCTTGACGATAGACGCGTCCGTGTAGAGTCGATGCCAGCAGATGTGCACATCCTTAAATGGAAAGGAGTGTAATTTTGAGTTGGCAAGCTCAAGTGCTTTCTTAGTTTCATTGAAGAGAAGATGTTGGAGGTCAACGTCGCATTGGAGAATGGGGTCGTCCAAGCTTGGCTCGGCGATAACAGACAACGCGTCACTAAGGACTGATGAAAGGGCCATGACTGAGGAATATAAAAGGGAAATAATAAAAAAAAAGGGGCTAGAAATTATCACCAAGGTAATCCTAACATTGAACTCCCCAAGTGTCCTCAAGTTATGGTGTTATGGGTGTTATGGCAAGATTGGTTCTTCCTTCCAAAAAAAAAAAAAATCACAAACCCTCATTTTGGCAATCAAATGGAGAAAAGAGAATGTTCCAATTTTTCTATGTTCTATGACTTTTAATATGCTAGGACTACATTACTAGGGAAACTAAAGCCAGACATATAGGAGATTTGCAGATTGCAGGGGACTATGATATGTTAATGTTTATTATATAGTACACTTTGTTCAAGGGGAGTTTTCTAATATACATGCTTCATTCAAGAAGATCCATCACCAACTTGGGAATTCGAGAAACACCTTCACCTCGTTTGGCACTGACAGGGACAACAGACACTTTCTCCTTCCAAGCCCTTTCATGACCCGATGGGTGCTCAATCGACCCATTCTGGACACCAGCCAAGTATTCCTGCATAGCTCGGAATTTTTCATGTGTGTTTTCCAGATCTGCCTTAGATGCCACGACAAACCAAGGCTTCAGATGCAGGGGTGTCATCGCCAGCGGAGGCAGCGAGCCATCAGGGTTGGTATTCAATACCGGGGCAGGCTCTCGGCCAAGTGCCTGTCGCTGATGACCACCATCCGCATTGTCAGTGAATGGATTCCATTCAATGACGTCGTCTTCCTCAGTAGCGTCAGGGTCTGAATCACGCATTCGCTCGTACTCTCCAAGTTCGCGCCACAGTTTCTGGAGTTCCTGTACAGGATCACCATGACTGAGATCAACCACAAAGGCCAGAATTCCGGCTCGATCGATGTGTCGAAGGAACCCAAGACCAAGTCCTCGGTCGAGATGGGCACCTTCTACCAGACCCGGAATGTCTGCAATAGTAAAGTGCGTGCGACGGACCTTCGACTCAACAAGAGGACGACCCTTCATGTCGTCGGTGATGACAGTACCAATACTGGGAGAAAGTGTAGTGAACTCCCAGTTTCCAATGCGAGTCCGACTGTTGGTCAACGAGCGGAGAAGGGTACTCTTGCCGGCGTTCGGTTTCCCAACCAATCCAACATCTGCAAGGAGCTTAAGCTCGAAGTCGAGCTCTAACATCATTCCACCTTCACCTTTGCTTGCAAATTTCGGTCGTCCCATTACGCGTGTGGAGAAATGCGGATTCCCCAGCCCGCCAATACCACCGGCAGCCAGAAGCATGGGTTTATCCATGGGTTTTGAAAGGTCCAGCCATATCGGCGCCTTGGGCTCCATGGCTGCTATATTCTGTCGTCGCGGGTATGATTTCGGGAACTGCACCATAAGAAAATCGGAAGGTTTTGCGGCAGGGTGTAGCACCCAACGATCGTGCTGGATAGGGTTGAACTCCGGTTCTTCTTCTTCTTCTTCTTCAAATCCTTCCTCTTCGGCATCGAGATCTTCATCAGGATCCCGCCAAACCTCTTTCTCCTCTTTGGCAAGATAGGCCGCTTCTTCCGCCTCCCTGATACGGGCCCACGCTTCCTCGACCGGATCATAACGGCTCACCTCCCGCACCACAGTGCCAACAGGTACCTGAAGGAGGACATCCTCGCCTCGTTTTCCACCCTTGCTTTTACCCTGTCCATTTCGGCCCCTGCTTGCTCTAATAATGCCTCTGCGGGCCAGCTTATGGAGACTAGTCAAGCCCTCAACGGTTTGGATATAGATACCGCCTCCGCTGCCACCATCACCGCCGTTTGGTGGTCCTTCTTCGACGTATTTCTCGCGCAGGTAGGAAACACAGCCGTGTCCACCAGAGCCTGCGTGGATTTTCACTCGACACTTGTCTTGGAAAATGAACCGCGAATAATCCTCCGGAGCAGGGTCCAGATGCGACAGGTCCGGTGTTACCTCGTCAGGCACGGCATTTTTGGTGGGATGAGGTGGTGTCTCAGGGTCGGCATTGGTGCTTTGAAATCGGTTCCGTGCGATGCATGGTTGTTGGATGTCATGTAGAAATAATCGGCTGCAACGGGCTCGTCTTGGAAGGAATGGTCGTACGGGAAGGGAAAAATAGACTCGTGGATGCGCCATGATGTGTGATTGGCGGCTATCGCTCGCTCATTCTGCGAATGCAGCTGTTTCAACTTTTGAGTTTGTCCGATTAGGATTGAATCTTCACAAGGCGCAGATATACCGATTTTCAGTGCATTGCCGACAGATCAAGTTATGACTTCAGCGGATTTCTCAAGGCACCGATAAGATCACATGTTGATAAGCCATTTATAGTATCCCTAATGAGTGCAGAATATTTACCCATAGTTATTCCTTGTTAATGACCATTTGGGCCTCTCCTTTTTCCTAAACTAATCAATGTTCCATTTTTATATATCCAAAAATGGGCTATGTAAACCCATGCAACACAAAATTGAATTGATATTCAGAAAAATTTGTCAAAGACAAACGAGCTGATCAAGGCAATGCCCAACTCTGCATCCTACCGTTTGCTCGCCACCGCCTCATGAAATCTCTGCATCAAAATATCAAATATAATGAATAGCCGTTGGGCTTCCACATCCGACCCGTAGGGTCACAACAGCTACCCTTGTTGCATCTGCACATTGCCGCCGTGTCTCCCCGAACCCGTGACAAAGTGACCAATGAACATATGCGGACTCTACTTGATGGACTAACTCATTTTAGTCCTGTCTAATTGTGACTCGACTCTTTGTCTAGCTTTTCACTAGCGTGTTGTGTCGCTGACATGCAGCAAAGAAGAAAAAACGGTGAGCTACCTTTGTTTCAATACTGTATTGTTTGCTTTTTCGAGCCAAGATCTTGCACATCCTCTTGTGGCCTTAGATGCTACCTACTCGAAGTATGTAGTATTAGACCAGAAAAGGAAACATCAAAAAAAAAGTCCTGGAGAGAGTCGGTGAAGAACCCTGGGAACCGTCGATATACATCCATGGGTCACTAGCATGACTATTACTCGGGGGCTGATCATCAATTTGAACTTTCTGAGGTAATGACTTATAACGTCTCTTTTCTTTGTCACTCATTCCTGGTATTCCCATTGACCAGAAAATCTTCTACGACCCGGGCTAGATGTCTACATACAAGACAAAGCGCGATGCGTTCGCAAGCAACATGCATACAGAAAAAAAATTGAGCATTGAGGAGTGGCTTGAAAATGCCTCTACGGCAAATATTAAAAAACCCGTGAGCACACCGGGGTTGGCTATGCCGGAGAAATGCCTATTCAGCTTGGAACCCCAGTCTGACATGGATAAGGAACTGTGGAGAGACGAAATTGAGGATAGTATCAGAAAGTTGGAAGAAAGAGTCCGGAAATCTGGACTACAGCAGGATATAGTTCAAGAAAAGATGACCAGCTTGGAAGAGCGGCTCAGCATGCGAGACTTCATTCAACAATATACTGGACTAAAAGAAAGACTCGCCGTATATGAAAGACTACTAGCGAATGCCGACGAACAAATAAACACACAGCAAGAGCTCATTGAACACTTGTTTGAAGCGCAAACCATGACCTCACAACAAGTTGCTTTTATTACACAAAAGCTCTCACAACCTAAACAATTCGTGCAACAGCCACAAAAGGAAAAACCCGAGGGGCAGCATTCTAATCCGGGCGGAGTCAACAAAAGTACAGCTGCCTTTGATTATGTGCTTGTCTCAGAGGATGAAGCTACCACCAGTTGAACTCGTTGGTTTTGTGCTTCTGTCTTTGCAACGCATGGTTTATACAGATTCGGTGGTTTCTCCGGCAAGACACATCTGGCTTTGTTTCGTGTTTTTGTTCTTGCATTGCTCCAACCATCCGTGATATTTGTGATAGCTTTATACCAACCAATATGAATGAGAGCCTTGCTGTTATATCTACACCGTATGTTGTTGTCAAAACGCATGCAAGCTTCCCTTTCTTTTCTTTTATTGATCTTAAAATGTATTCCCTATCAGGGATAGTGTGTCACTCGATTATAAATTAGTTCTCAACCAAATCCAATCAAAGAATTATCTAAATCAAGATATTCTAGGATACTATTTTTTGGAATATCACCACATGTATCTACCCACAGATTGCTGTTGCCTTGATTTATGGCAAGCCACATAATTATCAGCCCTAGATTGATTCAAGTCTACAATTTCTTTATACACGCGGAAGGAACCATGCAGATGGGCGAAAAGTACACGGGTCGAACGGCGATATACATAGACCTGCATATGTTTATGCAACATCAGTAGACAACACTAACTAGTTAGCACCTGAAGTAGCAAGTAACATGGATTACGGACGGAGAACTCCGTACAGCGTATATAAATCTAGACCACAGTAATGATAGGCAGCCTGGCGTACCTGAAAGCTGATTTGGAATTTAATGTCGAATCGACCCAGATCCATACAAGCGGTTAAGACCCCGACGCCTTCGCATTATCAAGAAATAGTATCTCCGGAGTAGCCGTATAGTAGACGTATTATCGAGAACGACATCAACAGGCTTGATTGGTCCATTATCCCTAGCTCTAATGTCAAGTTCATCACAGACAGGAATCTGTGATCCGCTGTCACATCTATGTATGTACATGCTAGGAAGGCGATCACATCTTGGCTCCGGGAGCAAAAGTACTTGAAGTCTGATGTACTTTTGCTAGTTCAGCGCCCGAAGATCATGCAGGTTCGTACTTCGTCTCTAGATTCTGTCTGAGATGACCGGTGGCGGTACTTTGTAGGTGTTCATCCGCAATTTAGTAAACTTTACGAATGCGCGTGTTCATGCATACAGTCTGCCTTTTGGGATCGAGGCTTGATGTCGTATTGGATGAGCTTTGATGGAATTGACTTTCGCTACTCTGGATATTGACTAATAATATGTACGGGTACCTACATATTGCAGGTTATAAATATGTGGAGAACTTGTATAGACTTGAACTATGTTAACGTTCTCTGCATATCATTATGCGGTTTGCGTGGCTCAATTATTTATATACGATCTGTCCGGAGGAGATCATTTATATTGAGCCTACTCCGTACTGAACATTCGAATCACTAAATTCCAGCTTGTCGTGGCTTGTGGTCAAGACGAAGGCTGCACAAGCGGGCGAATGATTTATATTGGTTATGGAAGATAATGGTACTGAGTTTACGGGGTATATCAAAGGAGTGATTGCTTCAAGGCTAGATCCAATAAACACGGGTCTGTGCTTTATTTAACTAGGAGCATTGATTTGTACAAAAAGCATCTGGATACGAGGTAACAAAGAGGCGTTCCTTGGTTAATTTAGGCTGGAGGCGGGGGCTGGGGGGCTGGTTATATATAAATTGAAGGTATGAAGTTGACAATGAGTGCAATCTCCGAATAGATTACATAACAAGCATACGTTGGATGACTACCTAGGTAACTAACTAACTATGTAACTAACTGAATAATTAGGTGAATAATTTCTCAACATCGAAGCGATATTGCTGAGCTTCAATTAATTTCAGGACTCATACTACAGAATCCACCCACAAGTAAGACGTAATACTACCGTACACGTGACTGCGATCAAATCAACATTTTTGGTGTCTAGACCACTGCAGGGGAATCATGATCACATCAGAGAGTCCAGAGTACATGAAGTAAGGCGACAAAGTACGGAGCAATTGTACAGGTCCAGCTGAGACCAAAGTCCGCGGAATTCGGCTCCCCGGTACCTTGCGGGGCAAAAGAAATCAAATTATAGAAAAAAAAACCAGAAATTAAAAGAAGCTCCATCGGAAACAAAGAAAAGCGGGAGAAAGACCCAGCAGGAATAGGAATGCTCACATGATCATAAGTCGAATCAATAGTGTGGAAATCCTTGCGAAAGATGAGATGTGATTCGTGTCTGCTGGAACTTTTGTACTGTACCCGTCACCGCGGCACCGGATCTCTTCCTTCCGTTCGCCACAGGTGGGGATTAGGGCGATCGTTCCTGGGAATAGAAAAGAGATCTGGGTACGGAGTATACATAATACCGTTCTTTACCTTCCCAAGAGAGACACTCGGGATACACTAATGTACTCCATATATCCTTAAGTTAATACCGTGGAACTGGAATTGTGGTTCCATGGTTTTGTTGGTGGAGACCTCGATAAAGAGTGTGATTCAAAGATTTGATTGGACCGCGGATATCTCATTCAGCTGCCGGGGGATTCGCTTTATCTGGGACACAACTATGGAGATCTCCAGCCGGGTTCGGATCTTGACTGTCAAATTTTGTACACCGTATGCATTATTATGCGGAACCTTTCCTTCGGATACATTTGCCGATTTCACAAAAGTACACCTGTCACTCACTCGATGCAGGCTCTAAGTCGAAAAACTTAGAATTTGAATCCCAATCTTCCGGGATCTAATACAAATCCATAAACTCTAGAATGGTATTTATAAATGTGGCGTTTTCTGCCAGTGCTAACTGACCAGTCCAAACAATAAGATTGAACATTCAGCTATGCCTAAATGTACGATGTATTTTGTAGTATTTTATGTATGCTCCCACTGCTAAATAAGGTCCCACCAGCGTCTAGAATCAAGGGTAGCAAAAAGTCCGACGATTTCGATCAGCGATTTCCAAAAGCGAACATCTAAAAAAATGTTGTGTAACCTACTCCGTACTGCGAGCCCATCTGGCGCAAGGTTCCAGATCCGAGGCAATTGAACTAAATTGTACGGAGTACTCCGTATTGATGCCCGGCACGGCAATAACTTTGAACCTTCAGTCTCGATCGACCGGGGAGAGTAAAGTTGATCTCCCGTCAAAGTATATATGTACTCTTACACATCGACAGGTGGCGCTTACCGAGATAGTAGCAAGAAAGCCTGATTTTGATCACAATGGAAACCTGCATGTATCCGAATCCAGCGGGATCGCGATCGCAATAGATGAAATTAGAGTGATCTACAAAGTACATCACCTACACTGTACTTTGTACTCTTTCCTCCGTAGTACAGGGTACAGCTTTTGTACAACCAAGAGGGGCATGTTCACTTGAACCCTTATTTTCGCCCCCACATTAGAGTCCCCTTTTCCTTGTTCCGATGTCACCGAAGATCTAGATTTTGAGTGACGGAATCCCACGGGAGCCAAAAGAGTTGATACATCACACTGAATTTTCTTCCCGTTTTATCACGACACAGAAAGGGGGCACACCAAAAAAAAAAGTCTAAGACAATCTTGGTGGCAATTTTGCCCGAGAATTCCTGCCTAATTTGAAATTAAGATAGGTCCAAAACGAGAATTTCTTATATGCCAGGAAGCATTTTCCGATTGCCGACTGGAATTATTTTTGTTCTTTGACCTCCGACGGCCCAATCGGCACCACGCTTCAGCCATTCGGGTACCATGCGACTGTCAGAACCCGACAATATGGTGCGGGAGCTGCGGTGCTGTGTGGATCATGGACCCTTGGGTCTGGTTTAGCGTTTGTCCACAAAAAAAAAAAGCATGATGATCGATTGATCTATCCGAACGCCCAACGCGGCTGTATCCTTGGATCCGATGATCATCACATCTTGCCAAGTAGAACAGGTTCGTGGTAGTCCGGTCTGCGAGCCGACAAGTCCACTTTCGGGCCTCTTCGTTGCCGTGGCGGTCGTTCAGCCGGGACTGTACGATGTAAGCGTCGTGGTTGCACGATAAACAAGGCAGAGATATGTCGTAGTCTGCCGTAATGAACACCGCCCCCTTGCTATTAATCTCGATTGGGAAATGTTGAGGTGTATTATTGCGTGATGCAATATCTTGCTCACGCTGGAATGAAGGAAATATCAAGGAATGCGGTCAAAGCTAGCATATGATCTCATGTAAAATTTAGCAGGAATCGAGCCTGATGTCGTAGTATGTGCATCTGAGTCGAACGATATCATACCGCAATATGTGCCAAGCAGGACTCGACGAGTTCTCAGAACTGGCGAAACCTGTTTACAAAAGATCGTTATCAACGGCATCACCGACAAGTCGGCGACCAGCACTGCCAACCATACGGCGTTTGTTGAGTTGTAACGCGCTTCACCGTCTTTTTGCGAAGCTGTTAATCTCGGGCAACGATAACCGCGGAAATCTGGATATACTGCGCAATGTCGGTCAAAATCGCAATGGGTATCTAGTCGAACAGCTTACCGGCGGTGCAGACGCAAATGATGGGGCTGTGAGAACAATACCCCATGTAGGGCCTGCAGTGTTCCGAGTCACTCACGGGATGTCAGGGACGAGTACCCGGGGGATAATTCGACGTCAAAGGATTGTCTGCAGTAAACAATGAACAGAATGCAGCCAAGAGACACACCGCTTGATACCGGATATTACCAGTTGATGCAGATAGGGCCACTTCATCTTTCCCCCTCCTTCAAAATTGGCGAGAATCGGAAGAATAACCTTGCAGGGGTTCTCTTCCCCCACCATACATGGATGATTCGGTTGGCTGCAGGGTAGAAAAATGGAAGCTCACTCACATGATCTTCGCCTCGATTTGAATCGGAATATGTATGAAACAAAAAGAAATGAGAGCTCTAATTTCCGGCTGTTGGGTCGCAATCCTTCTTCCGAACAGTCCGAATGGTTATCAACGTAGACACGACTGTCGCTGACGGAGCTACGGCAGTGCACACAGTCGCGTGATGCATGGCATGGAAAGATGACGGGCTTTCTGTGAACAACAAGTCACCGCTACATCCGCGTCA